GGATCTGTGTGTCCGCAGGGGGCGCTCTTAACATTTCAAGACACACACGACGATATACCAACGGGAGTGTTAAGTGTGTCGATTCTTTTCTTTTCGAACATCCGAGGACAGGCCTTATTTAAGGTCAGATGCACCCTCGGACGTAGAATATCCTTTTGCACGTATATTACTCCCGAGGACAGCATGTTACGTCCTCGGAAGTAAATTTCGTCCTCGGACAAAAGGTGTGTTTTCTTGCAGTTGGTCTCGGACGATCGATAATGCGCACGCACACAAACACACACACACACAACTATGCTGAACATCACTGTATTGCAGCATATATTTTTTGATGACTCCGAGAGTAATCAGGGAAGTATAAGCTCACATAATGTGGATTCTCTAACCCGCTAAATGATATTTCTCTTGGTTGAAAATTTGTCAGGAGGGGTAAATTACCCCCTCCCCCTCTGCCCCTTAGTCAACTACACGAGGGAGAAGTAGGCTTGAAATACAGATCTGGCGTTGTAATATATTATTTGAACGTTGCATAATCATTAGTGTAAATGGGTCGATTCCATCAGATCCCAAACAATCCCAAATATATTTTTAAATGCGTGTCTGACACTGACCAGCCATCAAAAATCGATCGATCAAATTGTATTCTTCCACAATATGAACATCACAGATCCATGGTAAATAGCCGGGTTCTCAGATTTTCTTGGACATCAATTCTCTGACAATAACATTTTCAACTAAATTTCCCATTTTTGTCCTTCTTATGTTCAGTACAATTATGGTAAACATAGCAAAAACGTATATAATATTTTTTAAGGAGGCAGAACCCTGGAAAGCAAAGCTTGTGTTGGAAACGCCATGAACACTTTTTGTTTAAGTCGCTGTAGGCGCATTATCATACATGTATGAACGTGTTTCTCTGCATCATTACGGTTAATATCACCACCATAAATGTCATTATTAAGCACATAAACTGCTCCTGCTACTACCCTAAATTTCTCCCAATGCCGTTATTAATAAAGTGGGAGCATGATCATCAACAGTTTACACAGACAGTGCATATTTGGAGGATACCCACTCTTTTATTCTAAAATACAAGCAGGTGCTTTATTCCAATCGACAACATCTCATCAAATATTCATTAGGAATGCCTCTCTATCTGATAATCATTTGGAACATTGAGCCACACTGTAGACATAGGAACGTCATTGCCATTTTGAGAATCATTAAAAAAGCGGCAATTCACTTTGTTCAAGCCTTGATCCCACGATCGAAATTAAAGCTCAAAATCGTGGCACTGCAGTTTTGATTTGATGAGTTTTGGTCACATGATTGCATTTCACTACCAGACACGCCCTAAAATTCAACAATGGTAAACACTTTCAACTATAACACTAATGATAAACGTAAAAATAATTATAATTAATAATAATACTACTACCAATACTACTACTAATAATAAGATTGATAATAATGATAACGAAACGAACGAGAAGACAAAGAAGAAGAAGTAGAAGAAAAACAAGAACAAGAGGAAGAATATAAAGGTGAAGAAGAAGAAGAAAAAGTAGAAGAAAAACAAGAAGAAGAAGAAGAAGAAGAAGAAGGAGAAGAAAAAGAAGAAGAAAGAGAAGAAGAAGAAGAAGAAGAAGAAGAAGAAGAAGAAGAAGAAGAAAAATAGCACTCCAACAATATTACCTTGGTTAAATTTCTTTCTTTGTACTTCACTTTCTTGTATTCCTTGTTATCAATTATTGTAACATTAATTTATGTTCCTGGAAATAAAACATATCAGGTTCCGAAAGTAACGTCTGAGTGGAGAGTGGCAAACGTGGATTAATGACTTGCGAAATAAAGGACACTACCCCCCCCCCCCCCCCGCCTCCAACCATTTTATTGAAATGAACCACTATACCACGAAACATCTACATAACTGTTTATGGTTGCAAGGGAATATTCGTACACAATGGTGCTTTTGGGGGCAGAGGCGTTTATGTTTAGTAGCATAGTGTACATACATGTATATAGTAGTGTTAATACTGCCAGTTGAGATGTAGGGTTTCATGTATTTTTTGTTTAAGTAGACCTATATCCTTAAGCTTGCCTTCATTTGTTTGTTGTTCGCTGCCAAAGGTTTTCTTGTTTTTAAAGATTTTCTCTGTGTGTTTAAAAAAAAAAAAAAAATTCTATATGAATATCATTGTTGAACATTATATATGTACTATTCAACTGTATTTCTTCCATGCCCCAGAAGGGGCCGTTAAAGAAATAAAAAATCATTGTCATTGTCATTGTCATTGTCATTGTCATTGTTATTGTCATTGTCATGCAAAATACAATTGTATGACCTACAGAGAATGCTGGGATATAATAAAAACATGATTCGTAACCAAAATACGGGCATTGCGGGTGGTAATTACTAGCATCTCCGTATTAACCCAAATTAAATACGACCCCAAGAATTAACATGGCACTTGAGTCCTACAACAGTCATTTTGGCTACCAAGGGGGCGTACATCATGCACCCATGGAAAAATACGGACATAAACAATTAAACTGAAAAGGAGAGAGAGGGGAGAGAGAGTGAGAGAGGGAGAGAGGGAGAGAGAGAGAGAGAGAGAGAGGGGGGGGGGGAAAGAGGGGGAAGGAGGAGGGGAGACGGGTCTCTCACATACCTTTTCGAAATCGGTGGCCTTCTTTATTTTTATGTCAGCCAACTAGTAAGAACAGATGCACGCCCCCCCCCCCCCCTCCCCTTGACATATTTCCCCCTCACTGGCTGTACCGACGCTACGCCTATATATACCACGATTCCATTACCATTTTGTAGAACTTTTTAGATGAGACAATAATTATCATTACATTGTTTACAGCATTCAACTCCCTGTTTGTTGGTGCCAAGTGCCAACCCCACCCCCCTCTCTCTCTCACACTTATATAGATTCATAAAACTTGCAGTCCTTTCATTAAATGTGTTTTGTGGGAAAGTACATTCAAGGTTGGAAATAAATTGCAGGAGGCACTCGTAATGATTATTTCATTAAATTATTATTTGATAACGATACGTCCGACTTCAAAGTAATGAATTATTCTGTAGATTCTAAAAAGCGTTTAATAACGCTTCAGGCGACACAATAAGACCTCGAACAAAATTCAATGATCATTCAAAAACATAAATGACATGCTAAAAATTAGAGAATCTCATCATGTTGTTGCACTTCTAACATGCTCAAAATTATGTATAATGGACAAATCTATTGAGAAAAAACATCAACTATGCTTCACCATACCTTTGAAATTACAAAATATCTTTTGTTTTTCGTGGCATAAATAGTACATGTATCTAGGTTAGCGAAGTGCACGAGGAAGGTGTGTCGATTATTATATCCAATACAGCAGCTATTCAATTCAATAAAACGAGTTTAATGTAGATTCCCAAATAAAGTGGAACTCTACAACATAATGAAATTAACAGCAAAAACTAGATTTCGAGGAAATATGCTCTGCTGAATCTTTAGTGTTTTTACTATAATGTCCATCTTCAGTTCTTATGAATCATGACTTGTATACAATCACTGTTTGTTATGTTTCTGGAAAATTCAAACGTGAATATATGAAGCGGTTTTGAAAGGTATAACTTCAAGAATAATGACAAAATGATGGCTTTATTCAAAACATCTACGACGCACTCTAAGACATGACAGATTTTTCATTATTACGGTCATCCGACTCCGGCTGACTCGCAAACTTTATGAGCGCATTCTCCATTTAACATGTTCACTGTGGATTATTTCTGTCAGGCGCCATGTTACAGACAAGTACAATATACGCCGAGCAAAACTACAATGAAATTCGCTCCCTGCAAGGTATCCATTTGACAGGAGGATGGAGATGGGTAATGTGGATGAAATGCCTCGCTATGACGAGTGCATAACATCTCTACAAAAACTAATAGACCTATAACTCTGACGATAATATTTCAAATATAATAGTAATATACCCCTCCCCCTCTCCCCCTCGTCGAGTATCTGTCAGTTTCAGGGAGGAAAGGCTTCCCACAACCCTTCGACGTATTAATAATAAATTAAGGGCGTCCGCCTTAAATGTCCCCACTTTTTAATGGCTTATTTCGTTCCATCGACTCTTGGCGTCGGGTTGGATTCTCAGGTTACACGAACTTTCGTGAATAACCAAGCGCTAATTAATTGATACGCGTCTGTAAACATCCCAGTTACACACGCATTTGTCCTAATTACGACGTTTTTTTTCTCTCAGTAAAAAACTGATTATACATACAATGTAGAGTTTAAAAAGCTTTATGGTAAAATATATTATTATTTATCAAAGCAGGCTATTAAGTCGCTTATATGACACATGTTCTGACGACAACTGTCCTGCACTAACCGAACTCCCAACTTCAAACCTGGAACAAACAATAAACATGACTTTAACCCTAATCCTAAACCTAAGCAAAAAACATATTTCATCCCCAACCCTAATCCTAAATCTCTCCTAAAACTATATTGTAAACCCAACCCTAACCCTAGATCTAACCTAAAACTATTTTGCAATCCCTAACTCTAACCCTAAACCGAACAAAAAACGTTTAGTAACCCTAACCAAACCCTCAAGTCACTACCCTCGACCTACTCTAAAACCATATTGCAACCCTATAAGCCTGAGCCTAAACCATAACCTAAAACCATATTGCACGCCAAATCCTAACCCGAAACCTAACCTTAATCCATGTTGCAACCCTAACCGTAACCCTAACCAAACCCCGAACCAATGTTTTGTTTATATCCATGGAACCTCAACCCACTACAACAACTACTTCTACTACTACTTCTACTACTACTACTACTACTAGCAGTAGCGAAAGTAGTACGTATAATTACTATTATCATATATCAAACTAAAGTACATGATGTTTGAAGTACAAAGTAATCATTGTAGATAAACATTATTTGAAATTGCATAACAAAGCACTTAACTATACATACCATTAATGACTCCACTTGCAATTAAAGCCAATATGACAAAAGTAAGATGATAATCCTTTGTAAAATTCCACATTGTGTGCTCCTGTTACTGCTCGTTCGTTGTTGTTTATCAAAAGATGGCAAATTTCGGGTGAAATGGCCCACGAGACGAAAGGGAATTGTTTGGATGTTTCTTGTCGTCTGTTCTCCTTGTAGCAATTTTTGGAACGTTGAATTCGAGAGTGAAACGAGTCGGCGCAAAACAGGGCCTATCAACACCGCCAGAGAGGGCAACATGCATGCGCATTCGATCGCTTATTATACATGGTGTACAACATTCGTATATCGACATCACATAACTGATTTCTGTGATCTACACAGATGACGGCTTTTCATGTCCCGATCTTGCAAGAAACTAAACGCAGAGGGCGCAAAGCAACTGATAATAGAAACTCACGTATGAGTGTTCAAGTTGATGCGATATGTTGCTCTATTCCATAAGGTTGGCACACTGTCAAATAGATGAATAAATAGATGACTGAATAAATAAGGGAAAATCCAGTGGATAATAAGGGATTATTTCTACCTGTGTTATTTCCAAAATGGTCTGTTTAGATATCACCAAATAGTATCTGAATTAATGACTTCAATCTGCCTAATCGTATTGAGAGACCCGAGAAAGATTTGCTATTGTGGCCATACAAATTAAAGAATGCAATTTCGTGTCTTGCTCTGTCACTGTGCTCCTTCACAAAATGAAATGTGACCCGTCAAAGTGCGTCCACAGCAGGCGCGTACACGGGGGGGGGGGGGGGGGGGGGGGGGGGGGTTGGGGGGGTTAACCCCCCCCCTTTGGTATTTTTTTGTGTGTAACCCCCCCCCATAACCCCCCTAAACCCATGGCTGACCTAAAAAAGTTAACCTTACCCCCCCCCCCCCCCCCAACGGCGCAAAATGTCAAATTTTCAAATTTCGAGACCAAAAAAAAAGTGTTCTCTAAGATTTTCTTAGGGTCCTGGATAAAAACAATATATACAAAGTAATATACTTAATATACAATCATAATGTAGAAGTTACAGCAGAATTAAAAATATTTACAACAAATTAAAGGAACCTCACCCTTAAGAATGAGTGTTGGTACCTTTTGATGTACAATTTTCCTTAAGAAAGTGTTCTAGAGATATATAAATAAAGATATTCTAAGCAAGATGCAATGTCTTTTAGCTTGACATAGGTGCAACCATTTTCTTGATAATGTGACGTACCAGGCGAATTTATACATGTACCATGCATCAAGTTTTAGTTGGAAAGACTTTTTAATTTAATTACAAAACCTTTTTCTTTAAAGAGAACGTTGAGTTCTGGGAAGAGGTGAAAAATAATTTGTGAGCGTTAGCATTGTTATTTTGCAAGAGTGGAAGAACAACAGATAAAACATGTTCTCTGAAAAGCATGGCTCTTCAAATGCCTTACTATTCTAAAACTGGCATGTAACAACATACAAATCGGGATGGGCTTTTATGTCACATGTTCTTGTAGTCCCATATACATTTTACTGTGTACAGACTGGGCCAAATTTCTTATCATTTTGATGATTCCAGAACCTTGCAGTACACAACTTTATCTTTAAACGAGGAGAAAATCAAAGCTTAGAAGGTAACAATAATATTTGATGAAAAATATGTAAAACAGGAACACTTATAACCAAATTATTTAAAATACTAAAATACAAATCTATTTCATTTATTCGAAACCTTCAACACAATGCGTTTTGACAATCGTAGTACAAAGGATAATAGCAGGTAAACAAAATATCTATCACCATACACATCTAAGAAAGAAGCATCCATAAATGTTAATAAATTTACTTGATAAACGACTTGGCATAGTCACTATGAACATGACGGACAATGAAAGCGGACAAAATATACAGTTCCTCAGGTAGACAAAGGAACATCCCTCTACTGCTATCATGTAAAAATGTGTAGAACAGGTGAATATGCATGTGACACCTGTTCTACACATTTTTACATAATAGCAGTAGAGGGATGTTCCTTTGTCTACCTTAGGAACTGTATATTTTGTCCGCTCCCATTGTCCGTCATATTCACAGTGAGTACGGTCAACAAGTTATCAAGAAAATTGCGATGCCTATGCTGAATACATTATTCTTGCTTTATACCTCTGTCATACACTTTGATGGGGAATCTTGTAGATTAATGAGCAAGAATACAATATATCTCTCGGAATAACTAAAGTTATTTCTTTGGGTGAGGTGTCCTTAAAAGTACACATCAATATCCAAGAAAGTAACATTGAACTGACTTTCACTATTTCAATTATCATTTCACAATATAATCGTTGACAGCGTTAAGGAATATCAAAGTATTCATTTAAAAAAAATTGTTTTATTGCAGATGACCATATGTTGTTTCGGTATAATTCAGGATCATAATCATTACGTGGTGGGCAGCTATAGGATTAAAAAAGCCGCAAAAATATTTGACCAAATGGTTTGTCATCAATTGATAATCTACGGCTCACCGCCAAAATAAAAAATCTTTTAAATCAAAATATGAAAAAAGGGAAAAATATTAACGACCAACGTCCAACCTCATAATTTTCTCGAGGAAATGAAAGATTGTAATAAAAACGGATTAATTGTGAAGTAATAAACTGATATCGTGAAAATCTTATAAATAGACACATCAAAACAGAATTTTATACATCGGCGGACAGCAACAGTTTAAACAAGTCCAGATTTGAATCTTTACTCTCAGTCTTACTGCGATTAGTCCGTGAAGTCTTGAAACAAGATGAAGACGAGTATTCTATCCGCCATCTTTCTTGTCATGGTACTGGCCTCCAGTGTCTACCAAACTACTGCCGTCAGTGCCAGTCGTTTGTCGCGCAGTGCTGAATCTCATGGCGATCCAGGTAAGGGCCAATCATATTACTAGGATCAGTAATTATGCAGTCCCTCGTTTCACCTATGACTGGCCTTACATGCCATAATTCTGTACAACTGTACAACCATACAGCTATCGAATGGGAAGTATAGTTTAAACCAATCAGAACGCGAAATTGGGAAAATTCGGAAATTTCTTGACCGACCCACAACTGCAAAATTAACCCATGCCTTTGTATCTTGATTAATGTAATTCAATTTTTGTTCTGGCCTTCCTCATTCATATCTACTTGCACTTCAAAGAATTTAAAATACTGCTGCAAGGCTTGTTACTCTCTCGAGAAAATTTGAGCACATAACCCCAATATTGTGTTTTCTTCATTGGCTTCCCATACACCATCGTACATGTATAACATTCAAAGTTCTTTTTTGGCATACAAAATTCCCCATTGTTAATGCCCCTTAATATCCTTTAGATTTGATTTTCTTACGTTGTTCGATATCTTTAGGACCTCTTTGATCATCATCAACCTTGCAGTTTACCCTTGGATAGACCTCGTACTGTTTCAAGATATGGCGATCGAGCTTTTTCAGTAATTGCCCCTACTATTCTTTGGAACCAATTACCAGCGCATATTCATAATATTCATTCCCTTGACATTGCTGAAAACGCACCTTTTAATTCATGAATGATATTCTACAGCACGGGCTCAGTTGTGAGGTGGTCAAAGAAGGTGTATACCATCGTATTCCTTGTATGTTTGATCTTATGTTTGATCCCATTTTTACTGATATATGCTTGATTTATTGGTTGGTAATTTGTAGGCAGACAATGTTGCACTTCGAAACGACCGTATTAAGCGCCTCATAATTTGCAGGAAACTATGCAACCATTCAAATTTATAATATATACCTTACTTAATTTTGTTGAAGAAATGTATGAATGTATGATTCTGTTGTGACATGATTAGAATACATGTTATGATGACAGAAGAATCAATAAATCCAATCCATCTTCAATTCAATTCAATTTAATTCATTTCAATTTATTTCAATATCAATAGATGTCCAGGAGGAAGACAAGTCTACGGACAAAAGATGCAAGTGGAATCCAATCTACTGTTTTGACGACTGTAAGTCATCAGGGCAGCTTTTCACGAGACCATCCAAAGTACAAGTCCGCGGACAATCATTGAAACCCGTGTATTGAATGTAACATGCGTTTCGATGGGATGTCGGTGAACTTGTACTTATAACGGTTTCGTGAAACGATGTCCAGGCCTGGTGCTAGAATCATATAACCAATGCACACCGATATTAACCCGAGACCGACAACAGACCTATCAAACTAAAATTGCCATTGCTTTGGAATGGACGAAAATCGATCGGTCCCTTAGGATTTGTTATGGAAATTGTTTGGCGATGTAACTGAAGTGGGAGGCTAGTCTTCATGAAGGTGGAATATTAAGTTAAACCCGCGAGTGTCATTAAAAGACTAATATTACCTTCCAACGAAAGTACTAGACTTTAATAGTAATTCAGATTCTACCTAAGAAATTATGTGGGCATAATATGTATTTGACGAATATCAGGTTTAATATATAATAATAATACTGATGATGGTGATTATCATGCTGATAATGACAATAATAATTATAATAATGATAACACTAATGACAATATAATGATAATGATAATGACATTACTTCTACTTCTACAACCTCTTAATACTTACAAGCATTCACATCTTAGCCACATGTTGGCAGTCAGGTAAAACGAACTATCAAACCATTAATCCATAACTAATAATCTTTGTCGTTTACTTTGTGCAGAATGTCACTCGTGTTTCTGACGTCACCATCAATGCTGCGCTGAAGTGTCACAAGATCAACAACTCAACATCAAGATATTTGAATATCAGAAGAAACAATGAAAAGACCATATCAAAATATGAAAAAGGGTTTTCTTAGGAAGTAGTTAAATTAACTATTTGCGTTCCATGTTTTGGGAAATACTTTCTTCTTCGATCAGAAGTTTCTACATTACAAAATACAAATGATTATATTGACAGTATGAATGATGAATCATTAAAAAATCTATATGTCAAATAGCGCAAAGCAGTTGGTGAAAGAATTAAACAAAAACGTTAAAAACGATATATGTCATGTTACTTGTTCTTCATTATTTAAATCCAACATAGGATTTCGTAAGAGTATTTAGCGTATTCAGAGAATGGAGGAAAAATTCAAAAGGAGTTTGTAAGAAACGAGTTATCCAGAGAATTATCAGTCTTGGACACACTGATAAGTGTATAACGGCAAGAAAGAGAGGATGGGATCCAAAGATGGTATGTGTCTGTCTGAGGGAGAGAGAGAGATAGAGAGAATGTTTGTGTGTTCGTGTGGTTGTGTGTGTGTGTGTGCGTGTGTGTGTGTGTGTGTGTTGGAGAGGAAGAGAGAGAGAAAGAGAGAGAGAGAGAGAAAGAAATAGAAAGCCGAGAAAGAGAGAGGAAGTGAGGGAGTGTGTGTGAGCGCGCATGTGCGTATGTGCGTGTGTGTGCATGTGTGTGTTTATGAGGCTGGTCTGTCAATTATAAGTGCACAATCTTACTGGAGGTCCTCTGAGTGCATCAGTTGACTGCCGGGGAAGAAGACTCCATATTTTGTCCAGAAGATGTTCAAATAATGGAACAAAAAACAAAAGAAAGAAAGAGATTCTAGAGACATGACAATGAAAAAGTAATCATTTTATTATAGTTTCAGCTCAAACGTATCATACAGAAGTAGACGAATGAATGATTAAAAAACATAACGTAATTATTGCATTAACCTTGTAAATTAAACAAAGAATTCAAGGGATAATATCAATCGAAGAAGATATGCCTCATAATTTCCTCGAGGAAATGAAAGATTGTAATAGAAAATATTTATTGTGAAGTGATAAACTGAAATCGTGAAAATCTTATAAATATACACATCCACACAGACATACAAACATCATTTTATATCGTGTTATGTACATGATCATTGATAAAACACTCCAGAAAAGCCCCTTTTACGACCGTTATATGGCTTAATACATATATCTAATCTGCTTTTTTTTTGTTTACTTGATTATTGTCGTAATTCAACACAAACAACCTTGATACAGCGTAAGAATAAAGTCAAGCACTGGTTCGGCAAGCACGAAACTGTCTGGAAGTCATTGGAAAATGTTTGAAGTTGAAGTTTGAAGTTTGAAGTTTTATTTGCAACAACAAAGTATGCAAGATAAAACAATAAAATACAAACTGTACACGATGTACAAAACAATGAAATACTGCAAAAGCTTAATTCATGCTAACATAAAACACATTCATTCAAAAGTTCGTTGGAATATATATAATGGGATGATTATTTTTCAGGTTTGTAAATCACTTTTTTTTTAAAAGTATTTTTAGAGGATGATACTATTGGTTTAGTACTGTTTTACATCTTGTTATTAGGACCATGGCAAAATCGACATGATAGACTTGCTAGAAATGTTAAAAATATTGAATACATTCATGGCAGTAATCAACATTTCGAAACAAATACAAATGAATATAGATAAAACAAAGTTTGTTGAACACAACATATAAACAAATATATACAATATTTACTAGTATCGATTCTTTTTGGAGAATAAAACCATATCAACTGTAAGAAATTGTTATAGGAAATGGATATACACGTATATACAAATCATAACGATGTGCAATCTTGCTCAAAACTGCATACAGCTGAAAAACACTGCACACACATGTAGCAAAGTGGGAAAGCACATAATGTCATTAATATCTAGTTCAAAGACTGGAGCTACTTTGTCATATTTTGAATATGATAGCATTTTATGAGCAGCCATCTTAAAGTAACATTTCTCCTAAGATATTTTTCGCCTATATAAAATGAAGTAAAAAGCTCACAACTCTTATACATATGATTTCTAGCAATATAACAGAAAAAGTTTTCATGCAAACTTACAATAACAAAATTATCCGTTGCTATTATTGTTTTGTGTTTACAATCATTGTTAGTAATGCAACTAAATGTTCATACAAACCGAATAGTCATAATAGTAAAGCAAATTTTAACTGCAGTTTTTACCTAATGTTCATGATCATTGGAGCAATAGAAGTGAGAACGTTTTCAAATACCCTTGCAATAAGGACAATTTCCTCTGAATTTATTAAGCTACATTTACATGACTGTTGTAGCCATACAACTAGAACCGTTTTCATAGAACCTTATAATAATGCATATATTAATTTTAGTTATTACCTAATGTACATGATCATTTTGGTAAAAATAAAAGAAACATCCCCATGTATCCTGCCAATGTAGAAGAAGATTCTGCGAGTGTTATATATAAATGATTATTGTACAACAGAACAGCAACAAATATTTTACAACCTTGTAATAAAAGAAAATATCGGCTGAGCTTATTAAGCTAGCTTATAGAAATGATTGCTGTAGTCATACATCTAAAACCGTTTTCATGCAACATTTTGATAAACATACAGTCATTTCAATTATTACCTAATATACATGATCATCGTTGTCAAAAATATTAACAGTCTTCATAAAACCTTACAATGAAGAAAATGTATTCTGTAATTATTGTCTTATGTACATGACCATTGTAGCAATTTAAAGGAAACACTAGTCGCGTATCCTCATAGTAAAGACATTTTGTCTTTTAATTATTAATTATTTTTTTAATTAATTTTATTATTAATTATTGTCTTATTTACACGATTATTCTCGAAAAACAAATTGAACAGTTTCAAACCACCTTACGGTGAGCCATGTATTTATTGACGTGCATTATCATTATAGCAATAGAACTGAAACGATATTCATACAACCAAGAAAATATCTTCTTGTAATTATTATCCTAAGTATATGATTATTGTAGCAACAGAATAGCAAAAGTTTCAAACAACCTTGCAATGAAAAAAATATCCTCTGGAATTATTAAGCTACCTCGTATACATGACTGTAGTAGCCATACAACTAGAACCGTTTTCATTCAGCCTTATATCGCATGTATTCATTTCAGATATTACCTAGTGAACATGGTCATTGTATGAAAATAAATGAGCAGTCTTCATAAAACCCTGCCATGAAAATAATATCTTCCGTCATTATTGTCTGATGTGTATGACGATTGAAACACTAGTCATATTTAGTAAAGACAATTTGGTCTGAAATTATCGTCTTATTTACAAGATTATTCTAGCAATACAAACTGAAGAGCTTCCAAAACCAACTTCTGATGAACCACATATTCACTGTATTTATTAAATTATGTGCATTATCATTGTAGCAAAGGTACTGAAACCGTATTTTTAACAACAAGTTATATTTTGTTATTATTATAATGTTTATGATTATAGTAGCAATGATCAGTATGAGAATACACCCGACGGTGGTCTATACGTCTAAGAAAATATCTTCAGTAATTATTATCCTGTGTATATGATAATTGTAGCGACAGAACAGCAAATGTTTTCAAACAACCTTGGAATGAAAAAAATATCCTCTGGAATTATTAAGCAATCTTATATACATGATGGATGTAGCCATACAACTAAAACCGTTTCCAAACAACCTTATAATATCGCATATATTCATTTCAGTTATTATCTATAGCGTACATCAAAATTGTAGTAAAACAAATGAACAGTATTCATAATACCTTGCAATGAAAACAATTATCTTCTGTAATTATTGTCTTATGTACATGACGATTGTAGCAATACAAATGAAACGCTAGTTATACTGCCAATAAGACGAGAATTGGTTCTGTATTTATTGTCCTTTATACATGCTTATTCTAGCAAAACAATTTTAACAGTTTCCAAAACCACCTAATGATGAACCACATAGTTATTACATTTATTAATTGTAGCAATAGAACTTAAACAGTATTCATGGAATAAAGACGTGTTCTGTAAATAGCATCTTATTAACATGATTATTCCAGCAACAGAACTGAATAGTATTTTTACAACCTTACAATAAAGAAAATATCTTCTGATATTACTAACTGAAATAGAACTTAAACAGCGTTCATGGCATCAAGAAAACGTGTTCTGGAAATATTGTTTTATGTACATGATTATTCCAGCAACATAAGTAACATTGGATTTATATAACTTTACAATAAAGACAAATATACTGCGATTACTGTATCATGTGTAATAGTGTAGCAATAGAACTACAACAGTTTTCATACAACCTTACGATAAAGAAAATATCTTCTGATATTACTATCATACGCATATGTTTTGGCTGTGCCGCTCTATGGATCAGAGGAATGGACTCTGGAAACAGCAGATATCAAAATGTTGGAGACTTTTTGACATTGCACTGTGTAGGAAGATGGCAAAGATAAGTTTGGTGGATAGATAGACAAATAATGAAGTTTTACAAAGAGTGGGGGAGGAGCAAAAAATAGTAACAACGTGGTAAGAGAGACAGAAGAAATTAATTAGGCATTTGGGGCAATTGGGAAAGGACAAGAATTATAATAAGGGAAGGAAAATAATTTATGTTGTTGTTTTGCTACGCACATAACTATGGTGGCGATAGAACTGAAAAGTTTTTCACACAAACTTGTCACAAAGAACATATTATTGAAGCCAATACAACAACTGAACCAAGTTTGATACATCTTGAAGAGACATGAGTAATGGTTATTCCATTGCATTGCAAAGGAAACTGTCTATTTGTTACTGTGACCGTGGGTGTACGTTCAAACTAACTTTCCTGGAAGAGGACCTCGGCTGTATGACTTAACCCAGCTTTCTCCAAAGCGAGACGAAGTTTATTAACCTGCTCACTCGGTCGGACACGCCGTCTCCAGTCAAGAAGCATCTCCCTGAATCCTGAACTTGAGACGCTGCTAGCCGAGGAGTCTGCTCTGTCAAGGTACTTCTCTACCGCTGAATGGGAGAAGCCAAGCTGGTAGCCCAGGTGATGTGAATCGTTTATTGCAGATACTAAACCAGACAATTGTTTTAGCATGTTGTCTGATGCGAACTTTATTCGGCCGCGTCTGTAGGGGTGAGAATAATACGACAATTAAGCGAAGGAAGAAAATAAACAAAATATTGAAATACAATTCAGAAGATGGCGACGTCCTATCCTACTTTGATTATCCCAGCGCCAATGTACACCTTACTCTTACACACCATTATTTTATGTACAACTCTTCACGAGTACATTATAATTGCAATTTTCACGACTAGTACTCGCTAAAAGAATAACAATTTTGATGGGTTCGTGCAGGTTAAATAATTCAACGACAGGCATACTGTATAATACATGTATTTGTTAGATTTATTACTTGACCTAATAAGCATGGTATGATATTAAAATTCAAGGATAACGTTGCATCTTTACTGCATTGGGACAAACGATTAATTACTTACGTGTAGGAGACTCCATAATCTGGCTCGACTGTTTGGAAGAAAAAAGGAAAACAATAATTGGGATGTGTAATCTTCAACTGTACTTTTCTTTAGTTGTTATAAGTGAATTATCACACTTTTAATTTAATACCATTCACGCGTCTTTCACATACAAATTCTAAACTTTTGGGGCAGAGGCAGCCCTCGGGGGGGGGGGGGGGCAAGGGGGCACAGTCCCCCCACTTTTTCAAGTACCAGCGATTGTATAGCCAGAGTATATTTTCGTTAATTCCATTTTATACGATTGAAAATAAACAACGAATTGCGTGTATTGTGACGGAAATTCTGAACACTAAACACATGTATACACGACCCTTCAAGACTCACACTTGTGGAAGAAATATTTCTTTTCTTCTTCTTCTTCGTCTTCTTCTTCTTCAGGAGTCCTTCACTGCTGAAGATTCTTTCAGGTGTGTAAGTGCATGTGTATGGCGACATGGGGATGTCAATGTGTGCAGGTGAAAGGTGTATATACATAGTGCGAGTAAAAATGTTGCATTTAATGAAATGTTTACCTAGTGGTTGGCTACTATATTCCACTATTGACTTCGATGATAGGCTGAATATTGTGTGCGTAACTTGCTGAAAGTATGATTTCCCCTTTGATTTACCACCAACACATGACTTCGATAAAACGTCCCATTCGAGGGGTGGACATGGTAAAGTAGGTTTTAAAAAAGACCAAGAGTTGGCCTACCTTCTGTTGAAGTGGGTATTTGTTGCTCTGCGAGTGTCGATGTGCCCTTCTCAATACGTAGACAGATACTCTTCGCCCCTCCCTCAGCACATGAGGAGAGTAGCTCGAAGTTAAAGGTGTTGCCTTCTCCGTTCAGGAGACAACGTACAGGGACCTGGTAAACATTTTCAAACAAGATTGCGGATAATGCAATGCCATAGATTGATAATAATATTCGATGTTCGTAGAATTTAACTTGATTATCATTTCTGTGAAGAAAATCTCTATCGGGTGGGGGGGGGGTGGTAATTGATTAGTTAAATATTGTTTAATTTGAGAACTTGATAACTATAACAATATCAATTTTGTGGAAAACTTGAGGAAATGGAACAACATAACATTTCATGCATACATATGTTCTAGTGCGAAACTTACAGTTTCCTGGACCTTTTCTGAGTCAGAAAGACACCAAAGCTTAAGATCTTCTTCCTTCGATTCCAGAGAGAACTTGATCACGGTCGCCACCTGGTAGATTGGTTCCAACAAGCTTCCCTGTCTTCTGCATATATCCTGACAACAAAACATGAATGAAAACTTGACTGAATCGTGTACCTACCTGTAGATTACAGACCTGAGCAATTCAACAAACGAATGGCAAAATCATACAAGTTGCTTTATTTCATGTATTTTACTTCCTCTTTGTAGTTTTGTCTTCACGCTACTTTTATACGGGTTTTTATATTTGTAATACTCCTTTTGGAATTGGAGCTCATTGTGATGGTTTATCGTACACTTCAAAGCCATTTTGCAGCCCGGGCAATACTGTCTAAGCACTATTAGCATGACATCGTGACAGGTAGGAGTGCTATATACATGAAATAAGAAACCATCAATAATAGTGATATACATACCGCAGGATGTCTGTTGCAGGGATGAGCTATGCAAATACGCAGTCTAGATTTCTGTGAAGGAAGCATGAAAAGCGGCTGAAATACTTCACAGGTGAATTGTAATCTATGTACGTCGCTTGATGACAACGCCCAGAGTTGAAGATGACGCGTAGGGAAAGCAACCATGTCCTCTGAGATATGGACATCTCTTGATGTATTTGGAAGCAAGCTCCTGTAACCAAATGTACCTTGGAATTTGCAAGAAGGGTGAAAAGAAGAAAGAAAACTAAAACGTAAATTGTATAAAAGTATCACAGAATATATTCATGTACAAGTACAACACACACATGCCAGCCCCAAATTAAAATTAATTTGAATAAATGTAATCAAATATCATGCACCATCATTTTCGAAATGTTTAGGAGATGTATTTACTAAAACTATTTACATAAATAGATAATTTTACTTCGTATCTTTGTTTCTAAAGAAGGGTAAATCATTTGGAAGGTATCGAATCTTAACAATGACACCCTTTTTTCTACATATTTAGAAAACAAAGGAGACCCATTACAAAGAAGAATAAAGAAGAATAATAGGGCTACCTGGTCCTAACTTGGTGTACAGGCTAACACGTAAGTCATCTTGATGCTGTTCCGGATGGATGCAGTGTGGAAGAGCTACAGTGGCAGGTTTGAGAAGTTCTTGAGTGAAAGAACATTCAATGACTGGAGTAATGAGAACATCTCCATCCTTAAGGGGAATCTTAGATGGGCATCGACTAGGTACACTAAGAGTGACCACAGACCTCATCCCTTTAGGGATTGCCCCTGCAGGGATGGATACTCTGATGTCCAGTTCATCTAGCTTCAACTCTCCACCGTCGTGATCAATAATGCCATGAGAGAAAGGGTCCTTGAAACCTTGGTGGTGTTCCATTGCTACAAACGGATGATACAAAGACACAACATGTCGGGATTATACACAGGTTATCGTTGTCAGAATGGCGTTTGAGTTCTATATATCACTTTTTTTAAAGGTTTGAAAAACACTTGCAGTAAGATTACAGCTTTCCTTGATAATTATGAAGGTGGTCGAACTATATGACAGGACATGCCAGATATTTATTTACACTGGCTTTTCTTTATAATGAGAACTTCAACGAAGTTACGTTAACTATAATTACCTGTTGCTATTTTGTCCGCTAAATCGTTGAAATGAAAAGCTTGAGCTATTTCAAGAAGCCTTTGTCTTGTTCCTCCATGTCGTACCCACTCTTGAAGCATCTGTATAACAATGTGTCGTATCAAGGTTAGTGGAAAGGACACAGATGTGGACATTACCTGCAGGATTTCGGGAGCTGTTAGGTGAATGCGTTGGGAGAGGTCAAGTAGATCTGGAGTTGTGCAAATTATTTTGGAGATTTCATCAAGACCTGGAGAAAAAATGAAAATAAATTGTAATTTAGTCTTATCAAGTGCCATGATTGTCCTTGTCGTTTCGTATTCTCCCTCTTAAATTGGACTAAAAAATCTTTCCATCACCCTGTTCACCTCTTTTTACGACTTACGCACTGTAAAAAAATAAAATAATAATAAAAAAACATCGCACGTGATTTCTACCATAAGTTAGCGTGATTGGGAAAGACTTTGCCGTAGGGCTTAATATTTTGTATAATTATATCAAACCTTCATTGAAATCCTGGATGTTGTAATCTTGAAGAAGCTTTGTCATCAGTACATTCTTTTCTTGGCTACCTAAACGTCTGTACCACTTGTTGAGGAGTTGCCGTGCTAGTCTGTTCATTGCTGCAGAATCGGAAGGTGCAACGAAACCAACAATGACGTAATCATCCAGACGAAGGGCTTTCCCCAGTTGCCATGCCGAAGACAAACTCTTCACCCGAAGAGCCACGCTACACTGCTCGCTCATACTCGGTGAACCTCCACGTAGGTCGATGTCTTCAACACTTTTATCTCCATCTATGATTTATGAAAAAGAATTTGTTTTATATGTATATATATACATTACGACCTGTCGCAATGACCACCTCTCTAGAAAGGCCCCTTGTCAAAAGTAGCTTTGCGTATTCGCACGTCACACGTAGCAGTCCACTATGTCGACGCAAAAATCTAAAAGTCCTTAATGTCTCCATGTCAAGAGAGACATGTGTGTAATGTGTGTCAAGAAAGTCCATCTGTCTTTATTGGACTTGTTTATGTTTTCCTTGGGTAGTGTAGAAATACAAGTTCGACTCTTTCTATATATATATATAGAGAGAGAGAGAGAGAGAGAGAGAGAGATATGAACTTAATTTATCATATGAACTACAATCTTGACACAACATAATGACAACCATTGTACTGTGAAAGGCCATCCTTAGAACTAATATGACATACCCGAATCTGAATGTTCGATGATCTCCATATCTTCATGTTCGCTCTGCTCTTTTCTTTGCTGAGGTGGTGAAATAGAATTCACTTGCAGTTCTTGAACAGCCACTTCTTCGTCTTCTTCTTCTACTTCTTCTTCTCTTTTTTCTTCTTCTTCTTCTCCGTCTACAAGATAGAAATTATTAGGCCATTATGACCATGGAATGGTACTGCCCTTAGCTAACAGCATATTTAATTTCCGTGTTTCGGTTCGATCACTCATCGGGCTGATATATACTCACATGACCTACATGATTGTTCAAAGAGACCAGGAGCAAAATAGCCGAGTTCCTTATTCCTTGAATATTGTATGTCGTAGACAACGGCGAAAAGTTCAGTGTTTAATGGACACTCTCAATAATATATAACCGTGGAATACATGGAAGCGATTCGACAGAATATTGTGACGAATTTCAATAAGGCAACACAATCAGATCGAGTTATATCTATTCTAATATAATAGTACACTTGAATGATTCCTTATTATGTTGTACTTGAGAACAGTAGAAGAATAAAATTGCATGAATTGTGATACCCTTGCTTTTCTCTGCTTTCGATGCTTCCTGCACAGACTCCCAAACCAGCTTCAAAGTCTGCTTTGCTTTAGACCCTGAAGTTTGTGATGCTTTCCAACTTGAGAGCATCTGAATATTAGCGTCTTTGCTATTGTATAGTGTCCGATGTTCGATGTGTTGTAATTCTGACTTGTTGAATCCCAGCTTCTCGCCAATCTCATAGAACTTCTTTGGTTTGATCTGACGGGCGAACGTAAGTAGTGTCCTGTCAGGAATTTCTCTGTATCATCAGAAAATGAATATAAACAGATATATATCTTTTGTTCGCTTTCTTGTTAAACTTAAAATGTCTTATCTAATCACCTAAACATATTTTGTATGAGTGTTTCAGGGGTGGATCTAGCTTTTTGCTAAGGAGTGGGGGGGGGGGGATTTGACCCAGTGGCGGATCCAGGATTTTCCAAGAGGGGGGGGGGGCGCCAAATTTGAAAATCGCGCCGACCAATATTTCGCTTAGGTGGGGGGAGGGGGGGGGGGGTAGTGAGCACTAAAACTGTTTTTTCTTCATTTTTCCCCCAGACATTTGAATTAGATAGTATTACAACAACAAAAATTGCCCCCGACACTAAAAAAAGGGAACTAGTATGTCGGCAAACGTGCTTTTCGTCTCTCCTTATTATCTTCCACTTTCTTCATTAAATAAATAAATATAAATAAACTGGACCTGATTATCAATAAATAGGACTGAACTGACATTCTATATCTATTCTATCAGTACCCTAGTTAGCATTGAATAAATTAGAATCTTACCCAGTAGGCCCAATGTCTGATGTTCCTATTTGAAGTCGAAGTAGAACATAAAGATATAAACATAAAAACAATAAGAATGAGAATACAAAAATATTGTTTAAAAGACAATTGGAATCAAGCTAGTTTGTAACCTCATTTTAAAAGGCCAAGCCAAATAATGCTTCTGTCACCATCCTTCATAATGATGTGTAGATACTATATAAGTATAATTTTGAGTACATCGACCCCTATTTTGTCTCTTTTTTCTGTTGTAGAGAAACGACATGTATTATATATTGCAATATCCTGATGTAACTCCAACACTCATTTTTCCAACTCATTACAGCCCTTGTTCCAACGCAGATATCTAGAGCTCTAACTTATTTCTTGACTGTCATGCACCATTAGCGTCTCGAAATATGTTTACTGGAACTTAATCTTAATTCTTTCCTCAATCCTAACTTCTAGCAACGCACAACACTGAAAAACTAGTTGAAAGGGGTGCCAATATGCCATGAAAACATATTTATTATCCAAAGTTATTCTGTAAAACAATTGGAAGTATTAGAATGTACTCGTCCCTAAGTTATCAGGAAGGTTGAATCCTACTGTTTTACAGTAATTTGGGTTCAATATGGGTCCGATTTTAAAAACAGTGATTTAATCCTTTTTCTACTAGTTAAATAGGGTAATAATTTTATTCATGTTAAAATGGACATTGGCTTGGAAGACTAACCGACACTTTGTTCAAAAGTCAAACCTGAGATGGAAATTTCTTCTGCTGGTGATTCTAAAGACTCCATGAGTGACAGAAACGTTTCCTTTGCTGCTTGGCCGGATGTTTGTCTGTCTCTCCATGTCACCAGCATGGCATAGATGGCCTGCTCTCTGTCATGGAACGTCCTGTATTCTATGGCATCCAGTTGTTGTATAGTGAAACCAAGAGCTACTCCCAAATCGTAGAAATGGTCGACCGTCATTGTTTGGGCTATTGTAAGGACATCAATGTCCGGCAGGTCACTTTTCGAGACTTCTTCCACTGCCCTGCAAGACAATGTGAAGGTGTTCTGGTAAATGTCCTTGTTAACACTACTTTTAAACGATGGCTATATGAACAACAACCCGACGCCAATGACTTATAGCAGCATATTGAATGTTACTTATATTTGCCTCAACGACCCTATCAATATCTTTGACGAAAGAGAGAAATTGCCACCGTATCAATTTCTGATCACCTTTGCAATTTAGATATAATGAGATGGGAAAGTACTGTATTTGTAACTATTTTTTTAAGTCCTGAAATCTATTCCACAATTTTTAAAAAGTAGAAAGTTTCATATTATTTTTTCTAAAACTTACCGCACAAATGAGGGCTCAGGAGGAAATTGGTACTCCGGTCCATCTACAATTTAAACAAGGGCAAATTAAAGAGGAAATACAGAAAACGACTTGTGTCTACTTTTATTATTATTATATATTTCCTCTCCTGATGGCCTCTAGTTTTCAAACAATTTGCTAAACCTTTTGTGTCATCACTAAATTTACGAAAGAAGTGTATGTACAAAAGATTCATGTAAAAATGAACATTACCAAAATGCGAATGTACGTATGCCCGCATTTCACATTTCATGACGAACTGTCAAAAAGTAATATTACAGGAATATACATTCCATTCCGAACTATAAACTTCGGATAATTTTGGGTATTCATTGCTTACTGACATAAATAACATTCGAATGTAATTATCTCTAAGTTTTAGTTCATTAATTCTCGATAGATTCTCCAAATTCTTTGAGTTCTTTATTTGCTCTAACTCAGGAGTTATTAGTCACGAAGTAACTGATGATTTGTTATTTAGAGCACGAAACGAAGATATACCTGTGTGTCTGATGATAAAAGCAATGGATCGAGACACCCCTAGCTTTCCATCCTGAGTAATCGTGATGGTAATCCCTGTAAATTCTACATCATCCTCAGCAGGAGTCACGGACAATAATATGTTGTGCCTCATTTTGCTATGAACATCCTTTAAAGAGAGAATCTGTGTAATTGAAATAAAGAAAAAATACCAACTCTAAATTTGAAACGGTATCATTGCGAGGAAAAAATTAAAAAAAATCAGAATGTGTTAATGTTTTATAGCATATAGTATTAGTAACACGATCACAATAATTTTAGATAAATCAGCTCAAGGGCAATTTTAGTACCCTATTGTTTATACAATAGAAATCGTGTTCGAATACGTCATTATTATTTGTCGCACTTTTCAGTAGGTGACGTAAAAGGCTTTTAGAATTCCCTTAAACTGATTTTTATTTTAAGTAGATGCGATCGTCTTTACCAAGATACATTCCCCCGGGTGCATATTCATGTCGGATAACTGGCCAACATGGTAAGGGAATGTTTGAGTAATGGTGGCAGGTTAAGGTTTCACATGTACTAATACCAGGGTTAAACATTCCCAAGGCAACAAATTTTAGATGTCAGAGGTGAAAAAATGTCAGAGGTATAAATTATGTTTAAAAATATGAGAAGGGAAACAAATATCAGAGGTAAGAATGCGAAACGAGAGTATACCAGAGGTTTGATAGAGGTAAACGGTGTCAGAGGTAAAAGTTCTTGAGGTAGAGATAGATGCAGAAGTTGAGAATGCCAGATGTAAAATTAAAGATGTCTTTAACTGACATGTTTACCTCTGACATTTTTACCATTGCATTTTGTTACATCTGACATTTTTCATTAAACCTTGTAAACTTTTATTGAAAAACAATATCTTGATCATTAAATACAGATTTCGGTATGAAAACTCGAACGTCACGTATTATCTATAGCATAGTTTAGACAACATTGATACATCAAAATAATGATTTCCAATTTTGATTACCTTGCTTTCAACTTGTTCGTCCTCACGATGACACGTCACTGTGACGTCACCAGACTTAGATTCAACACTGAAGGGAACGGAGCGATGACTCTTGTGGTACGACTGCTGCTTCTGTTCCTCTTGTATATCCTTAACAAAAAATAAAGTACCATCGACACACACAAGTGTTATTTACATGTAATTTGTTTATATAGTGCAAAACGTAGAATGGGTGATTTTTCTTTTCAGTGAATAAAAGGTTTCAAATGTTAACAGAAGATTAATAACTAGTACAACTCTAAGCACGCTTAGGACATAGAGTGAAATGGTTCTAAAGAGCTCCTGGTAGTGAGCAACCACGGTTCTAAAAATAAACATGCTCCTCCTTAAAAAATCTGTAAAGGTTCCGCCAGTATCATTAAACAATGCTAAAGGGTTCACAGTGACGCGATGGTTCTTTTTAAGAACCCCAGTGTTTGGAAAATCGTTATATTTCTTGTGCATCTAAATGTGGGCTGAATATGTACGTGTCTTTATGATATTACTGAGTAAAAATATTATCAATAACTCGTTACTTTGTTCCTCACTCACTCTATCAGAAAAAAGGTGAATATGACTGTAAGGTATTATTTAATATCCTGTGTCACGCATTGATATTGAGGAAAGTAGGTTGTGGATTCTTTAAAAACACACCTAAAATCAAACTTGAAAGTAATACAAAACTTATTTAAACCTCTTTGACCATGAAGATGGATTCATTTTTATATATGAAGGGCTCTATGTAGTTTTTGAAGAACATGGGCAATATCGGGGCCAAATTAAAGAACCACATATTTAATGTTACAGTGCGATGCTGAATAAAGGATAAGGCATGAATAAATGCAGTTTTTAATTTGCAACATATTTCCAAGAGTGTTTATCTCATTTCAAACGAATGCCCATTATTATGCTTTCTTTACTTCATGAAGACTTTGAATCGTTAAAGGGATAGTTGAGTTCTGTTTTCAGATCGCAAATGCCTTCAAAGTGCATGGTTATTGCTTTTATTCTTATCTATGACATTTCTAGTGCCCTTTTAGGACCTAAAATTGCTAAGAAGGTAATTTTAGACCACTTCAACCTAACTTTCAAAATATACGGTGACCGTTAATTAATTAATAAATAATAACAATACATGGGCCGGTTGATTGTGCGTAATATAACCAACCAGGCGCGTACACAGGGGGGGGGGGGGTTTGGGGGTTAAACCTCCCCTTTGGTAATTCTTTGTGTGTAAAACCCCCCCCCCCTAAATTTTTTTTTTTTTTTTTAATTAAAAAAAAAAAAAAAAAAAAAATCCCATGACCGACCTCAAAAAGATGACCTTACCCCCCCCCCCCCCCACCAACGGAGCAAAATGTCAAATTTTCAAATTTCGATACCAATTTCCGATACCTTTGGTAATTCTTTGTGTGTAAACCCCCCTAAATTTCCCTAAAACCCCCCCCTTTTGGATTTTTTTTTTTTTTTTTTTTTTTTTTTTTTTTAAATTCCCATGACCGACCTCAAAAGGATGGCCTTACCCCCCCCCCCCCCCACCAACGGAGCAAAATGTCAAATTTTCAAATTTCGATACCAAAAAAAAAAAAAAAAGTGTCCCCTCTTACCCCCCCCCCCCCCCCCCCCCCCCCCCCCCCCCCCCCCCCCCCCCCTCCACTGAGCGACTTTTCGGTTGGCTGAGTCGTTTCGATTTTTTGGACTACCAAAAAAAAAAAAAAGTGTCCGCTGGGAATGAATTTTTACTTACCGTTTCGATCCCAGGAAGGTCCAGATGCATCTGCAGGTGAACTTCAAACTCTTGCCTTCTCTCTATCTTGTCTGGGATGTATGGAGTGCACATAAGTTGATGTCGGATCACCTGCTTTTCAAGAGGAATGAGAACCCACCACTCAGCACAGTGACCAATGTATAGCTCAAGATGTCTCCTGTACACTCTGCAGTATGGTGGTTCGTCTGGTGAGCGGGATGACCTCTCTCTTGATGTTCTTGGTAGATCTGGTGTCAAAGATTCCACAAATAAATAGACACTGCAAATCGTTCCTCACGTCGTTATGGATGACCACAATACAGGCTACCGACCCAGAGATCACTTTGAAGGCGTTCTAAGACTACAATTAGGATTTAAGATTTCAGTGTTTACTGTCTATATAAATTAACCTCTTGGTGGTCTGTTCAGGATGATTATAATGGCTAAGATATCGTTTTCAATTTGTGTTTCTTGGGAAGTAAAAGTAGACAAAATATGGTATCCTGTGCTAAGAATGTCATGTAAAGTGCTGTGTCTGGCAAGCTAGCTGTGGATCTCGGTACACCACTTTCCACTTATCCCAGCATTAACTTGATTAAGAATGGGTCATTTTCTGAATCTGAACCATGTTACGGGTGAAGTCCTTTACCCGTCTCCCCAGGTCCTTGGTTCACTCAGCAGACGACAAAGTTACACAAAGTGGTGTCTCAGGAACCATTACATGTTGAATCTTCGTTTCGAGCTCAATTGTCAAAACCAAAACTGAAACAACTCGTCCACAGGACGAGTATGTATACACAATAACATCGGTCTATACATTTACATCCACCACTCCCAACGGACTTACCCTTCGCTGAATCCCATACACGGCAAACAATGTCAGGCTTCACTTGATCTGGATTGACGATGAAAGCTGAGTGTGGTATCCTGATCTTAACGGGTTGGTGGAAGATCATGTTTGGAGGGTCACATCTGATCCCGTAGCAGGCCACCGATTCATCACCCTGGCTATTGATGCTTGGAGGATCTTGTATACTGGTTAATGTAATCTCACAGGAGCCACTCTCTTGTACAGCCCCTAGTGGTATCGACATTGATATACCAAGGTCTTCCAGTTCTATCTGCTTTCCGTCACTATCGACAAGAACAGACACCGTAACCAAGGGTATGGCTTCTTCGGCTGTACAAAAGATGAAATCAAGAGATTAGCAACAAAATGGTGGAAAATGAACGGTTTCTCTGTATCAAGAAAAATAGTCAATGACTTAGTCTGAATCTCGGGTACATCATCAATAAAGCCAGTAATTTAACAAAATTAACAAAATCTATAATCGTTTGAGGTGGAGAAGATATATTTCTCGCATAATCAATGAATGTAGTGTACAGTAGGCGAAGAATGTGTATCAAATAGTACTTAAACGGCAAGTTATCGTTTTGAGAGATGCATGAGTGCATTTTAACAGCGAAATGAAGACTGTATGAGCAGTTGAAACAATGCACGAGAGAGTAAATGTTGTCATCTCTCTATATCCTACATTACCTCGATATCTTGTGATCATCTCTATCGAAGGTAACCTATAATTTCGAAGGTAAAAAGAGAGACCAAAGAGTGATTGTTAGTATTGATGGTTTTTATTCATAATCACATCATGGATGAAAATATAAGAGCTTCTGTTAAACATCTTCAGTCATGATATGAATGTAGAGAATACAAAAAAATGACCAAGTCGTCTCAAAAGGTCCAGAATCCAGGCGTTCCAATTACAATGCATCGAGGAAATGAACTTGAACGAACTTCAAAAGTCCGAATAGGCAAGAATACGCACAGGCTTCACCACGGATACATTTAAGATGCTGGGCGGAACACTCAACTGACAACTACCCCCTATGATAGTTGTCCGGGGGTATTTGTCCTAGCGGATAGTTGTCGTAGGGGGTATTTGTCTGGGGGGTACTTGGCCGGGTGGTACTTGTCTGGGGGTAGTTGTCCTAGGGGTAGTTGTCCGGGGGTAGTTGTCCAATGGGGTAGTTTACTGGGAGTAGTTGTCCGGGGGTAGTTGTCCCAGGAGGTAGTCGTCCTAGAGGGTGGTTGCCCTAGAGGGTAGTTGTCTTAGGGGGTAGTTGATTGAGGGTGGTTATCCGGGGGTGGATGTCCTAGAACCATATCCAGCATTCGTTTCGATGGGTTTTACGGTTTGGTATAATAACCTTTATCTGCACATGCACAGATGATTATTTCCGACCTGGCAGATTGATAAAGATTTCCCTACCTTGAAAATATCATCTGTCGGATAACTTCATTGGTAGTATAGTGGACTGGGAGTTTGCCTTCACCATCTCTTATATCCAGCTTCGCGCCGTGATCCAGAAGGTATAGGATTAAAGCCTTCTCTGGGGAAATCTCGTGATGATAGAAGTTCTCTGAGATCTGAGTTCAAATACCAGGTGTATCAAGAGAGGTTATCAAAAAGAAGAACAAAAAGAAATGTGCATTGATAATTTGTATATTTAAATATGTTTATAAACGGGTCATTTTAAAGTTTGATGGTAAAGACATCATACATCGATGTCTTAGTTGACCAATCAAGTACGGGAACCACCGCAGCCAATCTATTAAATTACTTGTTTATTTCCCATCGAAACGCTTTACAAACACCATAAACCTAACAATCTGCCTGATAACTTCGATAGATCTTCCGTTCATCTTGCCTTGGATGAAACGTGTGCTATACGACTGGTATACCATGCAACCAACAAAAGTTGTCTCTAAATATTGAGTTTTGACTGTTCTGACATGACTGTTCGGTCACTATGCAGGGGCAAGCTCTTAATCACAAGTGACATTGACATAATTACCATTTTTTTTTTCTTTCTTGCAGACTAGCTTATCGATTGTCCGGCTCGCTGAGTTTTTAATCGTCTTTACCTGTTTGAGTTTCCCTTCCGTTTGTTCTTTTTCGCCCTTGTGACCAGAAAGTATGATGGCTTCATGGAGGCAGGTCTTTCCATTGTGCGACTGGATGTTCAAGGAAGCTCCATGGGAAACCAGCGACTCGACAACCGGTGTGTGGTCATTTTGAGTGGCGAGGTGAATGGCAGTCTTGCCGTCATCATCACGTTGATCGAGAATCCCAGTGCTCTACATAACAGAAAATAAGAATTAATAAATGAAAAAAATAATGTATGAATTATAAATTATAGGCGTATTCCTTATGATGAAGCACTGATATCATTCTCTAATTACGTGGACTTTCAACTAGCTTGAATGGCCAAAAAATTATCGAAAATTTCTTTTAAAATCGTATAAGCCTACACCTTGTGTAGTCTGAATGTGGTTAAATATAAGCCCAGAAACATATGAATTCGAAATAAACCCTACTTAGCTGTGTTTGCCTATATTATTACCATTTAAAAAAAAAACGTTTTTTGACACTTTTTTATTATTTATATTGGCTGCTCACTATGTAGAGAAAGGATTTATTACACACCTTTGAACGAATTGCTAAGATGTCGGAAGAGTTGGCACTTCCTTTCTTTGAAGATAGATGCAGTGGGGTCTGTTCATTAGCATCTTTTTCATCAACTACGGCTCCTTCCTCAAGTAGGACCTTAACAATATCGAAGTCACCATTCATAGCAGCAATGTGCAAAGGGGTGTAACCGTTTCTGTCACTCATATTCACACTTATTCCTTGTATTACCAAATACTTCGTCACATCAAGATGACCCTCCTGAGCAGCACTGTGTAATGCAGTTCTACCGTCATTATCTCTGTTATTCACCTCACCTCCTTGACTGATGAGATATTTAGTGATATCAAGTTGACCTTCCTTAGCAGCAAATTGTAATGCAGTCCTACCCTCATTATCTCCCCTATTCACCTCAGCTCCTTGATTGATCAAATATTTAGTGACATCAACATGACCATTCCGAGCAGCAAATTGTAACGCAGCCCTACCCTCATTATCTTCCTGATTCACCTTGGCTCCTTGACTGATCAGATATTTGGTGATATCAAGATGACCTTCCTTAGCAGCAACTTGTAATGCAGTGAAACCCTTATCATCTCCCTTATGGGCGTAAGCTCCTTCAATGATGAGATATTTGGTGACATCAAGAAGACCATTTAGAGCAGCACTGTGTAATGCAGTCCTACCCTCATTATCTCCCTGATTAACCTCAGCTCCTTGACTGACCAGATACTTGGTGACATCAAGATGAGCATTGAAAGCAGCACCTCGTAATGCAGTCCAACCGTTCTTATTTACCCTAGTCACCTCAGCTTCTTGAATGATGAGATATTTGACGACTTCAAGATGACCGTTCTGAGCAGCACTGTGTAATGCAGTCGAATCCTCATTATTCCCTTTATTGACTTCAGCTCCTTGACTGATCAGATATTTGGTGACATCAAGATGACCATTTTGAGCAGCAACACTTAGTGCAGTCCAACCCTCATTATCTCCCTGATTAACCTCAGCTCCTTGACTGATGAGATATTTGGTGACATCAAGATGACCATTTTGAGCAGCACTGTGTAATGCAGTCCTACCCTTATGATTTCCCTTATTCACCTCCGCTCCTTGACTGATGAGATATTTGGTGACATCAAGATGACCATATTGAGCAGCAACACTTAGTGCAGTCCAACCCTCATTATCTCCCTGATTAACCTCAACTCCTTGACTGATGAGATATTTGGTGACATCAAGATGACCATTCGAAGCAGCAACACTTAGTGCAGTCCAACCCTCATTATCTCCCTGATTAACCTCAGCTCCTTGACTGATGAGATATTTGGTGACATCAAGATGACCATTTTGAGCAGCACTGTGTAATGCAGTCCTACCCTTATGATTTCCCTTATTCACCTCAGCTTCTTGACTGATGAGATATTTGGTGACATCAAGATGACCATTTTGAGCAGCAACACTTAGTGCAGTCCAACCCTCATTATCTCCCTGATTAACATCAGCTCCTTCACTGGTGAGATATTTGGTGACATCAAGATGACCATTCAAAGTAGCAACACTTAGTGCAGTCCAACTCTCATTATCTCCCTGATTAACCTCAGCTCCTTGACTGATCAGATATTTGGTGACATCAAGATGACCTTTGAAAGCAGCACCTCGTAATGCAGTCCGGCCGTTCTTATCTACCCTAGTCACCTCAGCTCCTTGACTGATGAGATATTTGGTGACATCAAGATGACCATATTGAGCAGCAACACTTAGTGCAGTCCAACCCTCATTATCTCCCTGATTAACCTCAACTCCTTGACTGATGAGATATTTGGTGACATCAAGATGACCATTCGAAGCAGCAACACTTAGTGCAGTCCAACCCTCATTATCTCCCTGATTAACCTCAGCTCCTTGACTGATGAGATATTTGGTGACATCAAGATGACCATTTTGAGCAGCAACACTTAGTGCAGTCCAACCCTCATTATCTCCCTGATTAACATCAGCTCCTTCACTGGTGAGATATTTGGTGACATCAAGATGGCCATTGAAAGCTGCAGCACGTAGTGCAGTCCGACCGTTCTTATCTCCCCTATTCACATCAGCTCCTTGAATAATGAGATATTTGGCGACTTCAAGATGACCCTTCTGAGCAGCATCCTGTAATGCAGTCCAACCCTCATTATCTCCCTGATTAACCTCAACTCCTTGACTGATGAGATATTTGGTGACATCAAGATGACCATTCGAAGCAGCAACACTTAGTGCAGTCCAACCCTCATTATCTCCCTGATTAACCTCAGCTCCTTGACTGATGAGATATTTGGTGACATCAAGATGACCATTTTGAGCAGCACTGTGTAATGCAGTCCTACCCTTATGATTTCCCTTATTCACCTCAGCTTCTTGACTGATGAGATATTTGGTGACATCAAGATGACCATTTTGAGCAGCAACACTTAGTGCAGTCCAACCCTCATTATCTCCCTGATTAACATCAGCTCCTTCACTGGTGAGATATTTGGTGACATCAAGATGACCATTCAAAGTAGCAACACTTAGTGCAGTCCAACTCTCATTATCTCCCTGATTAACCTCAGCTCCTTGACTGATCAGATATTTGGTGACATCAAGATGACCTTTGAAAGCAGCACCTCGTAATGCAGTCCGGCCGTTCTTATCTACCCTAGTCACCTCAGCTCCTTGACTGATGAGATATTTGGTGACATCAAGATGACCATATTGAGCAGCAACACTTAGTGCAGTCCAACCCTCATTATCTCCCTGATTAACCTCAACTCCTTGACTGATGAGATATTTGGTGACATCAAGATGACCATTCGAAGCAGCAACACTTAGTGCAGTCCAACCCTCATTATCTCCCTGATTAACCTCAGCTCCTTGACTGATGAGATATTTGGTGACATCAAGATGACCATTTTGAGCAGCAACACTTAGTGCAGTACAACCCTCATTATCTCCCTGATTAACATCAGCTCCTTCACTGGTGAGATATTTGGTGACATCAAGATGGCCATTGAAAGCTGCAGCACGTAGTGCAGTCCGACCGTTCTTATCTCCCCTATTCACATCAGCTCCTTGAATAATGAGATATTTGGCGACTTCAAGATGACCCTTCTGAGCAGCATCCTGTAATGCAGTCCAACCATCATTGTCTCCCTGATTAACCTCAGCTCCTTGGCTGATCAGATATTTGTTGACATCTAGATGACCATTGGTAGCAGCACAGTGTAATGCAGTACTACCTTGATTATTACCCATATTCACCCCATCTCCTTGGCTGATCAGATATTTGGTGACATCAAGATGACCATTTTGAGCAGCAACACTTAGTGCAGTCCAACCCTCATTATCTCCCTGATTAACCTCAGCTCCTTGACTGATCAGATATTTGGTGACATCAAGATGACCTTTGAAAGCAGCCCCTCGTAATGCAGTCCGGCCGTTCTTATCTACCCTAGTCACCTCAGCTCCTTGACTGATCAGATATTTGGTGACATCAACATGACCCTTCTGGGCAGCTCTGTGTAATGCAGTCGAATCATCATTATTCCCTTTATTGATCTCAGCTCCTTGACTGATCAAATATTTGGTGACATCAAGATGACCATTCGAAGCAGCAACACTTAGTGCAGTCCAACCCTCATTGTCTCCCTGATTAACATCAGCTCCTTCACTGGTGAGATATTTGGTGACATCAAGATGGCCATTGAAAGCTGCAGCACGTAGTGCAGTCTGACCGTTCTTATCTCCCCTATTCACATCAGCTCCTTGAATAATGAGATATTTGGCGACTTCAAGATGACCCTTCTGAGCAGCATCCTGTAATGCAGTCCAACCATCATTGTCTCCCTGATTAACCTCAGCTCCTTGGCTGATCAGATATTTGTTGACATCTAGATGACCATTGGTAGCAGCACAGTGTAATGCAGTACTACCTTGATTATTACCCATATTCACCCCATCTCCTTGGCTGATCAGATATTTGGTGACATCAAGATGACCATTTTGAGCAGCAACACTTAGTGCAGTCCAACCCTCATTATCTCCCTTATTAACCTCAGCTCCTTGACTGATCAGATATTTGGTGACATCAAGATGACCATTGAAAGCAGCACCTCGTAATGCAGTCCGGCCGTTCTTATCTACCCTAGTCACCTCAGCTCCTTGACTGATCAGATATTTGGTGACATCAAGATGACCCTTCTGGGCAGCTCTGTGTAATGCAGTCGAATCATCATTATTCCCTTTATTGATCTCAGCTCCTTGACTGATCAAATATTTGGTGACATCAAGATGACCATTGGAAGCAGCACTATGTAAGGCAGTCCTACCCTCATTATTTCCCTTATTCACCTCAGCTCCTTGACTGATCAGATATTTGGTGACATCCAGATGACCATATGTTGCACCATTTTGCAGTGCGGAAATCACATTACCATTCACCTCAGCTTTTTGACTGATCAGATATCTCACTACATCAAGTTTACCGTACCCTGCTGCAATATTTAAAGGAGACCAGCCTTTAGTACTGCCCTGATTCACTTTTGCCCCCTGACTGATAAAGTATCGTACTATATCAAGATGACCAATCCTTACAGCGCTGTATAATGCAGAGTATCCGCCTTTGTCTTCTTTGTCCATATTAGCTCCAAGGCTGAGTATAAATGGTATTGCTTTAAGACGTCCGAGTGATACAGCAAGATGTAAGGGTGTTTGTCCATCTGGAGTCGCCTCGTTCACATCAGCTCCATGATTTATGAGATACTCGATGACATTTTCCTGACCATTATGGACCGCTATGTGTAAGGGTGTGTTTCCATTTTGGTTTGTTTGATTTATGTTTGAACCAAGTTTTAACAAACTTTCGACGGCTTCAAGATTACCCTGCAATACTGCATCGTGGATCTCTTGATTCACATTATCCATATTTGTTAATGTCTCGCTGCATAACTGGATCAGTAAGTTCTCTGGTCACAGATAATTATGTCCCAAATTCCTTCTTTGCGATCATCTGTTCAACTGTCATTAATTGACATCACTTTGTATCCAGAGAATGCCCAGGGTAACATTAAATTCGTTTGCCATCGAAGCTCGATATATTTGAGCCGTGCACAGGAACGCTGAACCCTAAAAAACTGCACACGACTTAGCAAATAAAAAGTTAATCATAAATCCTGGTGATCGATCAAGATACTTATAATGAGTGACAATTTCACATAGAAGTGATAACAGAATTGGACTTTAGATTCATAATTCTTTGCAAATATCAATATCAACCAAGTCAATACCTAAAAAGTATTTTGTGTGTGTGTGTGTGTGTGTAAACTCGGGAACCTACATTTCATACGTGCACTATAACAATACAAAAATTCATATCTCACTTATGGCTTTAGGCCTAATTAGATAATGCATTTTTGCTATTGTTTTTGTTGTTTATTCATTATTTCTGTATTAGTTACATACACGTAGCATTCACATTCAGTGTAATAATAATATTCCACTTTTATCAAAACGCTCAAAACAATGTCTCTGAGCGTTGTACAGATATACTACAGTGTGAGTCAAACAAATGTTTACCCCTAAAAAAAATTGCTAATTATTAAAAAAAAAAAAAATCATCTATGAACAGTAAATTATGATACATCTTATGAAAGAGTGTTTTATCCCGAATCATTTAGTATCATTTTGTGTGGTTTGTGTTCACGCTTGGATGAACTGGAGGCATTGTTTGCGAAAGTGCAAAAATCGACTTGCGCCAAAGTTGATTATATGATGTTTGAATGAAATAATTGGGACTTGGTTATTAATTCGGTCTTTGCAGATCCAAATAACATCGCCAACAAAATTGATCATGCCACACATATCAAATATCGAATATCAAATATCAACCAACATTTGTGCGCGATATGCAATGCATTTCTTTTGATACATTCAATTAATTCTCTCACTCCGCTAATCCCAACATAATACATATTATATCCTGCATCAAAAATTTGTTGGCTTTTGATTGGTTGAGAGCTCGTCACATGACCAGAAATATTTGACCTATTTTTAGAAAGTACTATATGAGAGTACTATTTTGGTGTACTATTTGGGAGTTGAATTTTTTTTTTTTTTTTTTAATTGAATAATTTTTTTTTCTTCAAATCTTAATTTAATGAAAACAAAATATTTTAAATCTTTTTAGATAAAAATTGACATTTTTTTTTGTTCTAAATTCATTTTTGTTTAAATACATTTTTGATGCAGGATATAAAACAAATATACCATGCCTTCTATTCGAGGTACTGGTTAAACTATGGGACTCGGTGACTCCAAAAGTACCATTTGCTTCGGGGCTGCGCCCCTCAGCAAATAGTACTATTGGAGTCACCTCTTGCGCATAGTTTTAACCAGAACCTCTCAAGGCAGTGTATATTTGTATACTATAAGCATACCACACAAGAATGATACCAAATGATATTAGTGCCATGTCGGGATTCGAACCTTGTAAGCAGGTAAGTGTATATGGTGAATTAGAATAAACACTGAAATTGTGAATTCTTTCAGCAGCAAATGAAATTTAAACTGCGTGGTGTTCTAATAAAAGATCAAATGTATTCATACCGACTTGGACACTTTTCGTCTTTCAATAAGGCCTAAAATAAAAACTTGTATTGCCCTTTGCGACCGACCCAAAATTCTGAAAATCTACGGTCGGCATTTAAAAAAAAAAAAAAAATTAAACCGTGTTTTAGATTTTTTTTATTATTAATGAAAACAAAAATATGTATTTTGTTCAAACATTAACAACTGAAAAATATCGGCCCCAAAAAAAAAGTTAAAAAAAACCCAACTTTTCCAACCGACCGACCCATGTTTTGGCACCTAAAGGGCAATACAACAAGTTTTTGTTTAGGCCTAAGGTCCCTTTGTAAATCTTCGTACACAGTCCCAAAATATATACAATAAAACATGTTTCTTTAGGCATATAATTCCTCATATGAATGATGACTCCTGCCACATTACTGCAACCCCACCCCCCCCCCCCCCACCCCCTCTCTCTCCCTCCCTCCTGGCCTGGTATATTCCCTCGTAACTCAAGAAGAAATTGATATATGTTGGACAATATGAAGTGCACTTTTCAAGCTCTCCTTTGATATTAATTTAATAATATATGAATGCTTATCTTTGCTCACAATCCCTACAAATATTATTTCTCTGTCAAAACATTTTCTTTCTTTTCGAACCCACAGCTGAAACGGGTCCCTACCAGAATTCAAATAAATGCAACACAGTATATTAATCATTAATTTGTTCATAAGGCATAATCAACTAGTGTTCATCCCGACCTTGCCACCCGCATTGTTTGAGGTTGAAAAGATAACGCACAGAAATCATAATGTAACCAGTAGCTGTTCTAGAAGAATATATTTTGTTGGTGGATGGAGGGCTTTGGTGGGCTTTCGGGGGATCTGGTAGCAACCCCCCCCCCCCCCCCTCCAAGAACCGTTACTGCATATGTTGGGATTTGTGTCGTATCTGAACGCATAGTTCTGCAAGGTACTCATTGAACTTTCGTCAATTACCCTGATTTAAGCTGACTGACGCAAAATATACGTACTGATAACAATATCTTCATTATCTTGAGACATCATGAACATTTTATCAGCAGGTTAAACTCTAAGTAGTTAGACTATGCCATTAATTGTGGTATTTCAGTGATGTAATGATAATTATTGATATATTAAACATGCTTAGGAAAGGTTTGATTAATATAAAAATAATGTAAGACTAGCTGGAACCTCAGTGTTTCATAGATTGATGTATTAATAACAAGAACTATCAACAATCTCCTTATAACCAAACAAATGCAAGTATTTTAGTAGCTTATGATAAGTATTGTATTTTAGTTAAAATAACAAGATTCATGAAATAGGGCCCTGTGTGGAAATAGAATGATAGTTTTCTGATAAACAGGCTGTGTCTCTTCCTGGAGGCTATACGCGTATTAGCCCCGGCCCCCCCCCCCCCCCACTCAGTGTTATTTAGGGTACGCATATGCTCGTTCCCTCTTTTTGAAAGCACCCCCTATCTGAGGACTGCCAACATTTCCGAGCCCCCCTTTCGCGGGCTTTTTGCGGGCTTTTCCTGCCTTGGAGACCCCCCTAAATTCGGGAAATGCTCAATGTACCCCCTTCATTCGGAATAATTTCTCAGGAATCCAAAGAGATGAGAGAAAAAAAAAAAAAACACCCCCTTTTTAAAGAAATCTCCGGGTGAAAAGTCAAATACACCCCTTTTTTTTTTTACTATTCTCGGGCCGGACTTTGTCGCACGAAAAGTACCCCTTTACCGGACATTTTGGCAACACGCATGCGGTCATTCCGACCTCGGAGGGGGGGGGGGGGGGGGGGCCGGTATTAGCGCAGACATTCATTGTGTTTTACTTCTTCCAATTTAATGCAATACGGAGATATTAGAATGCAGGACGTGTGTGCGTGTGAGGGTGCGCACGCGAATGTGTGGGTATTTTTTTTGTAATCAATTTTATTTCATTGATGAAGATGAAATATTGTCCATTAATTTTATATGGTTTGATTTTTATTCGACTGTATTTTAGGGCGAGGGTTGCGCGCGTAAGCGCGTGTGTGTGCGTCACTGTGTGTGTGTGTGTTCCCAAACCGAGGACACTCACGCAGAGAACCACTCGTAAAACGAGGACGCCCTCGGTTTGAGAATCCTGTAAGATATTCAAAATTGTATGCCCTTTCCCAAGGCTCTTGAACTCGATGATACGAGAAGTCACGGGTTCAATGCTTGCTTGGTGCTTACATCTAGAAAACGTGTTCCCAAGCAACTTAGGTGTATTAAATAGGTACCTGGCAGTGCTGTGTAATAATGATTGTAGGGCAGTATTGCTACTGATGTGCCTACCCGGGTGTTTCATCAGCTAAAATTAATTTTAATCTTTAAAAAAATAAAGACCGAATCAATTTTAGCTTAAAATGTATGCGGTCAATTTCAAGATCAATTTTCAGACTTGATGAAACGCCCCCCCCCCCCTGGATAAATAAGACCCAATTATCTTTTCTTGATCATGCACTCTTCCAATCTTCTTTAAGACATATAGATCTACACTCTTTATCTTTTTTCTCTCTCTCTCTCTCTATCACACACACACACACACGCACGTGCATCCGTAAACACACAACAACATAACAATTACTGTTTCTTTTTTAATGCTCAATAAACAAGTATACTTTTTATTCATTATATACACGGATCTGCCTTATGCTACATACACATAATGGCAAAGAATAAATACATGCCTGCATACAGGCATAATAATTGCACACATAATCACATATCATTCGCACAAAATAATGCATATTTGAGAATCATGGAAAAGTTTGATAAGTGTTTGGTAAGTGAAAGATAGAATAGAACTGGGAGAAAGAGAATGGGGAGACGTGGGATAGAGAGATAGAGGAGGGGGAGGGAGAGAGAGAGAAGGATAAGGGGAGAATGGATGGAATGTGAGGGAGGAGAAAACGAGACGCGGGAGGGGAAGAGTCGTAGAAAGAGCAGGAAAGAGAGAATGGGAAGAATGAGAGGATTCGAGAGAGAGAGAGAGGGAGAGAGAGAGAGAGAGAGGGAGAGAGAATGGGGAGCTGGAGATAGTGAGAGAGGGGGATAGAGAAAGAAAGGAAGAAAAAAAACACCAAAAACATTATGCTAACAAGATTCTTTAATGAATGCATAATATTTTCATCTGTCTCCATAATCAGACTTGAATATAATTTGAGAGATACTTATTTCTAGAATTAAAACTTGTCATTTAGATGAATGATTGCAATACTGGATACAATCCATACTACTTCCATTTTTTTAAACTTCAAATAAGCTCCAACTTTCAACTCCGGCATTTTCTTTTGTGCACAAATACTCTCTAGAAATGCCTGATTTTGTCACAATAATCAGTCTTTCCAGAAGAGTTTGAAGACGATGCAAACCTGAAAAGGAATATACATTGTTTCTTCCATGTTATACGTTTTCAAAAAGTTGTGCTTAACAGAAAGAAACAAGTATATATTCTGAATGTAGATCACACAAGGTACATTTTGTGCCCTGGATTTTACCCTAAAAACACGATCCATGTATGTGTAGTTGAGTTGTTTGAATCACAATTTTCAACTGAGCAATCAGATCGCCTTGTTCTCAAAGACTCGGCTATCTAAAAACCATGTGCATCTACTGCTATGTATTGTGTTCATTTGCCTGTCTGTAGATTGTTTAATGCAGCATTATGGGTCCTTTCGAAGGTTTTTGAAACTGCAAATGAAATTTTAGCTAAGTATTTCAAAACTGCTAATATTTCTGACCTAAGTATACTTATTCCTGCCCAACAACAGAACAGTGGTTACCATAGGTATGGCATATATCTCAAATGAAAATACAAGATATAATTTCTTTTATTTTTAGAACATTCCACTTCCATAATCAAATATAGTACATGTACTACCAAAAGATCAATTTCAGATCAACTTGTTAGAGGCAGCTTCATAATTCATTCTATTTAAATATGTAATCAGCAAAGTAATGTACAAGGCCATCAGACAATATTGCAGTTCTACTATGGCACTCGTTGAACTTGTAAACTATCCAGAACGGCGCATAACAAACAAATATAACAAATTTAATGGATAAATAGTGACTTACCGGTAAGTAGTAAGAATGAAATAATGTATTACTTGCATGCTACAATTAGAGCCATTTCTAAAGGTTTTACCATATCCCCTCTGCTCAGTACGAAGCATGTATATTGCATAGCATACTCTGATATTCTACATGTACTCGGGTGGGGGAGGAATAAATATGTTTTTTAAGAGATACACTAGGCGGTATGTCTCAGACAGCAAGGGCCTTTGGTTATTTTTACTGTGATCGCACCTAAAATCATGTTTCATTTTTCTGTAGGAAACATGAGCACCATTGCATAGCATTCATCTCTTTATATGTATATAGACAGCTGAGATGCTCTCAATGACAAATATATTTGCATTTCACAGATACCATAGGTAAAAATAAACCTTATCTTTGGCCAGCATTCTTAAAGAAAGGTTAACTTAGTTTACGGATTTATGGAGTTCCAAGCGTCAGCCCTTTTTCTGTATGACTGAATGACTAAAAGGTAAAGACCAGTATTGGAAACGCCCCAATTTCAAAAAATGAAATGGAAGCTCTCATTACCAATCATGTGAAAGAATATGTTTTGACTAATACATGATGTTACAAAATTTGCCGGGAAACCACCTACTAATTCATATATTTGGTAAATTTGTTTCTCTCATGGACTGTGAGAGATATAGGGTAGTCCCATATACATCTTTCTGTGTAAAGTTACGAAAAATGGGCCAAATTTCTTATCATTTTGATGATTCCAGAACCTTGCAGATGCTAGATGCTAGATGATCAACCTTTTCTGATCGATTCCACAACGTTTCTTTCACAATGTAATCGCATGACCATGCATAACTGGTCTTTACCTTTAATAAGGTCACGATGATGGTAATAGAAATTTGTTTCATACTGACATAACTTTAGTGTTCATTAATACGGAATGGTGATGTTAATGAGTTGGTCAGACAGACACTTGGTGCTCCTTAATATCAGTGGAGTAAATCGAGCAGTAAGCACTAAGACGGGATGTGAGGCAAATATGTTAATTCACTAGTTAACCTCTACTTCCGTCTTTACCAACATATGTTCGGCTTGATTATGCTGGAAAAGTGCCCCATGAGGTGCTCATGATACAGAGGGCAGTGTTGGCCGCACGCGCAAGATTCATGCAAGATTGATGCCATTTTAATGCTTACAACTAATAAAAACCTGGGCAGTATTTCCTGATACCATCCCACTGAAACATGTATTCAAAATCAACACAATTTTCCATGGGATGTCGCTGAACTGTATTTGTCAAACAATGTCCTGGACTATAGTTTAATTAATTTTTTAATGAATATTGGTCTTTAACATCAACTCTGGAAATCTATTTGCCTTTTTTCCTGCCTCTCCTGCTGTGGCGTCCGTCAGGCGAGGGCGACGCACCGATGGTAATCGAACCGTCCTGGATCTCTTGTCTGGTATTCTCAGGAGCCTTGTTTAGGGTCTCCTGGGCCTCCAAGAAGAACATGAGATCCCTCAGCTGCTCTTTTAACTCGTTGATCTCCTGCAAGAAGAAGGGAGGCAAGTACATAAAGAAAAAACATCAATAATAATGATGATTAAAAATTGAAAGTGATAATGATAATGATGATGCTGATGAGGATGAGGATGATGGTGAAGATGATGAGGATGATGGTAAAGATGATGATGAGGATGATGATGGCGAAGATGATTATGGTAATGGTGGAGTTTTGTTGAGGGTCTTCAAGGCCTCCAAGGAGAACATGAGATCCCTCAGCTGATCCTTCAAGTCATTGATCTCCTCATTCAACATTGCCATTATAATAATAATTATCATAGTAGAAGAAATAGTAAGAGTAGTAGTAGTAGTAGTAGTAGTAGCAGTAGTAGAATTGCATGTAGTAGTAGTAGTAGCTGCAGTAGCAGTAGTAGTAATAGCAGAAGTAGGAGCAAGAGTAGTAATGGGGGATTTTAGTAGTAGTAGTAGTAGTAGTCGTAGTCATAGAAATAGTAGCTGTAGCAGTGGTAGTAGTAGTAGTAGAAGTACTTTAGTAGTGTTGGTTGGTTGGTTGGTTTTATCTGACTGTTAAGGAAGCATGGGCAAGCTTGTAAATAATCAACCAGGGGAACTACAGCTTTAAGTCCTCTCCAAAGGACTTGGTAATGAGGATCAATGCCTTACCAAGGAACAGGGACCTCCCGATTACAAGACCACAGCTCTACCACTGAGCCATCGCGCCTCCTATTGTAGTAATACTACATGAAGTTTTAGTAGTAGTAGCAGTCGTGGTAGTGGGAGTTGTAGTAGTAATAATAATAATAATAATATTAATACTCAGTTTTTATATAGCGCTCATTGCAATCACTAAGCGCTTCCAAACTTGGAGATTATTAACCCGGCTTTAGCTGTGCTGCCATTACGGCGCTCTAGCATTTTAAAGAATTAATTCCTGCCAGGTACCCATTTACATCACCTAGGTTGAGTGTGGCAAATGTAGATCAATGAGTTGCCAAAGGTCATTAGTGCTGGAGTAGGTCTCGAACCGCGGACCTTGTGATCGACAGTCCGGCAACTTCACTCGACCACGGCAGTAGAAGTGGGAGTTGTAGTACAGTAGTAGAGGTAGTAGTAGTAGTAGTAGTAACAATAGCAATAGCAGTAGTATCAATAGTAGCAATAATATACATGTATCTAAAGGCAGAACAAAATATATTTATGTGGTAGCAGTACTTACATCTGTTTTTATTTTGCTCTCATCATCTAACCTTTTCTCCAGCGCAGTAACCTTCGTTTGCCAATCGGCTTGATTGGCTCGCAAACATTTGTTCATCTGAAAAAACAAGAACAAGGCGTTTCAAAATATTTGATGAATAAACTGTGTATCACACAAAATAGTGCCTTTTCTCATTTTCACGAAGATATTTATCCTTTACCTATGATTTACATAATTTGTATCATTTGTTACATAATTCATCGCCCAAAAGAGGATTTTTTATTCAAATCTAGGTACTTACTTTATTTTCTCTATTGTTCTTCAAGAAAAACTTGTGGAATGCTCTGGTACAAAGGAAAATCACCACCATTGGTACAACTCAACATGACAAATTTAGTCTTTTTCCAGTAAACCACAATTCTTCTGATAACGACATGTATACACTTATTCTTCTTACTTTCCATCTGCCCTTTTATATAATGTTTGACAACAATTCATCAGCCAAATATGTCCTGATTATATCATTAAAATTGGCTACACACTGATGTGATTCAAAAACATTATTTGGTAGCTAAATATATTTAATTCAATAATCCCATGCCAAACTGACACAAAGTAAGTTTTAAACTAATCTAGCATTGTAGCTCTAAATATTCTCACTCAAATTGGCAACACGTACCTCCATTTCTTCAGAGAGCTGGCTTAAGACCTTGCCTAGTTTATCGGACATGAACAAACTCTTCTTATCCAGCAGCTGCTTCTCCTTCAGACCTTTCTGCGCTTCTCTCTCCACCCTGTCTCTCTCCTCCATCAGCTTCTTGGAGCGCACTTCTATCTCAGTTACCTGAAATGAGCAATTCATAACCATCAAGTAATAATAATTGACCCTACCGCAAATACGATGCTTGACAGTAGATGGCGACCTTCCTCCCACACTGTGCAGGTCAGCTCAGCACATACACAGATACAATAGTAGGGAAGGTTTCTTCCGGCCTCCATAGAGAATGTACAGCAGTGTCAACTAATTCCTTATTCTACTAAACTATTGTTAAGTTAAGGTTTCATGAACTCCCCCAACGATTTAATGAGATCCATGTAGGCACCATTATAATCTGTTACTTATAGTTCCGAACTATAATTTCTTTTGGACTTTCCAGTTCTTGACCCCAAATATACACATTGCTTGTGCTGCCCTCTATGGCCGAATACCGTAGTTGCGGTAGTGAAAATTGCATCCTGTTCACAAAAATGACAATTCCCATACACCAGATATAACACCATCAAAAGGATAGATTATAGTACATTATAGTACACCAACGTATTATTTCTCTGTCTACATACTCGATTTTGGATATATTCCACATCATGAGTTTTTATAAAACTGAAGACAAAAAAAGGAAGTTGACTCCCTTATTCAAGCTGTGTCATCTAAATCTTATTTTGGGGGTAAAAAATATAAATAACGATATCATGATAACATACTACTACTAATAATTTATATTGATGATAATATCAACAAAACTGGGAAATGAACAATATCCAGCCTAAAGAGTTCTTTGTGTATCATGTATTCCATCTCTATGCACTTAGTATATACATAACTTAAAGATGAGGACAAGTATTTTCAAATATCTGAATGTGTAAAAGAAGTGTACAAAGGAAGCAGATAAATGTTTGTTTTTTTAGAATAAAGTTATAAAAAAAAAATATGAAAGGTGCACTAGCCGTACCTGTGCTATAGCATCACTTTCTATCCTGGTCATCTTCTCTTCATAGTAGAGTCTTTGAGATTCTAGTTGGCTGTTCAACAGGTAAGTATACTGCAGGAAGACAAACAAGAAACATAATGGTATCATGATAACATTCTCTCAATCAAAGGATTTCATTCAAATAGTTATTTTAAGTACTTTTAAGAACAATTATCATCACCAATTTCAAAGCTTTAAATCCATGATTTTATGTTAACTGATTTTGTGTAACTTACCCAACTTCAGCTGTCATGACTGTATTTTAACCTTACTTTTGTTTTGTCTATGATCATGATTGTTTCTTTTTGTAAACTGATATATAAAATTTTACCAGTGAAAAACAAATATCAGAATGGATGATAAATGCTTAACTTCATTCCAATTTCATGATGCTAGCAACGTGAATATGATTTTTTTTTTTTAAAAGTAAATGTCCACTCAACTCATGTGTTTGCGCATCCACCGATCAGTTACCATTCACTCAATTGTAAACAATCGAAAGACAATTCAAAATCAATTGCAAAAATATATGAAATAAAACAATGGTGATTGATTGTAGAACATACCTATACTTTTTAGCTTAACTTTTATCAATGACTAGCAATTTTCTTTAGTATTGTCCCTCCTCTTCCTTTTCTTGTCCCTCCTCTTCCTTTCTCTCTCCACTCCCCTCCTCTTCTGTCTCTCTCTTTCTCTTTCTCTCTCTCTCTCTCCTCTCCTTCACCCCCATTCTCTCTCACAAACACACACAACTTCTTTCCCCTACCCCCTCTCTCTCTCTCTCTTTATTTATTTCTGTCCTTCCCATCTCTATCTCTCCCTCTCTTTTTCTCTTACACTTCACCTTACTTTATGTGCATCATTCCCATCTCTCTCGAACACTAATAGCATCCATTGTTCTCTTACCTCTAGAGTAAGTGCATCAAACTTTTCATCACATTCTGGTTGTCCGTCCCCTCTCTCCCATGATACGGGCTTCCCATCTCCTTTACTCTGTACCAGCCTCCGTCATCCCACTCACTCTCTCTCTCTCTCTATCTCTCTGTCTGTCTCTCTCTCTCTAACAGTATCCAATCATCTCTTACCTCTAGAGTAAGTGCATCAAACTTTTCATCACATTCTGGTTGTCCGTCCCCTCTCTCCCATGACACAGGCTTCCCATCTCCTTTACTCTGCACCAGTCTGTGGACGTAGTTATCTATAAAGTGAAATACAAATTTGGTTTCTTTTTAAATAAAATCAACATTACTTAATATAATTTCATTGAGAATGTTAACAGAAATGAGTTATCAAAGTGACATCTTGATATAAGGCTTTAACAAAATAATTGTTGTATTGCCCTTTAAAATCTTCAAATCTATGGTCGGCTTTTTTTAATTTTTTTTTTTTAAAGCTTTGCACTGAAAAAATGTTTAATGAATAAAAAAATATGTATCACAGTATTCAAAACTGCAAAATGTCAACCCAAAGAGGGAAAAGAGTAACAACAAAAAAGAAAAAGAAAAAGAAAATTGACCGACCGACCCAGGAGCTGGCACCTAAAGAGCAATACAACATCTTTTTTGTTTAGGCCTAATGGATGAAATACGTCATTACAGAAAAATCTAAATACAAGTAATGTCAATATGAAGTAGTATCTGAAAATACATGATTATTCCAAAAAATTTACACTAACTTTTGTTCATCAATATAACTGGTATGGTATAGGCAATTCTCATGCATGGGCCGAAACAACTTATACCAGCTCTAACTTAATTTCAGTAACAATTTACTCTGAAATACCAACTCATAATCATCATCATCATTAAAAACTATATTTTGTGTACTCATGATGAGCTCCCTTGCATTCTAAATAATAGCAAAATCCATGCAACATTTGCTGATAACAGAAGGACATTAACTCATATCCTTTTACTTTTAATGCCTTTCTTGCTCTCGATATGATTTCTGATAAACTTACCGCCGGCATAGTCCCAGACTCTTTGTTTACCCAGCTGCATGGCATACGTATGCTGAGTGTCTTCAAAGTGATGATATGCATGTGCTTCTACGTATCTCCCACACCCTATGTGCCCACATATTAGACAGATCCACAAGCTCTGTAAGAAACAATGTTATGTAAAACACTAATGATTCAGCATTTACAAATGTATGGCAAATATCATTTGGTGAGCCAGAAGGGCATTAACTCTCAATAAACGGATCCACATTGATGCCCTTGTACCTCTCAGCTGACAATATTAGGTAGTTAATGATGACAGATGCAAAATTTATCCAACCCACTCACAATGGGCATTTTGTTTGTTAAGAAATTCTGTACATAAATTAGATGGCTCAAGACTACCAATCAGCCACAAATACAACAAACAATTGAAGAGGAAATTTGGAATTTGTCGGACTAGATGCTATTGATTGCACATCCTTAAACAAGGGTCTACTGGAGTGTGCTTTACCCACGTGGTATTGGGGAAGCATAAAACCTCTCATTTTAGAAAGTACACTCTCAAAATAATAAATGATAATAATTGACCAATTAAAAGAATTAAATTATTAAACAAATTGAGAACTCCTGCAAGATAATGTTTTTTGAAGCAAAAGATCACATATTTACTAAAAGTCTTGTGGATTCTGATACCCATTTGGTCCCCTATGATCCTCTTTTCTTATGTTAATTGAGAGCTGATTTGATGAGATAACTACCTTGCAGGGAGGTCTAATCCCCCTGGCCAAACTAGTACAGACGGGCTTTAAAGTCTTGTGGATTCTAATATCCTATATCATGCTCACCTCTTGAGCTCCACACTGGAAGCATTTATTATCTACTGATGGCTCTGGGGTTTGGTTGTATCTGCATACAGGGCAACTGTGAAATAATAGGGTAAAGAAGTTTACCTGCACTCAAATTGCATTTAACAAGTAAACATTGAAATAGCTTGAAATGCTGGCATCACTTTCAGAATAAAGTAATGATGAGATTATTTAAATAATTTTTTTTTTTTTAAATCCCAAATAACACAGGTCGATTTCCAGCATTATCTTCATATCACCATTATCATCATCAGAAGAGTTAAGAATTTGACAACTTTGGGTTTGAAAAATTAAAATCTATGAAAAGGAAAAGCAATTTTGAACAAGTACCAAATAGTACAGACCAGGTGTGACCATTACTGCAACAACAAGAAATACATTAATAAACTAAACCAGTATAGAGTGGAGAAGTGTGACGTCATCAAAAATCTATTTTTAGAATTTCTCAATTTTTTCTTCATATTCCGAAAGAACACCAAAAATAATGTCCAAATGTCGAAAACCAATTGAATATGTTAAGTATTGGCTGAGATATGACCATCTGAATGAATATATGTCCTATGGGAGCTCAGTGTTATATGCTCTGGCTCCTAACCATTAGGAGCCAGAGCATATAACACTGAGTTCCTATGGGGAGTATATTTATTCAGATGGTCATATCTCAGCCGATATTTAACATATTCAATTGGTTTTCGACATTTGGACATTATTTTTGATGTTCTTTCGGAATATGAAGAAAAAATTGAGAAATTCTAAAAATAGATTTTTATGACGTCACAGCTTCGGTACTCTATATCAGTAGAAAAGTAAAATTTAAAAGCCATAAACCAAAATGAGGAGAGGACAGAAAGTGCAGTGAAAAAAATACACGGGGGCTAGGGGCGAAATAGCCCCCGAAATGCCCAAAATAGCCCCCGAAAATCAGAAAAGAGCCCCTGTAAATTTGCATAGAGTTCAATGCAAAACAAATTTTAGAATGTTATTTTCATGCAGGCAAGCTTGAAAAGTAGCCCCTGAAAAATAAATATTAATTTTTTCCCTGAAAGTGCTATTATACAAAGGGGAAGCTTTCCAAATGTAAACAACATACAATGTACAGTCAAACCTGCTTCAGTGACCACCTGTCTACAAAGACCACATTTTTTGTTTTCCTTGTAAATGGTTTCTCATTGAAACATGTACTAAAGGAACCTGTCAACGAGGGCCACTGTTTGTGTTTTCCTTGGGCGATCGCTACAGACAGGTTTGACTGTACAATGATTACTGTTTGATATGGTTTATAGAGCCCTAGACATTGGAAATTACCTTGTGTCTCCCCACTTGGTAAGGCAGCCACCGTGGAATGTATGATTACAGAGGATGGTGAGGATGCCTTCCACAGAGTCCTCCATCCTCTCCAAACAAATGTTACAGGTTGGTAACTCAGTCATGCCTGGAGTAGCAAGACTAGCACCCTACAAGAGGAGGGGAATAGATTGTTATGTGTTATCAATCAGGTGTTACAGGTTGGTAACTCAGTCATGCCTGGAGTAGCAAGACTAGCACCCTACAAGAGGAGGGGAATAGATTGTAATGTGTTATCAATCAGGTGTTAAAGGTTGATAACTCAGTCATGCCTGGAGTAGCAAGACTAGCACCCTACATGAGGGGAATAGATTGTTATGTGTTATCAATCAGGTGTTAAAGGTTGGTAACTCAGTCATGCCTGGAGTAGCAAGACTAGCACCCTACAAGAGGAGGGGAATAGATTGTTATGTGTTATCAATCAGGTGTTACAGGTTGGTAACTCAGTCATGCCTGGAGTAGCAAGACTAGCACCCTACAAGAGGAGGGGAATAGATTGTTATGTGTTATCAATCAGGTGTTAAAGCGTATCTGCCATAGTTTACAGGAGGGATTAGACTGCCCTGCAAGGTCACTGGACAGGTGGTTATCTCATCAACTCAGCTCTCAGTTAACATAAGAAAAAGAGGATCATGGGGGACCAATGGTCACCGATTAGGCATGGTTTGTTATATAGAGGGCGCAAGTAGCTACAAGTAGTGCAGTGGGCCTTTAAAGGTTGGTAACTCAGACATGCCTGGAGTAGCAAGACTAGCACCCTACAAGAGGAGGGGAATAGATTGTTATGTGTTATCAATCAGGTGTTAAAGGTTGGTAACTCAGTCATGCCTGGAGTAGCAAGAATAGCACCCTATAAGAGGAGGGGAATAGATTGTTATATGTTATCAATCAGGTGTTAAAGGTTTTTAACTCAGTCATGCCTGGAGTACCAAGACTAGCACCCTACAAGCAAATATATCAATAATGCAAGAAATTGTACAACCAAAAAGGGATATATGAATAGGCTTGTCCTAATAATTACTGCAATATTCATGCAAAGCCCAGTATCGTTCAGCGTCTAGTGTAAGACAAGAAAGGGAAGATACAACATGCAAAGATTCTCAAACAAATGAGACTGTCAAAATACATGCTCCTTCCCCTAAGACTTGAGAAGGATTCCCATTCCTGTTAATTTACATTTCTGGATACTCCGCTGATGTCTTTAAATCTTCTGTAGCTGATTAAAATAACACAATATTCTCTGGCAAACAGTATTAGTAACAAACTTAACTTGATTCAAACACTCTAACGATAATCTTCTACTTGAAAATTTGAATTCTTTCCTCAGCGTTTTAAGAGATTTACATAACGAACCATTCAACCAAAAAAATAAGAGTTTGTTGTGTGTCTGTGTGTAATTGTGTGGCTGTCACAAATTGACGAAACGTACTCATAAATCTGTAATTAACCAAGTGTTTTTTTAGGAACAAACTTCACTCACCTCACATGATTTCATGCACTCTACTCTTGAAACAAAGACTAGATAACAGACAAAATCATCAAACGAGTTGTACGGTTTGCCGTTGTACTCCTTGTAGAACTCATCCGCATGGCTCTGAAAAGGGATAGTTTCCATCATAAAACAAATTAGAAGGAGACAATAGCAATATTCGTAATCCTCTATCTTGACACCAAAAAATACACAGGTCGTCTCTCACACTGATCACAGAAACTTTTAACCTATTTTCTGCATAAAATCTTTTTTTGAAATGGTTAAAATAGTTAGCATACAATGTAAAATTTATCCTACTAAGGTACAAACTCAATCATTTTTGCCATTCAAGCCTTGAAATTGTTTATTGATAAACTAGTTTTCTTAAAAATAAAAAAATTACAGTGTAGGCGAGTTTAAACCCTGACAAAATCAATTGAGTTTGTCCACTAATACATGTAAATTGGGCATCAACTTCAAATCTCTTTATCAAAGATAAACACACCATAATAAATGTAACTAAGTGAATTAACACCAATTTCATGCCATTATGACATAAAATATCAAACAGAGTAATATTTTTTGTTACACTACAGAATTGCAGTGAGTTGTAAGGAATAGTGGAGCTGACACTTGACATCAGTGTACCAAATTGAAAACCCAGGCTTTATTTAATTTTATATCAAGAATATAGGCCAATGTCAACATACATATTCTCTAATGGCATTACAATGATACATTGCAATACAAAACAAATCTGGGCCCCATTTCACAAAACTTCTCATCAGTGACAAATGACAGTTTTTGTATAATCTAGTGAAATCCTTGCTTCATCTGATTGGCTATCAGCAGATTTGTGTATTTGTCATTAAAAAAAGGCTTTGTGAAACAGCTCCCTGATCTTTCCATACATACCTGATTTCTAAACTTAATGAGAGTCATGTACTGGTTAGGGTTAGAATCTCTGATAATGCGGATGTGCTCGATGCCCTCGGCCAACGGAGAGAAGAACTGCAGGAGGTCATGGCATATGAGGGACGCTGGGACTGCCAGGGCACAGATCATGTCACTACGGACGATGCCTTCATCTAGAGACGTCATGTGGCTGATGATGAAGAAACACATGAAAATGACAGATGACACAGGGCTCTACATTAATAGTTTTCTGTTCATCAGCAATTCAGATTATAACTTATAGGGTGTCGGTGCATCAATAGGTCCTCTGATAATTTTTTTGTTTAAGTTTGGGGTCCAGACTCCAGAGTTAAAATTTGGGAGTCCATGTGCAACAAGCATCTGTTGGTGTCGACTGTTGAGCCAAGGATGGAAAATTGGAACATATTCAGTCAATAGATAAGACTGGTTTACTAGCATATTCAAATTTAATGGATGTTTCTTTCCTGGGGACCGAGTGACAAGTTATTCCATTAACCGGTCATTAATGAATGAACTACAATACTCGGACTCCAGTCTGCGTAAATTACTTTTTGCTATGTCAGGCAAGCTTCTGGGTTGTCATAGAACAACCTTTGCTTAATATTTGAATGTTAGTAAACTGGTCTATTGAAAGAGGAGTTAAAGGTGAACCAAAAGTGGTTATAAATTGTGATAGGAAACATCCACTGCACAAACCAATAAAAGGGCTAAATTTCACTGACCACAAGACAACAAACTTACTTCTCTTTGAAGAGATGTACAATCCCCTTTGTAATATCCACCACAGGGTTTCCAGAAAAGAATGGTATCCTTCTCCTGAACATCAGTGGACTTTTGCTTGATCTGTCGCCCTCACTGGCTTCGGACGAGACAGTTGGAGGACTAACACTCGATGATGCACGACGACTCGACTGGTCGACTGGAGATGCAACTCCATGGCGACTCTTACTTGACGCATTATGCTTTTTGTCCATTTTATCACCTTTGCGCCCTTTACCCTCTGACCTTTCACCTTTGTCCTTGTCTGTGCTTACAGAGTCTTCATCAGTGAAGTCAGGGGATGTGATTTCACTACCAGTGTCACTACATAGATCCTTAGCATTGTCATCCAAATGCTTGAAAGCAATAGCTTGATTTGCCTGCACATCGTTTTGTTCGTCTTTGCTTGAATGCATTTTGTCTTTTGCTTTTCCACCGGTGAGGGCCTTGGCATAGCTCTGTTTGGGTCCTTCCCTAGACGGATCCATGCATTCATCCTCAAATCTCTCTGAAAAATATGAAATCCATGATAAATTAGTCCAAAAAGAGGTTAAATAGTTAAAGAAAAGAGTTTCCTTAGCACCCTTCCAAATAGAGATTTTGGAAGAGTGAGATTTATTTAGGAAGAACCATATATTCTATCAGTTGTGTTCTACTTCTAGCATCCCTGCTCTTCATTTGTGTCACCGGTAAGTATAAATACATGTCATGTAAATCAGAACTCAACTGTATCTAGTCCAAGCCTCTTTTATAATCTGAAGAGACTGAGAGTACCAAGTATATAGAGGCACAATAACTTAACATGCCAAGTGAGTTGCCCTATAAAGCCAGAAAGCCTAAAGATTCTTTCCAATAATAGACCGAAAGCTTCAGTCTATGATATCGATGGTGGTTCTGCCGAGACTACATCTGGCCCCATTGACCACCTCTATACAGAGACTGAAGTACATCGTGCAGGTTAATAAGGGAAGGTTACGTGTGATTGCAAATCTCATCACGCGCAGGGGAATAGAGGAAACGGACAGATTGGCTGAAGAAAGTCCTTACATTTTTATGTTTAACATTGATTTTCGATGTTATTCATCACTTATTATGATTCAAACTGGATAAAGAAAAACCAAAGGAAAACTATACGCCGGATTTTGGTGAAAATTTGCTAGTTAACTTAATCCCTCCCTTGTGCATGTGGCAAGGGTTACCATCTGTTTATGGGGACGGTTGACCAAAGTCAGTTTTATTAAAGAATCCCACAATCCAGATGGTTATATTTGTCTATCTCAATAATACCTTCAACAGCGTAAGTTTCAATTTGAATCTCAGTCTCATCCCTCTTCCCGATGCATTTCTCCACCACAGCCTTGGTGCTCTCCGTCTTGGGGAGGATGGGATGGCTTCGTCCATCTTCATCTACTTTCTCCCATGTCACTGACGGCTTGTCGCTCAGGGCATCGTGACGTTTGGCCATTAAGGCAGGAGGAGGGGAAGATGAGAGCAGCGGAGGACTCTCCGCCATCATGTCGGCTCCTGTAATTAATAAATAAATATAAACAGATTAGATCTATATAAACATGCCAATACTGCACTCCTACAATCATACATGATGAGGTCTAAGTTCCAACATTAAATAAATGGTATTGATGCATGGTACGAGAATGATGAATTTGAGATATATTAAGCGCCTCTAGCCATCTTTCTAGGCTCTAGAATCTACCTGTCGAACAATCTACATAAAGACGATAGATCAGTAATAGATCTAGTACTTAGAAGATGTTCATTCTCTTCTTTTATTTGTTTTCCTTGCTTTCTGAATAAGAATATTTAAATGTTCCAACTTCCAAGAAAGGCAAGATCTTTATAGATCTAGACCTATTTCATTCTTAAAATAAATCTCTAAACTTAAATAAATCTCTAATTTATCCACGTTTTACGAGCATTCAGTCTAAGAGTGTGTGATGTGACAAATTTTCATTGTCACTGTGTCAGGATTGTTTGACTTTCTATGACTTTTGACTTAGGTCTAGATTCTAGATCTATGCATGTTGATTGTTGTTTAAAAAAGAATATTTTAAAAGTGGATGCATGCGCATGCAGATGCTAACTTTTTTTAGACTACAAATAAAAAAAAATATTTTATTTCTTATGAATTCTAACTTGATTGAAAATTGTTGGAAATTATGTTTATTAAAGATTACTAGATCTTGATTTCTTCATCTAGACTATACTATTACTAGCTCGATCTACTAGCTAACTTTACCTCTTGAATATGACAACGATTTTGGAATAGGCGAGTTGTCGTTAACAGAAATTCTGATGACACACAAAGAAACAGACATCATCAAAATACAAAACTGCTAAAGAATGACGCGATGCCCCTGGTTTCCTATGTATAACTCCCTCAATACGCTGATATGAAAATGAAGTCCATACGACAAGGAATTATAGGTGAAATCTGGTAGTTGTAGGAAACAAAAAAAAGATAAATTCCGATCAAGACGACGATCGTCGCGACGGCTTGTTCTAGAATCTTGTTGTTGCACGATTGTTTTCATTCATTGCAACATGCATGATGAACAACAAAAGTGTACGGTAATACTTCCGGGTTATGCGTGAAAAGCTCATCATCATCCGGGCTGTTCTAAAACTCCAACTTTTGAAGCACAAAACAATGGCTCGATGCTACCGCTATTTCTCATCAGATAACTATTTTTACCAATTTTAGAATTATGAATAAACCATAATAGTTTTTCTTATCTCTAACATGTCTAATTTTCTGGCTTCGTTCAACAAAGTCCAATATATTACTGTATCAACAAACAATAGCAGACGACAGCACAGAGCAGTGACGTGTACTGGACGCGCGCGCGCGTCATATCGGGGATATGATTCGTGATTGTCATTTACAGAGATTTTGATCCAGCTGTGATAACAAGCAGGGCAGTTATCTTTAATATACTGACATTACCTGGAGTTTCACTTATTCACCATGGCAGAAACATCATCAAATTTGTGCCTAGAACACCTTCTGTCACCAACTTCTATTTCAAATCTCGTAAAGTCATGGCTGCAAGAAGATATTCCCAGTTTAGATTACGGAGGAATTGTAGTAGGAGAAAAGGACGAGACAGCGGTACTCCTGTGCAAGTCCCCCGGAGTTCTGGCGGGAGTGCCGTTCTTCAACGCGGTGTTTAAGGCAGTAGACTGCGAGGTGCATTGGCAAACCACAGAAGGAGCATTTTTAGAGCCCATCTTTCAAGCGGCTATCGTGAAAGGCAAAGCTAGGAATATTCTCATGGGCGAAAGAACCGCTTTGAATTGTATCGCAAGAGCCAGTGGAGTAGCAACATTAGCAAGAAATCTGAGAAATCTGGTTGATAAGTCAAATTGGAAAGGTCGAGTTGCTGGAACTCGCAAGACAACTCCTGGATTTCGGATGGTCGAGAAGTATGCCTTGTTGGTGGGTGGGGCCGACACCCATAGATACGACTTGTCATCCATGATAATGCTGAAGGATAATCATATATGGTCAGCAGGAAGTATATCACAGGTAAAGAGCATCATTCATTACTATATATGATAATGTGACTATAGTTGATAATCATTAACTATAAATCATGAAATATTCATGTATCTCTAGAATCTACCATTGAAATATTGACATTGTCATTAATTCCTTAACTTTTTTAACATAGTGATAGAGCCTAGAAGGTCTATACTATAGTATAGAGGTCTATCTCAAGATGTGTTTTTTCACAATTACTTTTGCTTTCCGCAACCATCTTAAGATGTAATTTAGATCAAGGGACAGTTGTGCCACTCCTCTTTTCTTTTTTCATTGGTCAAATCATGTTTACCTTTGTAATTTTGTATTGTTGTTATTGTAATTTCATTCAAGTTATAAAGACTGCACCTTATTATGTCTATAAATTATTATGATTATTTTGGTCATATCAAGTGCAGTCCACAATAACTACATACATGTATGAACAATGACCACTCCTTGAAAACATTATCTGCAAACATTAATCTTCCCTTAAACTGAAGGTACTACTAGATGTACTTCTGAAATTTATCCTGCATATTTTAAAAAAATCAGTCCAAAAGATGAATGGAAGCAATATGCATGCAGATTGTAAAAATGGTATTCCGGCTTCCTTGACATCTTTCCTTTAGGCTATAGTTATGATAATTCATTTTTTTTTCTGCAGTATGAATAGAATTCACATTTTCTCTTTAAAAATGTTGTGCCCATTCTAAACTTTGATCATTTCTTCTTTTAAGCTTTAAGGGATTATCTATTATTTCATTAAAGGTAATACAAAGTTTTGGTATGGGGTCATGCAGTTGGTTCAAATGAACATAATGGAAGCATATGCGACCCTACAATATATATATATATATGTGCAGCGGCTTAGCAAGAAGACTGCACTTTTTGAGAAAAGCATGAAACTTCCAGCATAGTTTGCTTTCACCATAAGATTTATTTTCAGATGTGGAGGGAAGTCAGATTTGACCTCTGATGACCCTGAGAGGTCAAATCCAAAATGGCCGCTTGTCCGCATGGTCTAATTTACAAACACGCTTAACTTTTGAACCAAATACACCAGAAAAACGTTTAAGGTGTCATTTCCAACTAACTTGGGGATGCCAATTCATTTGGTAATACTTTTGAGATCACCTGAACTCAGGGTTTTGCATTTAGGTCAAGGTCAAGGTCAAAATTGACTAAAAATAGCAAGTTTTGAATAGTTACAAAAGGTTAAATCTCATTTATTTGTCATTTGTTCTCAAATTTATTTAGGAATGGTTCACCTGCCGAGTCCTCCACCTTAATCCTTTTCAGTTAGTTTATTTCACAGTTTGATGTGACCTCTGATGACCCTGAGAGGTCAAATCCAAAATGGCAGCCAGTCCGCATGGTCTCATGTATAAACGTGAACTTGAACCAAATAATCTAGAAAAACGTTTAAGGTGTCATTTCCAACTAACTTGGGGATGCCAATTCATTACGTAATACTAAGAGATCGCCAGAACAAAGAGCCCCCGTGAGAAGGCTCACGGGGGCTCTTTTATTACTGACGGGGGCTCTTTTTTTATACAAATATCCATTGAATTGGTACCTATGATACTCCTCAATTATTTGCTATTTTTTCATTATCATTTCAATCAGCATTTTCCCTCTTACAAATTTACAAGCTACATAGCTGTTACTGGCCTGTGTATATAATATATACGCATACAACACTGATCTTTATGATGTCTTTAACGTGACATACTGTATCTTCTTCTCCCCTTGCAAACGAAAAAGAAAACAAGGTCATTAAAAGGGATTAAGCGACAAACAATGATTGTGATTCAAATTGATGCGAATATTTGTTTGAATAAGCACTGCTATTCACCCGAATCTTCTTTGTAAAAACAACTTTTACAAATCTCAGCCATGCTCACTGAGTTGAGACGTTCCATTCAATTTGAAATACCCATTACATAATACACTTCTCCTAATCTCAAAGTGATCTTACAGCACAGTGGCAGAATTGCATGGCTGAGATTTGTAAAAGTCGTTTTTACAAAGAAGATTCTGGTGAAAAGCATTGCTTATTCAAAAAAATCCTTGCATCAATTTGAATCACAATGATTATTTGTCGCATGGTCCTTTTATTAAATAACCTTGTTTTCTGTTTTGTTTGCAGAGGGAGAAGAAGCTATGTCACGTTAAGAAATCATAAAGATCAGTTGTATTATGCGTATATACATTATGATACCAGAACAAATGTTGATTATCAGAATGTCATTTTGGAATACCTCTATACAAATACCACATTGTCTTTAGCCCGTATCAGTATTAGTATGATCCAATATAAAGCTATTATTCTTTATTTAATTCAGTATAATGCTTTTCCTCAAAAATAGTTTTGCTATTTTTTTAGGGTTGAGACGCTAAGAAATGGTTTCAAATGTACATTACACGAACCCTGAACCATTGCAAAATGATGGTGGTTCTCTCTCTCTCTCTCTTTATTTTAATCATCCATTATCAACTACATATAAAGCAGCAACCAAAAACTTAGGATTATCTGAGATAGGTGAAAGTAAGAGTTAAAAAAAAAGTCATGCTAAAACGGTGCTTCACTTCCCCCCGCCCCCTGAAAAAAATTAAATAGATTAGTAGTCCTCCTCTCCAGCATCCCCCTCCCCCCCCCCCCCCCCCGATTTAATATCACATTTTCACTTGGCAGCACAAGGGGGCCGGGGTGCCGTAGATCTGCCCATGTTACCATATCATTCCACGACATTTTGGTCTTCCTCTTCTCCTCAAAAGGGACTTTTAGATTTGCGTGGACGTGGACGTGGACGTGTTACGTCCTTTTAAGGCACTGGCAGTCACATTATGTGACGTCCTTTTAAGCACTGACCGTGCCTTAAAAGGAGGTCACACGTTGCAGTCCACGTTCTCATCGTGCAAATCTAAAAGTCCCTATTGATTTACTGGTCGAGGTTCATTATTTGCTGACAACGAAAAACTTCTCCAGGCCATGACCATGTTTCTGCCCTTGCTCGATCGCCTCCAGCTCCAGCAGACATGGCGCGGCAGCGTGCACACGCACCGCTACTAAAGGCGCAGTAGGCCTATAACCACTGCTGACGGCGGCACTGCACTGCGAGCTGAATCGGTAATAATAGGCTTACTCATAAAACGAGAAATCTTGCACGCTAATCTTAGTTCCATTTCATTGGTTTAAGGTTTGAAAATTGAAACTCAATATTGTGTTAAAGTTATAACAGAAAAGATAATCTTTATTTTATAATTCCACCGGGGCGATTTTTAATTTTGCAATCGCCCCCGTGAGCAACCTGACGGGGGCGATTATGTAGCTCACGGGGGCGAATCCCCCACTGCCCCCGTGTATTTTGAGCGCTGCAGTAGCTGCCCACTGACCATGCTATATGCAAATGGTCAGTTACAAGACAAATAATGGTTTGGTGCTATAATTAGTGAAATAAACTAACTGATTACGATGGAGACTATGCAGGGGAACCACTCCTAAAGAAATTTGAGAACATAAGGGGACAAAAAAATGGGAAAACTTTTTGTAAACATTCAAAACTTTTACCTTGACTTAATGCAAAAGCCCTGAGTTCTGGTGTACTAAAAAGTATTACCAATTGAATTGGCATCCCAAAGTTAGTGGGAAATGACACCTTAAACGTTTTGCTGGACTATTTGGTTCAAGAGTTAAGCGTGTTTGTACAATTATTAGACCATGCTGCGGACTGGCGCCATTTCTTATTTGACCTCTTAGGGTCATCAGAGGTCAAATCGAAATGTGAAATAAACTAACTGAAAGGGATTAAGGTGGGTGACTATGCAGGGGAACCACTCCTAAAGAAATTTGAGAACATAAGGGGACAAAAAAATGGGAAAACATTTTGTAACTATTCAAAACTTGCTATGTTTTAATCAATTTTGACCTTGACCTTGACCTAAATGCAAAGCCCCGAGTTCTGGCGATCTCAAAATTATTACCAAAATGAATTGGCATCCCCAGGTTAGTTGAAAATGACACCTTAAACGCTTTTCTGGACTATTTGGTTCATGAGTTAAGCGTGTTTGTACAATTATTAGACCATGCGGCGGACTGGCGGCCATTTTTTATTTGACCTCTCAGGGTCATCAGAGGTCAAATCAAAATGTGACATAAACTCACTGAAAGGGATTAAGGTGCGTAAATTCCTAAAGAAATTTGAGAACATACATGTAGGAGAGAACAAATGACAAATAAATGGGAAAACTTTTTGTAACCATTCAAAACTTGCTATTTTTTAGTCAATTTTGACCATGACCTTGACCTAAATGCAAAACCCTAAGTTCAAGCGATCTCAAAAGTATTACCAAATGAATTGGCATCCCCAAGTTAGTTGGAAATGACACCTTAAATGTTTTTCTGGACTATTTGGTTCAAAAGTTAAGTGTGTTTGTAAATTAGACCATGAGGAATAGCGGCCATTTTGGATTTGACCTCTCAGGGTCATCAGAGGTCAAATCTGACTTCCCTCCACATCTGAAAATAAATCTTATGGTCTAAACTAACTATGCTAGAAGTTTCATGCTTTTCTCAAAAAGTGCACAATTTTCATTATATTGGGAGCTTATCCGCTGTACTATACATGTAGCTCTATACAGAGCGAATTTATTTTCCATTTCTTTTTCACATAATATAAACAATAACAAAACAATAATAAACGTAATGGTATAACAGAAATAAGCATTGAAATATCTTTGACATTGTGTTTTAGTCATTGTAATGCAAAATGATTTAATTACAAGAAATGAAAAAAAAAAAACCTACTTGAAAGCAAAGCTTGTTAGATGTAGGTTCGCACAATAATAATTATACTTTATACATTTAGAACTTAATTTTGAAGAAAAGATTACGGAATAAAAAAAAAACATGACAAACAATAGAAAAACAAACAATTAACGAGACAAAAACAAATCAGAAACATTAGCAGTGATCGTTGTCGCGGTTGAAATCAATTCTAAAGTTATGAAATTATAAATCATAAACTATTTATGTTGTATAGCTCCCTCTCAAGGTCAAGATATTAACTAAGCTATAAAACAATGTTTATTGACTAAAATCGACCGATTAGCTATTCTTGTTTTGAAATCATATCACAACTACATATTCTGACATTTTCATGGTCGCAGCTACCATTGTACGGCCATACGGCGCTATTTGAAATTTATCAGAATTTACAGGGAGCACCGGTAAATTTTTATATTCAATTTTTCTCGAAAGCAGAAGTGCATGTTTTAGGGGCTTAATTTTCTAGTGCTTATATTACATCCACAGGGGCATCCAAATATATAAAAATTGAAAAGAATCACCACCATCCAATTTTCAAAAATTCCCAAAACCTTGTATTACCTTTAAAAATGATTTAGAATGAATTAATGAGCAAAGCACTTGCATTCACAACTGAAGGTTTTGAATAATACTGTTAAATGATAGTAGGATGATTTTAGGATCATATAACACATGAAAAATTATGTCTTAGAGAAAAAGGGATGTCTACACAGTCCACATTTATTGGGTTAAGAAAATGCCAAATAAATAATGACGAAATTATTCTCATATGACAGGCAGTTAAAAATGCAAGGAAAGCTGGAGGATTCTCCATCAAGATTGAGGTGGAATGTCGGAGTCTGGAGGAGGCCAGAGAGGCAGCTACAGCAGGAGCTGAGATTGTCATGCTGGATAACTTCACACCACAGGTTTCAAAAGAACATTCCATGTGGGGATGATGGATGAGAGAAAGAGAAGGATGACAAAGAGAGAGGGAAAAAGAGAGAGAGGGGGAGCTCTAGGGAGGAGGGGGGGGGGGGTACAGCAGGAGCTGAGATCATCATGCTCGATAACTTCACACCAGAGGTAAAGAATATTCCATGATGGGGTGATGGATGAGTCTGATTGAGAGAAAGAGAAGGATGACAGGAGAAGTGGGAGAATGCAAGAATAGTAAGGACAAATGAAGAGAGATAGGGAGGGGGGAGAAAGGGATCGAGTGAGAGAGAGAAGAAAAAAAAGGGGGGAGATTAAGGTCTGATTTTGAGTACCGTATAGAACTATAAGATCTACTTTACCGTGAGGGATTTCCCTAAACTTAAAGTGAAATGTGAAATATTATGCCTCATTTTAAATTCAACATGTAGCAAATCACCAGTCATACTAAAATACTTAAATCGTACAGTTTCTAAATTGATATTTGACAACAAAAGAATGGAAAATTTATTGTCAAATTTTTGCTGTATAAGGTATATCGGTAGACATTTTACCAACCTGCAATACTAATTCTCTTTTCAACAGGCAGCAGCATCGGCAGCCAAGCAACTTAAGACAGAATTTCCCCATCTCTTGCTGGAAGCGAGCGGTGGAATAACAGAGGAAACCCTCCCTTTGTTCTGTATACCGGACATCGATGTGATTTCAACGAGCAGACTCACACAGGGGTACCCTGTCGTAGACTTCTCCCTGAAGATAAGAAAGGAAGGCCACGATCCAAGAAATCCATTGGTGCTAAGTTAATTCAAGTTACATGTAGGAGATGGATATATATTATAAGTATTTTTATTTTGAATTCTTTTGGATTTTCCATTTGATACAGGGGTGTGTGGTATTTACTTTTCCAGAATTTCCAGGATTTCGAGGACTCATTTTTTAAGTTTTCTAGTGCCTGTTGTGCACATAAAACTTACCATTAATGTTAACTTTGCCATTCATTGTAACTTGATTAGCTGTTGAGTGATGTTACCATGGTAGTTAATGTTGAAGGCAAAGTTAACATTAATGGTAAGTTTTATCCATCTAGGCCTTGAGCTTGAATGTGAAAAGATTTGTTCCTGTTTATTTATTTTTGATATCTGCTAAAATTCTTTTAAATCATTTAGGGCATTGTGAAAGGCAAAATAATTTGTCTTTCTATCAAAGAGTTTAGCATGTAATGCACATTTCAATTTATTTTTATGCCTCCGCCACCGAAGGTGGTGCCGGAGGCATCATGTTTTCGGGTTGTCCGTCCGTACGTCCGTCCCGTTTGACCGTTATCACAATATCTCAAGAACCATTTAAGATTTAAACTTAAGACTCGGGAATAGTATTTATCACCATAGGAAGACGATCTGATTAGATTTTGGAGTACGTAGGTCAAAGGTCACAGAGGTCAACTTATGAAATTCCTTGTATTGAGTTTGTTAGCGCGATATCTCAAGAACCATTTGAGATTTAAACTTCAAACTTAAGGATAGTATGTATCACCATAGGAAGACGATCTGATTAGATTTTGGAGCACGTATGTCAAAGGTCAAGGGTCACAGAGGTCAACTTATGAAATTCCATACATTGAGATTGTTATCATGATATCTCAAGAACCACTGGAGATTTAAACTTCAAACTTAGTGATAGTGTGTATCACTATAGGAAAACAATCTGATTACATTTAGGAGCACGTAGGTCAAAGGTCAAGGGTCATAGAGGTCAACTTATGAAATTCCATACATTGAGATTGTTATGATATCTCAAGAACCACTGGAGATGTAAAAACTTCAAACTTAAGGATAGTATGTATCACCATAGGAAGACGATCTGATTAGATTTTGGAGCACGTAGGTCAAAGGTCAAGGGTCACAGAGGTCAACTTATGAAATTCCATACATTGAGATTGTTATCATAATATCTCAAGAACCACTGGAGATTTAAACTTCAAACTTAATGATAGTGTGTATCACCATAGGAAGACAGTCTGATTAGATTTTGGAGCACGTAGGTCAAAGGTCAAGGGTCACAGAGGTCAACTTATGAAATTCCATACATTGAGATCGTTATCGCGATATCTCAAGAACCACTGGAGAATTTTCACTTCAAACTAGTATGTATCACCATATCATAATATCTCAAGAACCACTGGAGATTTAAACTTCAAACTTAATGATAGTGTGTATCACCATAGGAAGACAATCTGATTAGATTTTGGAGCACGTAGGTCAAAGGTCAAGGGTCACAGAGGTCAACTTATGAAATTCCATACATTGAGATTGTTATCATGATATCTCAAGAACCACTGGAGATTTAAACTCCAAACTTGTTTAAATTGCTCTATGGCGGAGGCATCATTTTCGACTGCGCGCAGTCAAAATTCCATCTAGTTTAGTTTAATGTAAAGCAAATTTTGATTGATTGTTGGTTTAGTTAAAGGTAACTTTAACATTTTATATAAGTGAAGATAGAGCACAACATCTCCTTACAAATTTGCGCTGAACTGCCTGTAGGTCTATTTTTTTAAAAAAAGGAGTCATATCAGTTTTAGGGTAATCTTTCACCCATAAACTTTTCTTCTCAATGAATGCTGATGTGTTATTACATGTCAAATTGATGTAATCTTTCACAGATGAGATTCTATGTGTGTATCGAGCATCGCAAGATAGCCCAATCCTATATTTTCTTTCATAGCTTGCAAAGCTTATTGGAAGAAAAGATATATTGGTAAGATATTGACAATGAGACCATCAGAATTCAGAAAACACAATTTCTCCACATCCAAGACTTTTATCAGTCTCGTATAATATTACAAAATTAATTCATGTGTGTTTGGAATATGAATGAAATTTCACAGAAGAAACTACATTTAAATGAAATATGAGTGATGAAGAGAGTTTAGATTCCACATTCTGATTTTTATGTGCTGCAGTATTGACTAGAAAGTGAAGGTACTATTACAAAGCAAGTGGTATATTTATCTTTAAAAGATTAAATGTTTTAAAAAACAGTACTTGTGAATGCCAAAGTGAAGTAAATTAAGCAAGCCAACGTACAGGGCTGAAAAGAAACTCTGATTAGAGGCATGTGACAGCAGGAATTACAGTTTGATGTACATGTCGTGTTTTTACGACATTTGACATTTGACACCAGTTAATTATTTACCAGGGTCCAGCTTGCTAGTGTGAAATAATGTTATTATGCTCTGTTTTGATAAAGATTTAGCTTTGACATTAAGTGAACTAATTATGCCAGCAGTATCCACCGCTTATATCTACAGTACTCGCACAATAACATGTGCATGTGTATCCTTGCACACAGTCACTTAATTGTTGATGCCCTTGTCAATTATGCTTGGTTGACCAAGTGCTGGCAAAACAGAACTGCCCTTTCATTCAATGTTTGTGTAAGACACTCTTTTATTATCTAGTTGTTTTTGTGAATGGCTAGTTTATAATTTTCATACATATTGTTAAGGTCGAGAGGCAGGGTTTGTGTAAGTATTTACAAACTTTATGTAAGCTGAAAACAAGATACATACAATAAACCTGCTTAAGTGACTACCTGTATAGAAAGACCACCTGTCTACAGAGACCACATTCTTTTTTCCCCATTGAAAATGGTTTCTCATTGAAACATGTACTACAGGAACCAGTACTTAAAGATTACCTGCCAATAAAGACCACTTTTCATGACTCCCTTGAGTGGTCTTTATATATACAGGTTTCATTAGCTGTACTGCAATAGCAATATATGCACATTATATTGAACTATATGTTGTGTTTTATCAAGTACCGGGTAGTTTGTAAGATCTTATTTTCCATATTCCCAATTTATTTGAAGAATAAGGCTGTAAACTCTAAACTTGCAAGTTCCCCATATTCCAGAGGGCGCTCAAAATACGTACGCGCTGGCGGACGGCGCTATAGCTGCCTATTGACACCAACAGAATACGGCTCTTACGCATATGGCATGTTCCGATAACTACGTTGAACGTGCCTCTTTAAGCACAATGCAGTTTGATGAAGAATTATTGCTTTAAATATATTTGTATTGTTTTTCATTTTTCATTTTTGTGGTTATTAGTATATTTTACATTTACTAATATCATGAATTACTTTCACTTTGGCTGCTATTGTATTATCTTTATTCATAAGTGTATTATTTTTGCATGTTACATAGATTCATGTGCTCATTGTAATTTTGATTTTAGGTGCAAAATGGTTGTTTAATGGTACAGTACAAGCACAGCTATCTGACACTGTGACAGAATTGTGAAAATGGCTAAATTATTTGTTTAATACTTTAAGGGAAAAATAGAAAATTTCTTTAAATGAATTTATTTTGTTGTTGGTTGTTTGTTGAATTTTAGTGGTGTCTTTTTTCTGTTTTTTTTTAAATTCTTTAAGAAAAATATGGAATTTTAATACTTATTTTTCATGAATTTACTTAGACATCAAATGGGGGGGGGGGGGGTGTCCTTTCACCTTAATTCAATTCCTTTTTCCCCTCTCTGTTTAATTTCTCTCCTTTTATTTATTCATTTTTTTTTTTTGGGGGGGGGGGGGGGGTGAAGACATCCCCCATGCCCCCATATCTACTCCACTGCGAAATGATACAAGCTTACATATAATTGTCCATGCATTATTGGTCAACGAAATGGGCATGCTCGCTAATGAGATGTGCACCTGATATTCAGAGCCTAGCTGCATTTGATAGATTGACGACATGAGTCAGTTGTCTACAGTATATGCCCCAAGGCTTTTCTGGGCAGAACCAGTAATTGCATTATCAATCACATCACAAGGCCTTCTTTCCATCTTGTCTATTTTGTGTTCCTTCCATCCTTCCTCCTATTTTTATAGTTCAAGAACGCAACATCTCTCTTTGCCCTAGCTTCCCTCTTCCTGTACAAGCATGACAAGTGTGAAGTGATCAATCAAATGCCAGATCATTGTCCTATGTATCTCTTTGGTCTTATATCTCTCTCTTTTTCTGTTTGTTTGTCTGTCCCTGTCTCTCTCTCTCTCACTATACCACACCCTCCTCCTCTCTCCATCCCTCCTGTCCTCCCTTCATATGTCTGTCTGTCTTTCTCTCTCTCTCTCTTTCTCTCACTTTACCCATACCTGCCAACCTGAGACAAGAGAAATTAGGAGTAAATTTTTCTGGATGGACTACGAGGTCGCGAACCACCGAAGGATTGGGGTAGTAGCCCGTAGATTGGGGGGGGGGGGTACACAGGACTTTAGGGTCTATTTTTTTTTCCATGTCGCTGTGTATATCTTCTATGAGCGCGAGCGCGGATGTCGGCGTGATCTGGTTATCAGTGCTGTGTTATGCTTTAGTCTTATACATACATACATACATATTGGTATTTATTGAGCGCCTTTACATGAACATGCTCAAGGCGCTTTACATTTCAAAATACAAACATAATAGTTATATACTCTCCAAGTGCATTACACTCTATAAAAAAAAAAATAAATAAATAAATAAATAAAAAAAAAATTAAATAAAAAAAAAATCGGAGTTTTGAGGCATGCATTCGGAATTCGGAGTTGGTATGTAAAATGCGGAGGAACTCCGCTTAAATCGGGGTGGTTGGCAGGTATGTTTACCCCTCCCCCATCTCTCTCCATCCCACTCACTTTACCCCTCCATGTCTCTCTCTCTCTCTCTCTCTCTCTCTCTCCCTTCCTCATCTTCCCTATCTTCATCTTGCTCCCTTCCTTTCCCTTGCTTGAAGATCTAAAAAAAAAGACAATGTTCCAGTTACAAATGTAGGCATTACTCACAAATTGCAGGATCAAATAAACTCATACAGAAATTATAATTGAACATATCAGAAGCAAAAATACAAAATATATATAGATACTGCAAAAGTTTGCATACCGGTCAATGTTATGCATCTACTAAAAGCAAAGAATATTGCACCTTTTCATGAAAAGTTGGACAAACATTACACAAAACAGAAAATATGGTCCACATAAATACCAAATATCTTACAAACATCAGACACAATAGCTGTGGGTTAATGGGAATAAGTTATGATTGTTTTTTTTCTACAGCACATAAAAAATGGAGCCTACAGGTTGACAGTTAATTAAGATCCTATCTATACAGATGTTGTGTCTTCATCAGTTATATAGGGTTAACATACATAGGTCTAGTTCTGAAGTACATGTTAATATAGCTTTTACATAATTGCTGAGCAAAATTGTTGCATTTTGATACATTTACTCTCTGTGACCCTCGTAACATGGCAAAGTTTACAGGAGATCTGCCTGACTTTGCAGCAAATCATGATGCAAACTTCCTTGTATAGAAAATCAGCAAAATGACACGGAGGGTTACAAAGTAAGCACAAACATCAACAAATTTGTATAATAACTAGATATATTAAAGAGGGGTTGCACAGTGATACTACAAACTATTCTTTGTTGTGTTGAAGTACAGTTGACATATATTTTTAATTATTTTTTTCTTTCTCAGTAATGAAATGGATTCATTCCATAAAAGGGATTTGTAACTCAGCCAGAACTTATGAAACGGCTTCATTTATTACAACTCGCATCAAAATCCAGTGATGATAAATAAGCAAACTGTCTTCCTACATGTAGCTACACTGAACAGGTAAAATTATTATTGGGTGCTGGTAAATAATAACTAATATATTTACCCTTTTTTCTGTCAGCCATGAAATACTCTATAACACAAAATTACTACGAAAATGTTATAGATGATGTATAATACACTCATTAAACCTTAGCTCTCTAAAATAAAGGGAAAAGAAGATAGATTTGAAATAAACAAGTTTTGTATGATACATTAACAAGCTACAGGAATGTTTTTTTGTGTACTTGCTACATGTATCGGCTTGTGGGGACACATACATGTAGGAAAGTAGGTTGTATAGAAACATGCTACTATTACCATGGTAATGGTTAAACTGAACAACAACCTACCCCCCCCCCCCCCCCCCCCACTTTCTATAACCTCTGTGGCCCTAACTTCCTATTCACTATGTGAAAAGCATACACTTTCAATCTTATCATGTAGTTGTGATTGAAGAAATTGAATTCATGTGCCACTTATTACAATACAAATTCATACATATCACAGAAATTTACTGTCTTAGAAACTTATCATTGTTTAAAGAAATATGGGAAATATTTTTACATTCACATCAGTTGATATCTACAGTGAACACTGCACATATTATACCAGCATCATTGAAACTGAACCAATCATTCCTTAGTGAAAAATATATAGAGAAAGAAAGTTGACTATTGCTAAAAACAAGATTTTAAAGAAGCACCTTTAATCTGCCAAATGCTAATCAAATACTAAAGAACTTTTTTTTGGTAGAAAAACTTGACATCTTGAATTTATCTTCAATGCAGGAACACTAAATAAGGAATACTAATGGGGTTAAATTAGATTAGTAAAAAAAAAATCAAACTAGATTTGAAATCCATTGTCTCATATTAATAAGATTAATTAAAAGCTGGGCTACAAGAAATTCAAGAGCTGGCAATAAATGGGATTTGCAAACTGGTGTCTATTCTTATACATTGTTTAAAAAAAAATGATGAATTGAATTAAGTAGATCATAGTTTTGGGTTTTCTTTGCTCCGTATTTGTTTACTAGGGAAAGGGGAGGGGGTCCTTCACGTAATTTAGTCATATCATGCAGTCCAATTTTCATGAATTAATCACCAAGAAAGGGAATTAAATGATAGAACATGAGAGGAGAGTCCTCGATGCAGCTTAGGAGAATGCCAATATATATCTGCAGAAAGATACAAATTGTACTGAGTTTGAGTTCTGTTTCAGTACAATTCTACCATGAGCTCCAAGTTTGATTTACTCCAATAAGTTTTCTTTCTTTTCTTTTGCAGTTTCTTCCTTAAAGATTTATATGCATTTGGTTAAATAGTGTCAAAAATTAGCATTCTTGTATTTACAAGGCAATATATAAATATGTACTGTACAACAGGGTGAATAGGAACACCAGGGTTAAGTAAGGATAACAATTGGAAAACTGTAACGATCAAATTTTTCATCTTCAGAGATTATACAGACCCGTATCATTTCCTTTATCAATGATAAATAAAACGATAAGAATGGTCTACATCATAACTAGAAAATATTGATTTGTTACCCCTCTTGCGTGTTCCTATTTGCCTTGTCTTAAGGTAGGTATCAAATATTTTTACATTCACCACATTACGTTCTTACGTATCCATACCACAAACATGACTTTGATTATCGCATAAAATCCCATCCGACATAATCTATATATTTTTCACCTGACAGGGACATAGGAATGGGTTATCAAATATGCTTAACTTTAATCTCAGTGTGAATGGAAAATGATCAAATTGCACATTTGTATCTTCTTTAACTTCAATGCTTTTTTTTCTTGTCCTTCTTTTGGGGAATATAAGAGATAAAATATTGTTCACTCGGCTCAAAGTAGCCCTATGACTGCCTTCCCTTCTGTTTTTTATGACGAAAGCGTACCTTGCCTATATGACTATTTGTTCGATAATGAATTATTTTATTCGTATCCGGCACACAACATATTCCGATGAAAGATAACAATAAGTTGAATTGCAATCGTGCAAGGGACAAGTGACTGGCGAATTTCTTTCAGTCCTGCCTGCCAGATCAGTTTAACCCATTAGGTATCATTTCATTTTGCATACCACACAATTTGCATATGTTATCTCAGGATTGGTATTCAATACATGTAAGTTAATTTACAAGTACAACAACCATTCATATGGAATTTGTGTCATTCCTGCCCATTTTCTCTTACTGCGACATACTGTGACACCAAATTCATCAACTTTTATTACAAATGGGATTTATAAGAACAGTTTTTAAATATAGTTTCCTTTTCATTGTTCACGTTGAATTGTTGATACAAATGGATTCCACAATGTCTAACACCACAATTCAGAAATCTGCTCGAGAAATTCCATAAATGTCAAACTTTCCTTCGTCCCAATTATTATAAGAAACAATATAAACAATATGAGCAATGAACTGCCTATGGGAAGAGGATAAAGGAGGTCATATAGTAGAAAGGAATGAGGGATAGAGGGTAGGTTAGGACTATAATCTTAAATGCTAGATTTGTGGTTTTTCACAGATATCAAGGATCCTGGTCAAAATGTTTCTCTGACTTCACACTTCCTCTATCTAACAATACTAAGCAGGTTTGTGTATGATATATCGACAAGAACAGAACAATACCATCAAAGTATAACGTTTCAACACAAGGAATACATCTCAAGATAAGTTATAACCAGAGGCAACATCTTAAAACAAATCAGTTGAAAGCAAGATCCAAAGAAGCACTTTGGTACAAGAAAAAGCAGAAACGGTTAAAACAGAAAAGAGAGCTTGATCTGTCATGATGGATTGGGTCCACATGATCGTCAATAGCTTAGTCCATCTAAGATAAGAAATCACACCATGGAGGTGTTTCACAAAGATTTTAAGTCAAACTTAACTCTAAGTTCGACTTCAAAATTATGGAGAGCCATTTGTAGCCTTAAAATAAATATATTCAAAAGCAATAATTCAAGTATTTCAGACTTTTCATACATTCCACATCAAGAACTTTAAATCTCCTTGATAATAGAAAATATGAATGATTTGAATCAACATTTTATGCCTTTTAGAACAACTTTTACAAAATATTTTCATAGATGCGAATGGCTTTCCATAATTGTTAAATCCAACTTAGAGATAAGTTGAACTTAGGATCTTTGTGAAACACCTCCCTGATCGTCAATAGCCTAGTCCTTCTGAGATGCTAAATCACACCAGTTATATCTGTTTGATGTCATTTCTCCGTCATTGAAAGCTGGAGTATCATCTGCAGCTCCTCATCCTCCTCCTGCCTTCTCTTGTCAGCCTCCAGCCTCTCCCTCTCAGACAGCTCCAGCGCAAGCCTCAGCTCGTCATCCGTCCTGCTGGAGAACTCGCAGCCGACTGGGGCGGGACGGGCGGGTAGCGGCGAGGTAGTGATGGAGGGTTTGGTGGGGGTGGGGTTGGCCCCCGGGGGAGGTAGAGTGACCCCGGTGTGATTGGATGAGGCATGGGAAGGCGATGATGATGTTTGGTCCCCTGATGCATTGTTGCTCTCGTCCGTCTGGGAGAGAAGGAGGCTTTCTTGAATGGCCCTGTGGTGGTGAAGATGGGAACAAAATGTGAGGAAAAGATGAAGCATCCTTCTATCAAAGATTAAACTAGTGTGTGTGTGTATTGGGTTTTTACAGACATGTATCAATCAGATATGATTATTTATGTCTGGGGACCGACCTTTAAATGTCACCATCCAAAAGACGTGACTCAGTTTCGAACCTGCGTCCTTGGTTGAATCAGTCTATAACTTCCATTATTAGCTGGATTACAGGTGCACGCCACAACGCCCAGTTGTGCCAACTATTCTATTAATTATACTACATAGTGTCATCTTATTTTGTTTGGGGCACAAGAAATATCAACGAAAATAGGAAAAGCATATTCTGATAAAATAATTGGTGAAAAACTGAATGATAACAAGAGCATCAGTCATTAAACAGAAGATATGAAGTTTAAAAAAAAAAAATCTTTCCATCTGTCTAATAAAGTTCAAATTAACAAAAAAAGTTTTTGCATACACGAAATCAATGTTGGCAGACCCAGACTTGATTTTCAAAATAGGTCTCCAAGGGCAAAAATTAGTTTTAAATGATGCATATTATACAAACACCAGCACACTGTAAAGCTACTATAATTTACCTTTCTAAGAGTTTGTCTTCAATAGATTGAAGGTTTTCTGTTTCACCAAGAGCATCAATAAAACCAACCTGTAAGGAAAGATAAAAATAAAATCAATTGAGTACATCATCATCATAACAATAAGAATTATAACATGTGCGATTTAAAGGCACCAAATCCACTTGAAAGCTCCATCAACTTCTTGTAAACTTGAGGGGTCTTAAAAATAACCCAGAGTCAAGCACCCTTCAATACAGGTAGTTACAGTTGATTACAAGTAAAATGAATTTTAAAAATGAGATTGCTATAGTTAGACTGACCTCATCTTGATTGTTGGTCTGTTGTTCTAGTAGACTCTGCTGTATAGCAAGCTGTAGAAGCTCATCTTCACCATACCTCACCTGACTCTCCCCAGATCTATACTTGGAATAATCTAAAGTGACAAATAAAATGACAAACATATAAGAAAATTTAAAGAAAATCTGTTAAAGTGGGAAACCTAGCCAGTTTTTTTTTCTTTTTAACATGTACACAAAATAATACCAGTACATCTGACACGTGGGCACCATTTTATGAAAGAGTTGCAATGGATTACAAATAATTTGCAATTGATATCAATTGCATCTCCTATCTCTTTAGTACAGAGTTGGGATTGATATCAATCAAAAAATCATCTGTAATTATTTGTGTCTCTTTCATAAGATGGGGCCAAGATCACTAAATGATACCAGTACTGTTGTTTCCTCTCTTTCTCTCATATTCGGTTTAATTTGAATATGATTCAAACCTAACTGAACGGCTAGTGAATCAATGTTGATCTGTACCAACAAAAGTTAGATTCAAATAATTTGATCTGTGAAATGAGTATGCTCTGGCCTCTATTAAAGGGCAAGTCCGGCCCATTTGCAAGTTGATCGCTATTTTGCATATAGCCTTTGTGACACATATCACTGTTCATGAAATCGTGCCAAAGCATACCTTTCTTATTTCTCGTCGGATTTTAATGTTACTTTCACTGTTTTGTTTGTTTAATTTTCTCTATTTATTAAATTCAACTTGCAAATTGGCATGACATGCCCTTTATGCACAGATATCACTCCTTACCATTCATTTACATTTAAAATAGGTTTTACCTTGTAGCAGCAGTTCTTTAAAGTGGGACTGCACTATTTGTAGCTACTTGCGCCCTCTATACATTAAACAATGCCTAAGCAGTACCTGTTGGTTCCCCATGATCCCTTTTTTCTTATTTTAAGTGAGAGCTGATTTGATGAGATAACCACCTGCCAGTGACCACGTAGGGAGGTCTAATCCCTCCATGCCAAACTAGTGCAGACAGGCTTTAATATATGTGAAGTGTTTTTTTTTATCTATGCCCTGACCTTACCTGCAGGTATATCAAAGACATGTGGGTCCACGACACAGATGGTGGCTGGAGGAAGCGGCTTTGAAGAAGCTCCTTCATCATCTAAGAAATCCTCACTCACTGCTGGTGGGGGCTCCTCAGACAAAATCTCAATGACCTCATTAGATACGCCCGTTACAGGTTCCCTCTTGGCATACAGGTTACCGAAGGTCACGCTTGCATTGATTACATGAAAGAGAGGGATCTCTGTTGGTACAATGGAAAAGACATTTTTTTTTAATGATACAAATTAAGTTTTGCAACCATAGTAGCTGTATGTTCTTTATAAATTTGAAATGGGACAGGAAAATTTCATAAAAAAACGGTATGCATTGCATTAGTTTTGCTAAAAACAGACCATTGCATTCTCCACATTTAAAATAAAACCAAGAGACACTGTCCTTTCTTTTCGACGTAATAAAGAATCAACATTGAATACTTTGACATTGACAAAACAGACTATTATTACAGTCAAACATGCTTTAGCGGCCATCTGTCTATAGAGACCCATGTTTCCCTTGAACATGGTTCCTCATTGAAACCTGTTATGAAGGAACCTGTACATGAGACCTCCAGCCTATAAAGACCACTTTTCATGTTTCTCTAGAACAAGCCTTATGTACATGTTTCACTGTACAACGTTAACAGCAGTATATCATACATCAAAGCATATCATTTTTCATTAATCCCTCTAAGTCTCTGATACCACATAAAAAATCCAGCTCGTCTAGCTCTCTTCACTAGTTTGCTCATAGCTACTATGAAATTCAAAAGGAAACCATCAGGTATACGTACATGAAATGGAGGGTGGTAATCTCATCCATAATGAGCGAAATGGTGAATTAAAATCAATATAAGTATAAACTTGTCTTCGATCCACTGGTGGTACAGGTAAAAAAAATTTGTACAGACCATACAAATCAAAAAATCTTCCTCTTTTTTTTTTTGGGGGGGGGGGGGTCCTGCAAATAGTAAACCCTTACCGATCTTGACAGGAAATCCATTCAAAAGGAAACCATCAGCTACTTGTACATGAAATGATCCATTGGTGGTAAAGGTAATTTGTTTGTACAGAACATACAAATCCAGAAATCTTCCTTTTTGTTGGTCCTTCAATATTCTGCAAATAGTAAACCCAAAACCCTAAGAAAGCGACTGGAAAGTTGTGAAATTTGGTTCCTGAAAAGGATGCTAAGAATTTCATGGACAGAAAGAGTTTCTAATAATGAGGTATTTGCCATGGCAGGAACAAGACGAAAGCTTCTAAATAATATACAGGTAAGAGGTCGACAGCTGAGCTTCTTGGGTCATGTTATTCGGAAGGATGGTTTGGAAAATCTTGCACTGACTGGAAGAATCGAGGGGAGGAGTAGTTGGGGCAGTAGGAGGATTCTTTGGATGAGTAGCTTAAGGAGTGGGATTTCTGAAAGTGGAATTGATCTCGGGGAGAATGAATTAATTCATAGAATATGAGACAAAGAGTTGTGGCATTCCATGGTCGCCAACGTCTCAGGACATGGCACGTAAAGAAGAAGAAGAAGAAACCAAAAAAACCTTACCGATCTTGACAGGGAATCCAGCAGGCAGCTGCAGGGTGATGAAGTCCCTGAGCTTGGCGAAGTGGGCGTTGCTGATAGCCATCAGGTCTATGATGGGCAGCACCTGCTCCTGGAGGGAGAGGGGGTGGTTCTCAGACAGCCAGAGTGTGGCACGGAACTTCTGCACCTTGGTGGTGACCTCCCTGGGGCGGCCGATGTCCCGCCCCTCCAGGGGGATCATCTCGTTGAAGTACTCCTCGGGCTTGATGTCGGTGGGGTTGGTGAGGGTGCCGGACTGGGTCACATCGAGCTGTGAAGAAGGATAGAAGAGAGAAAGAGAGATGAGGAATTGTGATATCATGCTCTTGGTAATTGTTACCTGTAAATGGACAATGTTGTATATTACTGAAGATCATGGCTATTTCTTACAAATGAAGATTTCTATTTCAAACAGTAAATTGCAAAAAAAAAAAAAAAAAAAGTTTCCCTTCATCAAAGAATATATCGTCTGTTGAAAGACAGAAGGGCACTGTCTGTATTGAACAATTGACTTTTCACATCTCTCCGATGTCAGCAGACGAACTGGAATAGCCTGTGTAGATACAAAGAAAGAAGGCCTACCAGTCTAAAGTACACACATCAAGCTTCCTTTCCAAGTCTCTCTTTAGAATAGAATTCCACTGAATTCAAAACCACAACAGACAACAATGAGCAAAGGAGAATACAGATAAAAGACACGAACGTGTGGTTATTGACATCTTGTTCTTCTTCGTTTGTCGCTTTAATGGCAATTAGTCAACTTTGATAATTGTCGCATCTGTATTTCCCCCTCTCTCTCAATAATGTCTTGGTAAAATTATTTTTTCCAAATCTCATTTTAATATGATGTTCAGTCATTTTCTTCTTTTATTTTCATAAAATATTTCAAATTAAACCACGATCCGCACACATTTTCAACTCACGCTGGCTCTGTCCTTTCTAGGATGCCTTCTTACCAGCCCAGCGTGTTACATTAAATTATCATTATGGTATGGTATGAATAACGAGACAAACACATACCCCTGCACCTCCTACTTCTTGTTCTTGTTTCTCTACTACACCTAGTAATGACTGGAGAGGGGAGGCGAATGCAGGCCCATCAGCTGAAAGATATAATACAGTTAAAGAAATATAATGATACAATCACTACAATTACTTACACCAATGTATGGGTTTAACTCTTTATTTCAGAGTACAAACTCTTAAAGGTCTGTAAATTTTAGATTATAGGACTAGTTGCACTTGAGGTTATTCATTTTAATAACCAGTAATTGTTAAGTCTGTGCATAAATAACTGTTCAATCTTGTAAACAGTGCACTTAGCAAACATGACAAGGAACTTTTGTAAAAAAAAACATATTCAGATTTTTCATAAATACATCACTTCATGTTTGTTTTTATCATTTTATTATACCCCATAAAAGTTTGTTTCAATACTAACCGAGCCACATCACTTTAAACACCATTTATTTGTTCTACATTGAATGAAACTTTGATCTACTTCGATAACCCATAAGTCAATTAAGTCAAATTAACCAAAAAATGATGATTGTTATACCTTTGACTTTATCCTTGTCTTCTTTGGTGAGATGTTCTGTTCTGTTTTTTGTGACGAGTTGTACATTGTTTGCAGTGAATACTTTACATTCATAGTCATTGATTGCCTCCACTTTGTCATGCCTCCAGCCCCAAATACCTGCCTTTGTTCTGAGACAAAGTCAAAACATGATAAAATGTGTTATTTCACAGTCTCAAAGAACTAGCGGTTACTATATTAAGCTTAGGGGGACGAAATGGGAGCATTCAGAAGTGAGCAAATTAAGTGTAGGCTGAAGAAACGAATTGCCCACCAACAACAATAACAACAGCAAAACAATGTTTTTTATCCAATATTTTGAAAACTGTAATGATTTTGCATGATCAATGTCATTCATTAACGGACATCTTCAGATCTTGAAACACAAAAGTAAACTTGGTTGAATATGAACGAATAAACTTAGTCATATCAGTGTCAGTTCATTTATTTTCTCAACAATGAATGTACACTTCCATTTAAAGTTTCAAAAATATCTAGCAATAAATTCCAATTTACAGGTATATCACATTTCATCTCAAGTTTTGATTGAATGATTCTAAAAATCTGTTGGAATATGAATATGTTTGTCTCAATCATTTTTCATTCATTCTACAACAGGAGGCACAAATGGCGCAGTGGTACAGCAGTTGTCTCATAACCGGGAGGTCCCAGTTTCGAAGCCAAACGATCCGCTCGTGCTCTTTGGTAAGGCATTAAATGCTCATTATCAAGTCCCTTGGAGAGGACTCAAAGCCGTATGTCCCCCTGTTGCTTGCTTATAAGGGTATACATGCTTTCTTAGTAGTCAGGTAAAACAATCATCTTCAAATTATGGATGAAAATGGAGGAAATGGAACATGAATTTTTGTGACGCACAAGATCACCTTGCAAGCTGAGAGTTAGAAAGGTATTACCAGTAGCTCGTAAACCTGGCATGATCATAATGATATGATAAGAAGATGGCCTACCTTGTGAATTCTATTTTCTCTGTATCTATATAGGTGTTGGAGACGGGCGAAGTTAGTCTTTGGGCTACGGCATTCTCTGAAGGCTGCATCCTGGAGATGTCATGGTGTGCTTGGAGCTCTAACGTCTCGGAGTAGACTACCTTGGCATCATGGTCTATCTCCATGAACTCAAACTGGTTACGATCTGTAAACACAGACATGGATGATCAAAGAGATTTGAGAAATGTATCAAATAGCTTTAAATTCTGATTGCGCAGTCAACAAGAACTGCTCTGAATATGTCTTCATACCTCGTACATTGACACCTTAGAATAATCTACCTGACCACACAAAATACATTTTTGACAAAGATAAGTTAAAATAGAAGTCCAAAAACATCTTTCTAAGTGGTATAAGCAATAAGCCAAACAACTTCTCCTTCTGCACAAAGACTAACAGCACACCCTACCCTGCCACCGTTTGACCTCTTTTGACCCATTTTGACCCCTTCAGGGGGTATTGGGCAAAGGGAGTTTTAAGAGGTATACTTACATTTAATAGGAAATACAATCATTGCAAGATGTTGTGTACATGTAAGTTTATACGAATTTCAAACATATACTAAAATTGTTGCAAGAATAAATTTATATTTCCTTAAAATGCAGATAGAGATTCTTCAACAGTGCCATCAAGATCTACATGTCACTCTCCATAAGTTTATACTTGTTTACATTTAAAGACTACAAATTATCTATTTTCAAAAAGAAAATGTAATTTGACAAAGATTTGATTTACTAGTCATAGCGATAAACAAGTCAAACTTTCAATAGAAAAATCTTGGATTTGGTTATTTGTCCATTTAAAACAAATAGATTTTGCTTTCAGATTGAAAAAGCACCCAATGCTTAAGAAATAACCATCACTCTAATGGACCATATAGGATTCTATCTTGTATTGCAGGATTGAAAAGATGAATAAAACAGAAATTATCAGACAATAAAGCATTGCAAGTTTATACATCCATGATAAAAAAGAAATTATCACATTATCTCTTATTGTCTCTGGGATAACAACCACAAGAGCACATTAACAGATTCCACACAACAAAAAAATAAGATACAAAAAGATAAATCTGTGGGATACTGAAACTGTCTTATCTGAAGGACAAATCCACTTTAAGATATAATCATGAAGAACATCTTAAAGGGGATACTCGAGTCAAAACCAAAAGCAATTATATTCACTCCTAAAGACAGCCGTTTCCTGTATGGAGAGGTACTCTAAGTTATTTTCTTCTTCATTACCGTACATTACTCAAGTTGTATTTCTTGAAGTTTTTTTTTTTTTTAAGAAATCCTCTCCACAAGATATAAATTCATTCAACATTTCTGAAATATTCTGAGAAACAAAAGCAAAAGCTGTACAGATTACAAGCCTATACAGAAACAGTGTGGATAAACCTAATTGTGATCTATAATAATATTCATTGTTATACACAGGGATGGTATAAGAAGCACTCCATGAACTTACAGTATAATGCACGCTTAACTGCAAAAAGGTGCCTGTTCCCCCTTTAAAAAAATGATTAAGTTGTACAAATACAAGTAAACTATGGAGAAGAGAAGAAAAAAAATGACATTTGAATGGTAAACAAGCCAATTAAGGACACCAATTGGAAATCTAAGAAGAGAAAAAGTAGCCAATGAAGTCATTAAATTTTGTTGACAGGTTCTGCACTGTGCAGCATATTCCTTTATGAAGACAATATAGATGGCCACTAGACAGGTAGCCTTTCAAGAGACATGGCCACGAAAGGCTTGTTCACACGTGGTGCGGGTAAGCTAGCGGGGTAAAGCCGCCGTAGGTCTTTAACGTATAAAATGAATGGCAACGGCGGGCAACAAAGGACGTACACATATTCACTGAGCTCTGTGTTATTATATACAGAAATGTAAAACGTATAACAAATTTATGTCTTTGAAAAATAAATGCTGCGATTTTGCCGCATGATATCTGAACGAGCGTTTAGTCAGGTTGGACAGTACTCACCTTCATTCTTAAAGACGTAACTCCTGCTCCCTCTGACCCAGTTCATGTTATCAAACCCAATGAGGGTTGTATCGATCCTGACATTAGGACCACTCTTCCATACACGATAAGTATCACTAGGACACATCCTGGACATTAGAGGCACTGCAATCCAAACAAATTGATCATTTATGATTTAATACAATAACAATTGTTGCTATATTGGTCAAACTTCATCCACAATGAGCATCATGACAGTAGTATCTAAATTATCATTTCACCCCTTGAACAAAGAGAAGAGACTTTGAAAAGAAACTGCAATAATGGACATGAGCTCACAACATTAAAAAAAAAAAAAAAAAAAAAAATTCTAGAGATACTACATGTACATGTTTGTACGCTTATCATGTACAGTGTACAGTATTTTGTTGATGATTTAGGTGACTCTCTCACCTACATTTGTACATGCAACATACTCAGATAGAAGCCTTCATGATTTGACATGCACAATTGTCATATACTTTCAAATTCAATACATTCTTCTCAACATCTATTGCTTTTCGTAACTTCATTTTGTCAAAAGAATTGGTCATTTTCAATGAAATATAATAGAATGACAGAGAAATTGGAGCTTTGGAAACCTATGCTAGAAATGAAAACTTCAATAGGTTTCTAATATTTCAGTTTGCTACACAAAATCGGTTCAGAGACGGCTGAAATATTCATAAATATAACGATTTCTAATACTTGTGTACCACCACAAATATTAGATAATTAATGGTCACCATATTTTTTTAAAGTGGAGCTGAATTGGTATGATCGTATTGGCTAAATTTCTCACATTTTGGGGTCTAAAATTACCTTCATAGCAATTTTAGGTTCTAAAAGGGCACTAGAAATGTCATAAATAAGAATAAGAGCAATAACCATTCACTTTGAAGGCATTTGCGGTCTGAAAACAGAACTCAACTATCCTTTTAAGCCTTCTTTAGGACTACAGTACCGGAGCTTTTAAATAAAACAAAACAAAAATGCTTGAAAATGAAAACATGCAAAGATGTATTCTAAAACCCCAAAGTACATCAATACGGTAGTTTGCCTGCATACAAAACAGGTAATCACTACATATCTTTGTGAAATTTGTGATAGGCTGCAAAGGCTTTGAAGATTAACAATAGAAGAAGGAGAACAAAAATCTTACCCCAGCTGGTGAATTCCCATCTCATCTCAACGTAGAAGTCCGGGGCTTGGCTGAGCTTTTCTAGGAGCTCTGGTATCCCTCCTATGCGGGCTGTGGCTCTCTGGTGATCCCTGTGCTGGAGGATCAGTTGGACTAGTTCCGGATCACCCGTACTTGTGGCTTCCTGGATCACTGCATGAGGGTACAACAAGTATAACAAAAGATATGAATGTTCAATACATCGCATTGAAGGGATACACAAGTAAAATAATGCCACATTTATCCTGCATTTTCTACTTTATGATTTATTTCTCTGTTTTCACTCATGTATTTTGTCATCATTTTTTCGTCCTCAAATTAGCACCAATTATTTCAATTTTCCACTCCTACATGGTTAAGAAAAATGAAAATATGTATGAAATGAACAATGTGAATGAAAATGAGTAAATTCAACAAATTTTTCGACAAAAATAGTGATTATAAATTTCACATTGCATTGCCAATTTTGAGACTGTAATGATTACATACAACTAAATCGTTCTTATTCATGGATGGCACAATGTACTACATCATATACAAATTGACTCAAAATTTCCCATCATTTTTGCTCTCTTTCAATACATGACAACTGTGTGTATTTCTTTGTATTCTGGATCAATCTTTTTTTAATGTTTAAGTCACTTATACATGTAGATGCTGAACTGCAATAAAAGCATGACACCTCATTTTTTTAAAACAAATTCCAAAACTGTTTGTTAAGACATTTACCTGTTTATCCTACTTTGTTCTCACTTGTAACATTAAAAAAAAAAACTTTTTTAGCAGATGATTCTGCATTTATTGATAAATTAAATACAAAAATTCAGATTACAATAATAGTATAAAAATGTAATAATTGATTTACATTAGAATGACAACTGAAATACACACACACATAAACATGCATATATAATTGAAAACTTGAAAGTATGGAAGTAAGTCAAAGCATCAAGATAAATGCAGAGGCATTAAATCCAATCCAAGTAAAATTCAAGTGAAATCCAAGTAAAATTCTGATGCATTCTACATGTATGAGGTGATACTGAACTGCTATCAGCATGACACCCCATTTAAAAAAAAATTATTAAAAAAAAAAACTGTTTGTTGAGATATTTACCTGTCCATCCTACTTTGTTCTCACTTGTAACATCTGCATCGAATCCTAGTAGTACCCTGACACATTCTACATGTCCGAGGGTGACTGCCAAGTGAAGGGGAGTTCTTCCTCTGGGGTCCTTCTTTTCTCTTTCACCCTGCAAAAAAAAAAAAATTAATACATTTGTGTTATGATGTGTAGGTGGAGGTGGGGTGGGGGGGGGGGGGTAATATGCCGAACATTCTGTAATAGTGGTGGAAATGTAAATGAATAATTTACAATTTTGCTACACTTTATTCATACTAGACTCTATATGTGATGTACATTGTAGATCTGCTGTATACAACATTGCATGTAAAGTTCATGTCAGATTCAGATTTTAAAAATGTAAATACAATCAAACTTGCATTTCTGAATTTTTTTGACAGCTAGGTTATTCGTCCCGTCAGTTTTCTTATGAAACTATTTAAATAGAAATAAAAGAATAAGTTGGCATTTATAACACAGAAAATCAATGCTTGACATACAGCCTTGCAACATAAAGTTGGTACTCGATAAAATTATATTAATTTTGTTTTTGAATTAAATGGACTTCTTGTAAATTCAAATAAACTAATTTTTATATGTTTTGTCTATTATGTTGTGCAATATAGGAAATGTTTGACTGTGCAGATAATAAATAACATTCAAAAGATTTTAATCAACTTGCAAAATAACCATGTTCACTACATGCACAGATATTCCCATTTTTCAAGGTTTTGGGTACTGGAAAAATGTTGCACTCTGCCTATGCGCTATAACAAGAGGTAGACACACATGGCAGCATACACAAATCAAGCAACCTCTGACTTCTCTCTAGCTGCCAGAATGCTTTGGAAGTACTTTTTCAACAAAAATACAATTGGTGCAATTTTCTATTCAAAAAAAAAAGCAGGGGCACTAAATGTTTATAACAAAATGATATGAATCACCTGTGGTGCTATGTCGGCTTGTTAGGTATAAACTCTATAACTATAAGCAAGTTGTTGCGAGACAGCGAGAGCCTTAATTGGTAAATGGTAGGCAAATTGAATTCTTTTTATACCCAAAGTAACAAATCAAGATTAATTGAGTTGGTTTAAAAAAAGGAGAAAAATAAGAGGAACAGGTACAGGTCACTGCAACTTTGAGCAAATTCTAAATTTCAATGAAATAAAAGAACTTTTGAAGTTGCAATCAGTCAAACATGAATTGGCAACTCTGTGACCATTACGTCTAGATACATCATGATGATCTTCAGAGGTCTAGCTCCTCCCATTTGCTCTGTACAAAAAAAAAAATCAGATATTTTGATTTTCCCTCAAGAAAATCACTAAATCAATCAGTCTGGGTTGCTTTCACACGCCCCCCCCCCCCTAAAACTAACATTACAGGGCGCGACAAACCCGCTTGCCCGACGTCCCGGGGCAACCAAATTGAGCCGTCGGGCAAGTAAATCAAATTATCACTTGCCCGATTCGGGCAAGTGATACTTTTACAGTAATTTCCTAGTGTCCAAGAACTCTACCATTCACCCGTCAACTTCTTACCCGTCGTCAAAATCCAGAAGCAAAAAAGCGATCGTTCCGATTTCGAAAAAACTTCACAGACAGCTAGCTAGCTCAGCTAGCTCAGCGCGCATGCAACAGTGACACTTCAAGCCATGAATGCCGCTCCGCCTCCACGCACGGCCGGCCGTGAGCTAGCTAGAGACAGCTAGCGCGATCGTACCAGCTGCGAGCTTATTCGCGCTCTCTCTCTCTAGCTCTGCAGGCCGCACCGACAGGCCTTTGCTATTCTCTGATTGCCGATTGGTTGAATCACGCCAAATATGACGTCATTATTCTAGGGAAATGAACACGTGCGAATCGGAATGGAATAAACAACAGGGATTTTCTAGTAAGTACAAAAAGTCAAATGTTTGATATTTATTCATAATGACTGTTAATGATTGTGAACATATTATTTAAAACTCGCTGCTCATATAAATCAGATGAATGTTTTTGTCTCGTTTTCAATTTATTACTGCGGTCTCAAGATCCGACCGAGCGAGTCATTTTGATAATAGTATCGAGACCCCCAGAATATAAGCCGTTGTTGTTTTGTTTTCATGGTTTTAGCGACGTTGTTTAGTCTAGTTTTTGCATACTTATCCGAGATTTATCGTAAAATATCTTCAACATTATTATTTAGTAAGAATTTACAAATTTTGGCATGATATTTATAGCAGTGAATGATGAAATAAAAATGTCCGTACTTTATTTAAAATAGTTGATTACCCATTAGACCTATTTACATGACGTTTCTTGATGGAAGAGTTGACCCAAATTATTAACAGCTGAAAATTAGCCTACGTTTCCAAATGACAGCGGCTTGCACAGACACACACGTGCGTTGATCAGCTGTTTTTTCTCGATTGTGCTAGTAAACATGGAGGCACCGCCAGCCAAGAAAGCGAACTACGAACACAACAGTATGTCATGTGCATTAATTTGCTATCTAAAACACTTACTTATCATTACGAGATAATAAATGCTTTAACCTCGAGTCCTTTTTCGCTTTAAAGTTTTGGGCAAGTGGAAATATTGTTTGGGCAAGTAAATTGAAAACCCACTTGCCCGACAGGGCAAGTGGTGAAAAAAATTCTTGTAGCACCCTGCATTAACAAGTAACAACACAGAACACTAGAACCTATAAACACAATACATTCCGACAGCTTGAATAATAATATTAATAAACAGGATAATATTTCACCTCTTTCTTTGCCAGCTCTTTACTCAAATCCTCTAGGTTGTTGTGCCAGATGGCCCAATGAATCGGAAATTCCTTGGCGACACTTGGAATGTGAGACATCTTAGTGATTTTACTCTATCCTCCTCAGACAATAATATGAAAGCTAGTGGCAAACACCAACAACTTCACACCCATTTTTCTCCTATGACATATTTTGTAAGTCTTAGAAAATATCGATATTTTCCGCTGTTTAGAAAATCAGTAAATGAAATATTAATTTTTCTCACTTTTCAACTCATTTATCTTTTAAACAAAAATACAGTGTTCTTTTTAAATATTATTTTGATTCTTAAACATGTTTAAAGAAAAAATGATGTAATATTTTTATAATGAATTTACAACAAATTGGCAAAAGAGTTTGACCTTTGACTGCAAGACGTCTTCGCAAGTTTTGACGAACTCTCACCACCGGCCCCGAAAATCAGCCAAATTTGTCGATATTTATACCTTAATTCTAACGTCACTGACGTTTACAGTATAAAATATGTCATTAACAAAGACTGTTTACAACAATCTCTTTAGGAGATCCTCGACATTTGCACTCACAATCCTCGTGGGAGCATTTTTCTTCGAGAGAGTCTTCGACAGGGCCACGGATGGTTTGTTCAACAACCTAAACGTAGGGGTAAGTAGCCGTAGCGTAGGCGCGCCACCGGCCGGCTCTGGCCCAGCAAGATATGCATAGGGTAGCGCGCCCAGTATTCGGTCACTTAAGGGGAAATCGCAAATATTTTGAATCCTTACCTCCTTTATTAGGCAATCTACCCATCAAAAGAAAAGAAAATTAGTCCTCTAACAAGATTTTAAAGTCACTTAAAAATATAGAATGATAAAAATGATATTGATAAACAAGATAGGTCTATTTCCGAAAGAAGAAAGAGCAGTTTTCTGCCCAGAACTTGGCTGCACCGAATAGAATTTGGTCACACGATTTGTGCGTGGTATCTCCGTTGACAAGGAGCGAAGCGTATTTGCACACTATTTTCACACAATTGCGCGACAAAGCACTGAATGTCAGAGCGTTGACCGAATGCTGGGCGATCGCTAATGCGCATGGCAAGGGTATTGTATAAAGTCTTGCACTTCAGTAAGCTAAAGTGCATCATTTGCAAATTCGCTGCAATACTAGTAAATCACATGCATTATATGAGTAACGGTTTATGTTTGTTCTGTGCACTAATATTTGCCCCTACTTTATGTCTTTGCAGAAACAATGGATGGATGTGAAAGGGCCCATTCTAGAGAGACTAGAAGGAGAAGAAGAAGATGAAGATTAGACCCCATTCAGAGCTACCCCTTTCACATCAATAGAGATTTGTTTACATACGTCAGTCGCTCACCACATATTCACATGGCCTCAACCAGAAAGGTGACTGAAATCCTCGCACATCCACGAAGAAGAGCAGAAGAAACTGTCTAGCAATCGTCATGACCAGCTTGACTACAGGAAATCTGAAATGCAGTGCTTTGAATTTGTCTTCAATGGTCGTTGGAACAGTTTGTGCTTTTACTCTGCCAAGAATTACACATACATGTAGGTTGACATAGTCTTGATGTTGAACCGAATATGAAACTACAGTAAAAAGAAGTCATCCAAGTCCTCCTGCTTTCATCTCTAAGTCATAAGGATTGCATCGTATTCCAAAGAGTTGAAACTTGACAATGATTATTATTCTTTTAAAAGATGACTGTAGTGTAATGTCAAGTGCTGATAATTTAATCCAATCAAGTACATTTCCAATACAATAATTTCAAGGAAACATGTCCTGCAGTAAATATGTATTGCAAAATGATGTGTATCAAAGGTGCTTGTATATGATGCAATCGTGCCCGTGTAACTGCATGCAACTTACCAGTATGAGGCAGTGTTTTCATAAACTGCTTACTTCAATATTTTCACCTCTGAATTAATTGAAAGTGTTAAAAATCAATCATTTATATTTCTCTTGACAAACAAGTAAATTCAACAACTACTGTGATTAATATAGAAAATTATCCTAACATTTTGACATAACCTTAAAATATAGGAATGAAAATATTACATGTTGCTTTTCTAAGACCTTGTAACATTTCTATTACAATTACAGGTGTATTTCTTCGTTATACACGTAGTCTATGAAAGCTTCAGTTAGCAATTTTAATGTCTTATGAAATCTTTGAAATTTTAAGAAAGGGCATGGAAAAATGAAATTTTCTTGGTATTTGGTCTGTATGATATGAGAGCCATATTTACCTTTGTGAAAAATGTGATGCAATGTATTTAAATGTACATGGAGAGAAACTGACATTATATTAAAATGATTACTGTGTTTGAAATTTGAAAACTTTACAATACCCTTGTCAGCCTTGTGATTTTTTGTTTAATGATGCTTGTGCATTTGTGTCCATTTCTATCTTGCAATTGTTGTTTTGACATGTACCCACCAAATTCTGTCATAGCCGATTGCAGTGGACCTGAAAATTTTGGTCTACAACTTTCATACCGAGAATATTCAGAAAAAAATTAATATGAAGTGGAAAAGGAGAGAAAGAAGATAGACAGGGGGGAGGGGGTGGGGTTAAAAATTTAAATGCTCACAATTTTAGGGAGTTGATCAAGCTGCTCAACAAACAACCTCAATGTTGTTTATCTCTCCTTTCTTTTTCAGATTTAAAAATGAATTAAAGAGGAAAAATGTAGGCTATTTGGTTGGCTCTGAAGGCTAATTGCTTGAGCCCCTATGACATTTTACATGGCAATATAACAAATATTGGTGGTGCATTTTTATGTTGGGTAATATATTGCATGTATTTTACCTTTCCTGAAATCCTCTTGCGCGGGTCCGGTACACTTTTTCTTGTATGCTGCACAATCGTACTCGCTCACTCGGTATGTGAAAATGCAGCTAGCATTCATGTTACACATAGCTTTAGATGGTTTGGCAAACGTGATCAAAATAGGCATGTAACTCGCAATGATTATTATAAATTTTCTTTCTCTCAATCTGTCAATATCTTTCCTCTCACTCATTGTCTTACATTTCCTTCCTATCTTTTTCCCTTCTGATCCGTCCCCTTCTTTTTCTCATTATTGCTTTCTCTCACTCGCAACTTTTTCTTGCATCTCCTTCCTTTCCTCAACTATCTTCAGTCCTTCACTACATGTGTAAATACAAGAAAAATAAAATCCTTTCTTTAGTCAATTTCCAAGTACATCATTCGATCTCTCTTTCTAACTTGAGCACTTTCTCTATGCAGCTTGTTTTCACCAAATGTGTACTGCTAGCTACATGTTATTCTCTTCGTCTCTTCTCCTTATAGTGTCTCCTTTTATTTCCTCCCAATCCTTTCCTCACTCATTCTCTTTCTTGAATCATCCTTTCTTGACTTTCTCTTCTCTCTCTCTCTTTCAGAAAAAAAATTCTCTCTCCTCTTTCACAACATTGACATCTATTTCTTTTCCATTCATTTTTTGTCTTCACACTTTCTGTCTATCTAATCATTGATAAAGATCCTAAATGAAACAAATTTTACTTTCATATAAAATAATTTAATAAGATAATGTTCAGCTTCTTGCAACTTGTTTGACAACAACAGCACAATACATACCAATATGGTAGATAAAATAAATAATGAACCTGAGATACAGCTCTTCATCAAAAAATATTCAAACAAGCTACACTTCCAATCTAACTCTTAAGAATGAAGTTTATTACAAATTCATTGAATGTGCATGTATTAACATGTCTCCTTTTTTAAAATCAAAGATTTGCTATTCTAAGTGACCAAGAATCAGTTCATATTACATACTTACTTGGAAGTGTATAAAGCATTGTACAACATACACAAAATCATTAAAAACATACTTTTTAAATACATGGTCCATTGCACTTGTAAACACAGGTAGTATAACAAAAAACATACATCACTATCATGCAAATCTTAATTAAAATGTGAGCTATTGAAATGTATACCCTTTGCTTAAAAATTGAAAGTAGGAGATTTTTATTATATAAATTCATTGAAAAATAAATTCAATTCTGTCTTGAGAAATATAACCAATTAACACAACACAGATCACCAATTCATAGTTCTGGAAGGAATACATTTTTTAAATAATAAAAACTGGCAAACTATTAGCAGAATGAATTTTGTTGATACATGCAATGGAGATTATCACAATACATACAGTATGAATAGAACTAATATAAATACTTAACATGTATTTCCAATCACTTATAATTGAGGATTGCAATGGAAGCGTTATTTCGAACTGAATCCTGTTTTTATTCTATAGTTCTGTTCTGATTAAAATGCTATTTAAATAATCAAGGTGTTATGGCGGTAACCATGGTAACAAAATTCCCTTAGTTGTGACGATTGAGACTCGTTCATATTTAGCTAAATGGAATTCTTTCTAAAAATAAAATTATTCTTCTTTTTCCAAGTGTATAACCTAATGGGACCTCTGAGATATTTCTTCTGACATTTTAAGAAATGTTGATAAAGGGTAGAACTACATGTACATTAAATCTGTGAAATGCTACTATGAACTGCATATATATGACAGTTTTCAATGTACTAAAATCAAAACAATTCATTATCACAAACTACATTTTAGGACTCCTTTTATGATTATACAGAACTTGAGAAGAAATTAATTGATGGTAACTGAATATTGTGGCCTGAGAGTGGGTATAATTCAATCTTGGTAACTCTTAACCTGAAATAGTTAAACTTATTTATTAATAATTAAATTGTTGTGTTTTCATGGGAGTAAAGAAAGGGGGTTTATCTGCAAATTTGGGGGTAAGAGCACTGACAAATAATGCACACAAAATTGTTGGGGCCAGAAGGTCTACGAACCACAGCTTGAATTACCGGAAATGATTTGAATGTACGTGTAAAAAAATTATCCTGTTCACTTGCTACACCAAAGTAACTAGGAAATGACTTTAAATACTTTTCTTGCATGTACGTTTTTCCTCAGCTTTGTGTTGTATCTATGTAGATCTAAGATCCTCGGCCCAGTGGTCTGATTCGTCTTCTTCTGATATCTGTTGTGCATAGAAAACAAACAATCTTGCTTTCAATATTTGTGCTAATCATACACAGTTGCATGAGAGAAGGCACTGGTGGCGCAACGGAAGGAGATGGTCAAGAGAGGTGGGGGGGGGGGGGGGGGGTATATATTTTTAATACATTTTTTGAGGAGGGAGTCTCATATATTTCTGACATTGTAAGTTGTAACCCCCCTCGGCAACACTGAAGTAAATTAGAAAGAATATTTTCACAAATTAAGGTATTAGAACCAAGTCAACCAACACAACATAATTATAAGAAGGATATGATATACTTTGAGGATTTATAGTTGGTTCATGTAGTCAACACATCACAACCATTCAGCATGGTCCTTTTGAACTGGCTCCTCCTAAAAAATGTTGTCTCAGCCTTCAAAAACAGATATCACATATTACTCATTGTGCATCTATCGTGCAACAGAATTAGCGGCAGGAAATACAAGAGTACATTACGGTACATATGTACCTTTCATCTCACATTCAGGAACTTGTGCATTATATCAGACACAGTTCAATTCACCAAATTGAGAAAGATACTATCAACATTGAATGGCTTTATCAGGTAATATGAGACTATTTGGTCCTTGATATAACCATATTGCCCTTGTCTTCTACTCTGGCAATGATTATTCTTGGGCAATATATTCTCATAAAAATGTAGCCCTATAAGCAAGTCAATATTAAATCCTGGGGGGGGGGGTGGGCGTTTCACAAAACTTGTCATCAGTGACGAATGACAGTTTTTGTTATAAGCTACTGAAACCCTTGCTTCTGATTGGTTATCAACAGATTTGTCACTGATTTTTGTCATTTGTCATTGACAAAAGGCTTTGTGAAACGGGTCCCTGGTCATTACATGTACTTCTACTAACCTCTGCTAACTTTGCATAGCATCCTTGCTTCTTCCTAATCAAGTCACCCCACAAGACCACTTCCTTGCAGGATGGACAGGAGCCCTCTATAGGCAGAAGTTGGTCAGGATCATTTTTAAGGAAGCGTTTTGACACGCATATCATGTGATACTCTGCTTTGCATGATGGGTAAAGGCAAGTCAGCATAGTCTCATCATCCTGTATGACACGTAATGCAACATTCAATTTCAAATAATTAACAGGGAAATGGGTCACTTTGCAGCCAACAACTTCTGTCCATCATTATTATGTTCTCATCTGTATTTTGAAGAGTCGTAGATAATAGATATAAATATTGCAGAAATCATGTTCAAACCGTTTTCACACAAAATCTAAAAGTAGTACATATTGGAATCATAAGCAGATTGGAAATTAGAGGAAACATTAGGCCCAATACCCTAGAAATATACATCCTTCAGTGACTCATTTTATTTCCCTTCTAAAGATGTTTAATATACTCCAATTAAAACAAAGTCTGTAATTCTGTATCCAAAGCCCAACTAAGTTTGTTTCTCACTCACAATTTTAATTCAATCAAATGCTTTTTTCACCTACACCTTCTGAGTAATCCTTGTGTACAACTCACCTGGAATCTCTTTCCACAGATGATGCATCTTTTGCCTGCAGTTTGGCTTGAAGGAATGGCTTCCACATCATCATCTTCTTCAGATAAATTCTGAGAATCTGAACTCTTGTCCTTTTTACCTTTCCTCTTTTTCATTCTCCTTGGGTTTCCATAACCACCAACCTAAGCAACAGAAGAAAACAGTTATAATGAGAGAGAGAGAGAGAGAGAGAGAACACCCTACATGATTAGGTGAATATAAAGTTACTTTCCTTTCAAAGCAAAAAAATCCACAGAATTGGATAAAAACATCAACAACTGCCCTAATCATATACAAACTTGCTCACAGTCAATAAAATGTAACCATTTCAGTAGCAAATATCAATTACCATTGAATAGGGACACCAAGATAAATAAGGACAAAGAATAGACGTTATCGACAAACCAAGTACCTGTTTTGTCCCCTTTCCATATGCAATACAGACCCTTTTAACCTTTGAAATTGTCTTGAAAGAAATGGAAAGGGTCTACATCATGCCAGGATAAATTTTGTCAGAATAATATTTTTTTCAAAATTGTCATTGTCTCCTTATTTTTATGCTACTTCATGAAGCTTCATGTATAACAATTTATGTAACAGGCCTTCAAAGTCAATCACAAAGCAAGCTATATAGGAACATATTTGAGCACCTGTTACCTTCGTGCTTGTCACCTGACCATACGATATGGGCATGTGACTTGGGGGCTGTAGCCTAACATCAAACTCCTGCTTGTACTCCTGCATGAGCCACTGAACCGTGAGAGGGAGACGACACCAGGGCCCGACACGCAGCATGTTGGAGACGACCCGGAAGCGGTACTGAAAGGCTGTCTCCTTCCCGGTCTTTCGGGGAATGTGGCGCAGCCGCCTGGATTTTGTCGGGTGCTGCCATGCCCATTCAAACTAAAGACAAGGAATTATTCAAAATACAGTACAGACAAACATGACGTAGGAACAAACATGTCATAGGCACAGAAAATGCTGGTGTGTTTGAGTGTATGTGGACAAAAACTTACTGAGTCAACTTTTTTCTTTTTTATTATGTAGGCTGCTGGTCTTCAGGCATAATTTAAAAAAATAAAACTAAGCATTAACAATGTCATGATAAGCTGAATTAATTTCAAATGTAGAATATTTTTTTCAAAGGACAATTTAGCCAAAACCTAAATTGAAAAGTAATCACAAATGCTCAACTTACTCTTAGTGCTGTAATTTCATTTGGAAAGCCAAATATTATTAACACCATATCCCTGAAAGAAAAGATAAAAGGATTACAGAATCAGCGATAACATTAAATATACTGAGATAAACAGATTTGTATCTCTTTCTCGAAATTGGATAAAAAGGTGAAGAGCATTTCCATTTCAACCATGTCTAAAAAGACATTCTTTAAATGTGAATGGCATTGTTGGCATTTATAAGCACAACGGGTTAGAAAATATGGACTGATGAGTTGTATATATACAAAGTCTAGGGGGTAATTAATGCAGGGCATGCCAAATCAGGACCCCCCCCCCCCCCCCCAGGACAGAGTCTCCAATTTCCTTGTTTTACAGGGGAAGAATTTTGAAAGTGTCAATTAGGTTTTAAAGGAAATTGAAGAAAAAGCAATTAACAAATTAAAAGGAATTTTCTACTGAAAAAGTTAACTTTTTTTTTTATCAATATTTAGTGAAGGATTAATCCCTTTGGTTTTGATGGATTCTTTCACCTTAGCATATTAATTAATATTATAACATCTTTCTCATTTGTGTGTTAACGTGCCCCTTCCCTCATTCATAGACGCAGGTTATGTCAAGTGGAAAACACTCCATCCCTCGGATAGGACGTTAAATGGAGGCCCCTTGTAGAGAAGAGCAACGCTCAAAATACACGGGGGCGGTGGGCGATTCGCCCCCGTGAGCCCCACAATCGCCCCCGTCAGATGGTTCACGAGGGCGATTGCAAAATTAAAAATCGCCCCCGTGGAATTATAAAATAAAGATTATCTTTTCTGATATAACTTTAACACAATATTGAGTATCAATTTTCAAACCTTAAACCAATAAAATGGAACTAATTAGATGGCGCTTTCTCTCCCATCTCTATGAGTATTACCGATACAAACAACAGAGCTCGCAGTGCAGCTGTAGTGCGGCCGTCAGCAATGTCTATACTGCGCCGGTAGTACCGGTGTGCACGCTGACGCCCAATATATGCTGGAGCTGGAGACGATCGCGCAAGGACTGAAACATGGAGAAATTTTTCGTTGTGAAAAGTGTGAATCCTCTGAAATCTGGTTATTCTAAAAGATCAGCAAATAATGTAACTTGACCAGTAAATCAATATTGAGAAGAAGATCACCAAAGATGTTGCAGGGGCGGATTTAGGCGGTTTAGGGGTTTAACCACCCCCCCCCCCCTCCCCCTTGGGCTGCCGAGTGAAAATGTGTTGTGCATAGAAAAATGCTATCATGTGTCATTGTGTCCAGACCTACACAGTATTAGTAGATGTCAGTAGATGCCAGGAAAACATCTCTAACGGGGGTTCAAAATAGCGCCAAAAAATCGCCTCGCCGCTTTGCGGCTCGTCGACGATGCTCCGCATGTTAGTAGATGCCAGGAAAACATCACTAACGGGGGTTCAAAATAGCGCCAAAAAATCGCCTCGCCGCTTTGCGGCTCGTCGACGATGCTCCGCATGTTAGTAGATGCCAGGAACACATCAATTACGGGAGTTCAAAATAGCAACAACAAAAATCGCCTCGCCGCTACGCGGCTCGTGGACGATGCTCCACATCGTATCTGGGTTACCCCCCCCCCCCCATCCTTAGCAAAAAGCTAGATCTGCCCCTGTGTTTTGGAAGGATATGGTAAAAACCAAAAGTAAAGAAAGAATGTAAATAAGGTTGCTCCAAATAATGAGGAGGACATTATGTGCAGAGCGGGAAGAAATGGAGAGAATGTCATTACGGAGATAAAAGTCAATAACAGCTATGTAACAAGTACATTTCTAAGAGGGAAAATGCCGACTTAAATAAATGATAATGATAAAATACCAAGGAATTTAGGAGTTTCATGGGTACCAATTCAATGAAAATTTGTATTAAAAAAAGAGCCCCCGTCGGTACTAAAAGAGCCCCCGTGAGAGAGCTCACGGGGCTCTTTTTTTTTTTGGAAGAGCCCCCGTGGACAAAAAATTAATTTGAGCCTTGGAGAAGAGTCACTACCTTTGCACTATTAGAACCCACTGCACTATTCGTATAAGAGTAGGGGGGAAACCCCGGTGAAGTGGTCCACCTGCACACACCCCTAATATAGTACGATAATACTCTGTAAAGAGGTGGTCTGTACTCAAAAGGAAGAAGAATATGAATTACACCAAATTTAAAACAAACTAGGCCTAAGCCCTAAAGTGAAAAACAAAAACAGGACGAAACAAAACAGAACAAAAGAGTAAAGACACCAATCAAAATCCAAAATGAGAAGGAAAAATCTTGTTATGATGAGCCAATCCAACACCGCTAAACCGCAGCTGACAGTCATTTTAGTGATGGTGATTGCCATTGACAAGATAATATGAGGTGCTCGCAGGAGCTAGAGTCGGACTGTAGTGGCGCGGAGTCAGCGCGCAGCGCCAAATCTCCGGCCAGAGCGCTCCCCAGGAATCAAAAGCAAAGGGTTTGGGGTAGGTACCAACACTTACCAAGGACCCTTTCCACTTGTTCTGTATGCACCTCCAAATTTGGAACCTTTATTGTGTTGACCAACCCTTCTCTTCGGATCCACTGTATAACCAATATATGTCCATCCCTTGTAGCGTGGATTGGTGCTGACCAGACAATAACAACCGTTGAAATTTTCGACCTCTTTCGCCATTTTCACATTCAGAATTGTTTCTTTCCGCGATGAGGGAAGGTTGTCATTGTCATGTGACATGTCACCTGACATAGATATCCGAATCGGATATGCTGCTACGGTACGCTTACGACTTACGTTACGTACGTACGTACGACGTGCATGTACAAAATGAAATGAAGTGGTCATTTCCTTCATACATACATGTAGATCTACATTGGCATTGTGCAGATTGCAGACCACAAGTCGTCATTTAGAAGTGGATTTGATTTGAATGAGGATCATAATTTGGAAATGGAATGCAAGCTGTTGAGCAATGCTGAGGCCAGAAGATAGAAACTAACCATGGATAGACGGTGATCAATCTTTTCTCTTTCAGTTTCAGTCTTCTTTTTTACAATTTTAGATCTAGTCTAGACCCCTTTTAGTTTGTTTTCCTTAAAGGCTTAATGAGATTTAATTATATTAATAACATTGACTTAGACCTATGATATTTTTGCTCAGTCATATGTTCATATGTTACTCTACTAGTCTTAGTCTTATTAATCTTATAGTCTAATAAATGTAGAGTAATGAGACTTATGAGAGAAGCATGTGTGATTACAATTATGAGATGACTAGATTTATTGCATGGTGCAATTTATGACAACTCATTCTCAATGTTTTCAAGGACATTGTCATTGATTGTATGACTGACTCCTTGTACAAACGCAAGAAAATTAATTATATCCTGGATTGAAGGAAACAAATGAAAGACGAGAAAGAAGAAAAAGAGAAGAAGAAGAATGAAAAGGAAAAAGGAGAAGAAGAAAAGGGAGAAGGAGGAAGAAAAGAAGGAGAAAGAAAAGAAGGAGAAAGAAAAGGAGGAGAAGAGAAAAGGAGGAGATGAAGAAGGAAAATAAGAAGAAGAAAAACAATGAGAAAAGGAAATGAAGAAGAGGAGATGAAGAAGAGGAGACTTTATTGTTAATGCATGACAATGGTAGCTATGCGCTATATACAAAACTACATACATGTATAGTGCAGTGTATATATTACCGGTATATACATGTACATGTACATGTACTAGATCAGTGGCCCAGTCATTGAGAGAGTGCCTAAAATGTGACATATATATTGAGTTAATGGAAGATAATCAAATAGTTCATAAAGCGAAAGAAATGTACACACATCAAATAATAAATTAACAAATTTTCTTTAACCATTCTTTTTCTGTTGTGCAAATATATTGTAGACTGTAGAATATATTGATGTATTTTGATTTCTCCTTTGATTTGTTACAGACGTTTAGATCAATTATTTTTCATCTACGATCACTCTGTCGTACAGAGAGAAGCAGACGACCCAAAGGATGCTATAGCATACTTCTATCCTCAAAATGTAAGCATCATAAAGGGCGATAAAAAATATGAAGGCCTACATGTAATTAGAGTATCTTATGAGGTGTTAGAGTAAAGTAATAGTTGACAATATGGCTTAATAATAATTTTTTTAAATGAGACATGTTGAAATGGAGTTGGCACGCTGTAAGGTTGACAAATGTTGGTTTTAAATGGAGTAAGATTTATTAACAATTCCTTCAAAAAGTTTTTAGCTTTTAAGAATTCTAGAATAGCTTTTTGATTTGGTTCCAATAAGTTGATTGTTTTTTTTCTTTTTTTGTGTGTGTGGAAAATTCAAGAATTAATTTAGGATATCTATTCATTGGGCGTTTGGCATTCCACCTGATTTTCTCCCAGTGTTCAGGTCGTACCACTAGATTTTGTTCTCTTCAAATCAGCATTGTTAGTAACCACCAACTTTGTGCACGGGAGACGAGTGTTCTTGTACATACAGTATGAGTAAAATATTGGTATTTGCTAGTAGAGCCTACCTTTTCAAATTGACTCACGTATATTTCATCACTCACTGTTTTAAATGTTTGTTTTGTTTAATGGCTACCTTAGTTTCCAATCGACACCCAATGTTTGCTATGCGGACAGCTGATGGGAATGGTCAACTTCATGAAGATCTTATGTTCGTCTGAGCCTAGGATCTACAAACTCAGAAAGATGAAACTGGCGACGTTGCATGAGGGTAATTTCACTCTGGTGAGTAAATTGATTAAATGCGTTCTGGCCGGACTGACATTACGTTTATCAGAAAGCATTATTTTATGTGTGAACGGATCTTCAATACATACTTTTCAATTTATTGCATGCAAGGGGACAGAAAATGCAAATGTGTAGGATTCATTTTTGTAAGTTATGATAGACATAAAGTGCTAGTATTCCAGGGGCCAGGGGGGGTGTTTCACAAAGACTAAGATCGACTTAAGTTGGACTTGAACTATTGCAGGCCGTTCATGCCACTAGTTCCTCTAACTATTTCTCAAGGGACGTACAAATCGTGGTCACAAATCTACAGAATTTACTATTTTTATAGTTTATTATTGAAGTAAAAATTATTATCTAAAGATCATAATTGAGAGACCAATGGTGAAAGCAATTAGTGGCATGAATGGCCTACCAAAGTTCAAGTCCAACTAAAGTTGATATTAGTCTTTGTGAAACACCCCCATGGTTTCTATTTGGTAATTTTATCACACAGACATAACATCAATTTCCAGAAGGATCTTGCATTTATCCTCTGGTATTTTTGTTTCTCTCTCTCTCTCTCTCACTCTCTATCTAGGCCTTGGCACATGACCCTAAAGTATCAGATACGGTTGCCATAGGGATGATGAGAAATCTTTATGATGTCTTCTGCATGTATCATGGCTCTTTTACAAGACTTTTGAAGGTAATTTGATATATAAATTTATGAATTTATTTTAGTATGATAATGATTATGACAATAATTATAATTATTTTGGTAACGATTATAACAATAATGATGGTGAAGATGATGATGATAATTATTGTAATGATAAATGTGAGTTTATCTAGTGCTAAAATAAGAAATAGAATCTGTAACTCTCTTTTTCTCCGGTCTCGGACCAACATAGTAACTTAACCTTACTGCATCATGATCTTAGTAATTCAGATGAGAAAACTATATAAGACAGAAGTAGAGATAAAAGTAACATTACAGTAAGAATAATATTCATCTATTTCTCATGAACATATGTTCATGCATTGATTTTGATAGCATTGCCGTGGCAACAGAGAAACATTCTCTTCCCAGATGTCATCCATATGGAATTGTTACTTGCCATTCATCCGTCACTATGGCAACAGCATGAAGACAATCTTCCATGCAGTGCCCACCATAGAGCTACCAAAGGTAATAAACTTGATTGTATAACACATGTTCCATCGACAATCAATTCTAGATCGATTTGTTGCACTGTCAGTCAAGTTCCTAACTTCAACTCTGCAACTGTGGCCCTAAATCAAACCTAATTGAAAACTGTTTGCTACCCTAATCTGAGGCTAACAAGTGCCCCCCCCCCCTTTTTTTTTTTTTTGCAGTACATGAATTAATTTCAACTTTTAAACAATAATATTGACTGGCCACGAAGGGGAAATGATGGAAGTAAATTGCCCAAGAAAAATCAAATTGCCCTATTCAAAGACTTAGGTATGGTGATTATTCTTGTAGAATTTGGTTTACATTATTGTACATGTATTGGCTTACTACATGTGCTGTCTGTTAGGATGTACACTTTCTGTGTTCATTTACATTCAATATAATTTTTAAGCAAGCATTGTAGTCCCAATTTTCATATTTACATTTACATGTAGCTTTAGGGAACCACAAATTTATTGCCCTATTTTCCTCTATTTTTGTAAGTGAATAAAGCAAAATATTCTTACTAATTAAAGCGGGACTGCACTACTTGTAGCTACTTGCGTCATCTTTATATAGCAAACAATGCCTATAAAGCTTTACCCGTTGGTCCCCCATGGTCCCCTTTTTCTTATTTGATGAGATAACCACCTGTCAGTGACCATGCAGGGAGGTCTAATCCCTCCTGGCCAAACTAGTGCAGATAGGCTTTAATGCTTATGTTTTCTTTTTTCTTTGTAGAAGTGCGGCCAGATCTTTCTCAAGTGTTCCCATCTTTTGCAGTGGTTGAAACAGAAGCCATGGTTACTAGCTGGTTGTCTTCTCTACAAAAATAAGTGAGTCCTTTTTATATTCATCATATGCAAGATAGTCATGTCTATTGATATAGTTTTATGAAATCAGACAAAGAACTTGTTTTACAATATTCAGTAGATTCCTTCTCGTGTAGTTAGTAAAAAGAAGACATTTTAAAAATGTGTATTTTTGTCCCCTAAATAGAAATGAGATTAATGCCAAAGTAATGGAATGATAAACTGCTTCAGAATCTATTAATTATAAGTGCTTCTCTCTTATGTTGTCATTTCGTTAATGTTCTGCTTTTGTACGGAAATTCACTCTAATATTTTAAAGTTGATAGTATTCACAAGCTGTCATGCCTTGCAATGGATTGTCATGACGATGGTTTTACACTGTGTACTTTGAAGTCACAAACATGTAAATGAAAGAAGAGGATTTTTCTTCTGTTCTGTTGAATATTCAAAAATAGGGCTGATACCTTATCTTCAAATGAAAACAAAGTTGTGACTGAGTGGTTTTGAGCTTTGACCCAAATGATAAACTACGTTTCAAGGTTCTCTCACTGTTTGATAAACTACATTTCAAGGTTCCCTCACTGTTTGATAAACTACGTTTCAAGGTTCCCTCATTGTTTGATAAACTACGTTTCAAGGTTCTCTCACTGTTTGAATGTTGGCGATTGTTTTGATAAGGAGTCTGTTTCTCTAGTTCAAAGCTCAGCCCCATTATATCACATTTGTGTTTGTTTAAGGGGAAGGCAGGGGGTTGCTAATATCTCAAATCGATGTTTGATTAAGAGGGATTTCAGTTTGTTGATAGTATTATGTTTGGATATGATAAGGGTAATACATATTTCAATGATCTCTTTCATGATTAGGAAAAAAAACACCTGATCAGTGATGAAGTAATTATTGGAAATGATCTTTGGCTACTGGGCTATTAGTAATACATTATTGATTTGAATCCTATGCTTAGACAACCTTATTCATTATCCAGTAATTTAACCACAACTGATTTGAGATGTGCACCTATATATTGCCTAGTCCCTTGTATTATCCATTTTATACCAATTGTGAATCTGTTTCTTCGCTAAATGTTCATCAGGAATGTAGCTTAATATGTGCCAATCACCATCAGATATTTGTTTTGTATATTTAGTAGTGTTATTGGTAACACCATGTTCAAAATATGAGCCCCAAATATTACTTTTGTAAAGACATTTTGCATGTTTATGTACTCTACCAATTAACATAAATGCGACTTATGAGTATTGAGTAGACTACTTGACGCACCCGTACACGCTCGCATAATATAGGGCTCGCACAGAACCCAAGTATGACTTGTGTGCCACTGTATGCTATTCTTTATTGCTTGATACTCCTAATCCATTAGCCCATAGCAAGCAAGGTGAAGTTTTTCTGAGGTTTATTTTATACATTCTAGCTGTTTAAAAATGAATGTTTTAGGTGATTGGTACACTTTAAACTTATCCTGATCTGATCAAAGTATTTTCAAGCTTATCTGCCGTAGTTTACAGGAGGGATTAGACCGCTCTGCAAGGTCACTGGACAGGTGGTTATCTCATCAACTCAGCTCTCAGTTAACATAAGAAAAAGAGGATCATGGGGGACCAATGGTCACCGATTAGGCATTATTTGTTATATAGAGGGAGCAAGTAGCTACCAGTAGTGCAGTGGGCCTTTCAGACTCTTTCCCTGACATGAGGTTCTTCAAATACAAAGTACCGGTAAGGCATTTAAGACGTTGTTTCCATTTTTAATCTGAATCAATATTTTGTCTTTGATTTCTCCAAGGGTGCTGTGTTCACAGTTGACCTCTGACCTCATGAGAAGGTTGCTTCTTGTCAAGGCTTCACAAAACCCTGTGAGTATATCTATATTATTTTTATATTTTTATTTTTTGAAATTCCTATTTTCTTTTTGCTGAAAAGTGCAATTTTATTACATTGTACCCATTCAAGGAGCTTCCCAAATAAATTTTATCATACCGTGAGCGATTAGAAAAGGAAATTAATTGTGATGTGCTGAATGGTCTAATGTGCCATCGGTTGGCGATTAGAAAAGGAAATTAATTGTGATGTGCTGAATGGTCTAATGTGCCATCTAATGGATGTTAAAATAACAGAGCATTATTTCACCTTCCATACAATTCATCCACGATTCAAGAAAAAAATTCATTGTCTTTTCTTGTATTTGTTTGTATTTTACAGTTTCCAGGTGAAAAGATCACAACAGATTTCGACTTGCCTTTCGGTGTGCGAATCTTATCCATCTACCTTCATGAGGAAGAGTACAAACTGTTTGCTAAACAGGACAGTGCAATTAACGTGGAGTCTGGAGAAGGCGATGCTATGTCAGAGGAAGCTTCGGCAATGGTTGAAACGAGTCAAAGAAGAGAAGGGTCAACGTCAAGAGAAGGGCATCCGCAGCAAGCAACACCACCACCACATCTACCACAACTCAAGGAAGATGGGAGTAATATGTGCAATATAGAGTCTTCTGAGAGTGATGCTGGTCAGAGAACGAGTAGTTCTCCAGAAAGCAGTGATGACATAGGCCAATTTACTGAGACCAGCGATGCAGGTATGGACTCTGAACGACATCACGCTCACCATGGTAATGAGGGCGATAAGAGTAAAGCTGTAGGATCCTCAACAGAAGGGGAGAGTAGAACCAAGAGTCCATTAATTGCCTCAAGATGCAGGGGGAACGGTGATGTAAAGGAGAATGGAAGGCAAGAACATTTATGCGGAGATGCTAAGGTCACAGATGTTACGCACGTAGAAGCCAAGGGGACAATAGGTATCAACGAATATGGAGAAGGTAGGGAAAACAAAGAGAATATAGATAGGCATAACAAAGTAAATCATGAACATAGTAAACAAGGAGCCACCAGTATTGCCTTTTACACCAAAGACAACAAGGTTAATGGTATTATTAATCATCACGAAGACATTATTTGTAGAGAACATCATGTTAAGAACTTCAGTTCCCGCAACGGTGGTTCATCTTCTAGTGTAAGTAAGGATGTGGGGACAGAGAGTATTGATGGCTCTGGTATCGGAACCATTGCACCGTCACTCAACATCGCTAGTTACAATGATCAAAGCTGCTCGAAGACTGCAGAGAAAGACCATTCTGGTGCAGCAGGAACCTTTAGTAATGCTGTCATTTCAACAGCAGTATCTGAACTGAGTGCAGGTGGTATTGATGGAGTTCTTCTGCCAAAGGTGGAAGTGAATTATGATGGGGGAAATCTTGAAGATGAACCCTTTGAGATCCATATCAACCCCCTGGACAGTGAGTCATCTCCAGAACATTCTGACTCTTCAGGCAATGCAGTAATGTCAAGACAGAGATTAGAGCCATTGGCAGATGACAATGGCAACATTCTGCTCCAGGATGATACCGAGCGTTTAGATCAGGTGGACGTTGGTGCGGATGAATCTAGACAGGCAGCTGGACTTGAGAATGGTGCTGATGGTAGGACGTTTAGGAACGTCCAGGAATCTGTTACTCTTAGCCAAAACAACAGCCATAGTAGGGATTCTTTGAGTCAGGAGCCGACACCGGTAATGCAGCAGTTGTCACGAAGAGCCAGTGGTGAACAACAGCCATCCTTCAGACATTCCTACACCGTTCAACAACAGGGAACTGAACCCAACCCTGCCAAACATGAAGGAAACATGGACTATTCTTCAGTCCCAGAATACAGTACTCCCAACGCTTCAAGGAATCCAAGCAGATCACAGCCCAGTGATGCATCTGCAGCTGCATCGAGACAACATGATTGGACACATCATGGTACAGACTCAGCACTGCACACTGACAACTCTGATCACACCAAGCAATCCAACTCCCACGCTGCTCAATCCACTAATGACCAAGGACCAGGGTATAGGAATTCTCCGGTCCTAGACCAAGACAGTCATGACCTCCATAGAGATACTGCAGCTTCTGACCAGCCTGAGGATAGTCAGCAGTCCCCTACAGGAATCCTTGTCAGAGCAGATGGCACCAGGAGGAGGGGGTGGACTCGTTCAAGGTCAAGTCTGAGCGTCACTTCACCCACTCCAGGAAAGAAAGGAGTCTCTCAAGGAGGTTCAGAGGAAGAAACAACCAAGGTAAGATTCAACATGACTTCATGAATTTTAAGACAGAGAATGAATTTAGATATACAGTCAAACCTGTCTATAGCGACCGCCCAAGGGAAACACAAAAAGTAGTCTTTGAAAAAAGGTGGTCTTTGTAGACATGTTCCTTTAGTACCGTAATTAACGTTGTATAAACCGACCTCAAAGGTCCATGTAGTTTATATTTTAAGCATTGTGCAGTATTGGCATTGCAATCCAGCAGAGATTAATAAGGCGTCCAACTGGAATTAATAGATTTCCTATTTTAATCTCGGATAATTTATGTTTGATCTGCTTTAATGCGTGCTATTTGGAAATGTATGTTGTGTATTCTTCACCTCACATGGCATGCAATTAGGAAAAAAAAATACATTCATTTTTCAACAAGTAATACAAATACAAAATCAAATTCAGAAAAGTGCACTTGTGATAGTAAACATATCGGTGAGGTAGAGGGAAGAAAGAGGACTCTGTATGCAGTAGAGAGAGACAGACAGACAGGCAGAGAGACACACAGACAGACAGACAGACAGACAGACAGACAGACAGACAGATCTATAGAGAGAACGCGCAGGTCTTTCCCTATTCAGAAAAATATCATAACAAACTAAGGCACAATTGTGTACATGTCGGTTATCATTTTTAAAGACAAAAAAAAAAAGTGACTAAACACGATTTGTATTTTTCTTGTGTACCATGAGAAATAATTTTTCTTTTTGTTGACAAAAAGAATAATCAAATACATATAAATTAATTCAAAGTTATTATATTCTGTAATTGTTATATTTCCTTAGGTTGAGGGAATGGTGAATGTCTCCCTCTATGTCCAAGCACATTCCGACGTGATGCTGATCTTCTTGGGAGAGAAAGATTGGATCCAAGATAAGAGTAGACTCCGCAGCATGGTGAGTGTAGGATAAATCAGGGGCCTGTTTCATAGAACTTGTTATCAATAACAGATTCTAATATTCTATGACAAATTTGCTCCCAGCCAATCAAATGCCACAATTTCAGTAGCTTATAACAGTTATTGTAGTTTGCTATTGATAGCAAGTTTTATGAAACAGGGCCCTGGGTTTTTAGAGTTGGACATCATTTTATGTCATTGGTTCTTAAAGACCATGTCAGAAGTGAAAAATGAAATAGATGAATTAAATACAATAATATCAATTATATACTATTTCAATGTTCGTCAGCTCTCTGAAAACTCAAAATCAGAATTGGAAAATCGACTTGATGAAATCATCTTATGTGGAGAATGTATACTTACAATGACTTTGCATTAAAAAATTAATTAAGTACGGCTCATCACCTCAGCTTTAATAGGTGAGCCAATTTAGTCCACATATTATGTCATCACTGTAACTGTGGTGAATTTGACCCCTGTTCACTCATAATGTGGAGTGGTACTGACAATCAGGCTTTTATGAAAAGAAAAATAATTGTTATTCCTTTATATTTGTATTCTATGTTCATTCAGCTTTCAGTGAATATAAAGTTGTATTTTCATGAGATAGGGTCTTTGATCTTGAAGACATGACCTTCATGGGTGTCTGTACAGCGTGTGTTAAAAAGATGAAGAAAGAATATTTGTGAACGCTATGCTTTCTCAAGTAATTCCTTTGGAATCATTTCTCTTTCTAAACAATAATTTGCAGTGTGGTATGAGTAGAATTATCATTGGATATATGTTGAAAATCAACTTTTTTTTTTCTTCTTCAATACTGAATGTATTTTTCTTAAAATGTCTTTAAACTATATTTTTTATGGGGGGGGGGGAGTACATTGTATGAAATTTCGATAGTCATAAGCAATTTAACTGCTTTAAGGATTATGTCAAATTGTTTGATAATACATGTACATGTAACTTTAAAGTACAATCATAACACTAACATCGACAGTTTTTCTTGTATACTGATTTTGCTTGCAGTGGCAGTCATTTGTCATCAAACTGGCAGATCTGGAACTTGAACTTCAGCAAGTCCTGGGCGATAAGGCGACAAATCAGGTAGGAATACGAGTTGATAATTGTGTAATATTAAAGAATAGCATATACGTTAAAATCCAGATAGCCCGTTAGCACTGTAGTAATGCGAGACGCTACATGGTTTAGTAACTAATGATCCGATGTTTGATCCTTACCCTCTTCTTCTGTCCTCCTCTCTCTCTCTCTCTCTCTCTCTTCATACTTCTTTCTGAATCTCTCCCTCTCTCTCTCTCCCTCTCGCTCTCTCTCCTTATACTTCTTTCTTCTTCCTGAATCTCCCACTCTCTCTCTCTCTCTCTCTCTCTCTTTCTCGCTCTCTTGCTCTTTCTTTCTCCTCATACTTCTCTCCTCATACTTCTGTCTTCTTCCCAAATCTCCCACTCTCTCTCTCTCTCTCTCTCTCTCTTCATACTTCTCTCTTCTTCCCAAATCTCCCACTATCTCTCTCTCTCTCTTCTCTCTTCATACTTCTTTCTTCTTCCCAAATCTCTCTCTCTCTCTCTCTCAAAAGGAATATTAAGGAGGCTGTTGACTTGTTTAAAGAAGAGTTGAACAGTATTCCACAGAATATTTGACTTATATTGTAACATGAACATCAAAAGTTTTGTTTCATCTTCTTTTTCTGCAGTCTTACTATCTATATTTTTTTTCCTTTTTCCTTAGGAACAAGATCAGCTTTACAACTTTCTCCAGTTCAGTCCTTATGAGAAGTCAGTGAAAAGTAAGCCTTTGTTTTTCATACCACCATGAATACTCATAGCTATCCCACTACCAAGGAGGAAAGCGGTATAGCGCCATCTCTTGGCCAAACTTGAAGTTGCTTTCTAAAAGAAAAGGAAGTTGAGCAATAACTGTCTAATATTTATACTCTTAACATGCATTGGACATATAACTACATGTATCTCTATTCATATATATATCACTTTTGTCTTGGTTCCATGTATTTGTATGGCTGTGAAGAATTAATTTTTGACTATTTTGAAAGAATGAGATATTTCTGGAAATGAAAAAGTGTAAATTGTTTGCAAAGCCAGGAAGAGTAAAACAAAATATGTATTATTCTAAGTATTCTGTCAAAGTAAATGACACTTTCCATTTTTGTCTTATAAGTTCTAATCATCTTCAAATACTATAGCAATATGACTTAACTTAAACAGTGGTGATATTTTGAACAATTTTAAATCTATATTTATGTCCCTCTCTCTCTCCAGCTAATACAACCAGTGTCATGACAACGCAGAATAGAGAGTTTGTGAATGTTGTGGATGCCATGCATGAAACGTTCCTCTCCAAAGAGCATGTCAGCCATCTTGTGATGAGGTATGTGTAATATGACTAAAGCAATGACAATGGATCATTGATGCAATTCAATTTTTATGCCGGTTCTTTCAGTGGTTCTCATTAAAGTGTCCCTCAAAATCTGTTTATCAGGAAGAATGCTGAGGCTGAAGAATATATCCTTCTCTCGCTTTCCAGTAATGTAAATATCTTTATTCTTATTTTTCCATACCTTTCTTTCCTTTTTTGTGCTCTCAGTAATAATTTTTTTTAAATTCTCTAAATTTATATGGATTATACATATTCATGAAAACCATTTAAAAAAAAGGGGGTTTGGGTATGTTTTTTTCCCCTCTTCCTTTTTTATTGGAGATGCTAGACTTCCCAGTTTTAGTTGTGTTATTTTTTATTTGATTAGTTTGAGTCATAAGGTTAAGTAGCCACTGACATGGCAACAGCAACAACAACAGTGTGCACAAAGACAGAGGCAGAAACTATACTTGTACTCTTCATTTTTCTGGACTTAGAATATATTCCATAGGGTCATATTTGTATTTGTTTTGTTTTTTTGTTTTTATTGCAGAGGTCAGCACAGCACAGTGATAGGGAGTCAAAATGACGCCTACCAGACTTACTTTCAGCCACTGAAGGCGCAATCAAACACTACCACATCGACATCGTCATTGCTGTCATCATCATCATCATCATCGCCTTCATCTGCGTCGTCATCTCCCGTAATGCAGGCAGCAACTGCCATGGCAACAAGACAGGGGAAGCTAGAGGTCCAAGCAGAGAAGATGCTTTTAAAAGATCATGGCATCAGGTTTATTTAGCATCTCGTCATCATTACCACCACCATCATCATCATCATCATCAACATCATCATCATCATCGTCATCATCATCATCTTCCTACCCTGGAATGCATGCAATGCCTGCCATAGCAATTGTTACAGATTTTATATAACAATTACTTTGTGGTATTTGTGATGTAAATGAATCAAATTCATGTATTTTATTGTATGGGAAATCTGAATAAATGCAGCTCGATTTTAGTCATATGCAATAGTGGTGTATTGTTAATTTATTGGTAGATATTCAAGAGGAATTGTATGTAATGAAGTTTGATATGAATAATTATATTGAATTGTGTTTTTGATAGACACATGGCAGCAATGCAAGAAAGACAGATTTCATGGAACCTTTTGATGTTTAAGCACACAAATAATATATTCTCTAGTGCACTTGTGCCAATGTATTATCTTGAACATATTCAATACTTACAGCATAGCTGTCTATGTCTTGTTTCGTATGCAAGTATTGTGGATAAGTATGTGAATGTATCGTACTGAATTCTAAAAAAATATGAATGGATCGTTTTGCAATATCCTCTCTTACCGATTTACTGTTTTTCTATTTCACGATTGCCTGATGCATCATGAAGTAAAGTTTTATGCGAAAGATAAACCATCAAACTTTCCAACAACAATTGTGGATTTGCCAACAGAAATTTTGAAAGGAAAGTTGAGAAAAAAATATCCTCTGGCAATGCACTTTAAAAGATGTAAAATGACTTGGACCCACCCCCCCCCCCCCCCTCATTGTTGCAAAATTGGAGAAAAAACAAAGAATGTTTGTATGTGCCCTTGCCAAATGATGAAGTATTTTAGTATACACAAGAACATGTGATCACTTTATTGATCCTGTCAATTTGTTATGCAGATATATATCAGAATTCGGAAACTCATGGCATATATTCTCCAGTACCTTATTCAAATTCAGCATTATGTTGAGGTAGATGTACATGTATGCACGTTCTATAATCTAGTTACTATGTATTTCACCTTACTTTTGTTGACTACTTGACTTCATAACATTCTGAAGAAGAAAAAATTGTATGCAACAAGTATATTTGGTAACAAAGTGGAAATCTGTTCTGAAAAAAATAATGTGAACTAAAACTGATTTTGACATGTTATTACTGATAAAAAATAGATGTGTGCTATATGATGTTGATATTCATATATTCATTCTAAAAGCTTTCACAACTGAACATTGCCAAATGCATTTATACTTGTCTGTGGTAGTCATATACATTTGCACATAAACATGATGACCATACAACTGTTTTTACCTAGTCTAAATCTGTATTTTGCCTGTTTTCAAAGTGGAAAAGTGGCAGGTAGTATTATCATTTAATGAATAGAACATATCAAAATTCCATAGGTGCTGAATTAGACAAAATTGTAATGTCTGGCATTTAGTTTTCTTTATTTCAGTGCAACAATCGTTAATACAAGAAAATCACTAAATCTAAGGGGAGATATTTTACTCTGTTATCATTTTTTTCTACAAAATTTGGTACATGCTATGTGTCAGTTCAAATGGTTTGTACACAAAAGGTGTTAACAAAACTGTTAAGATTTTGCAACTAAAAAATGTTTGAAAGCTGGTACAGATATCAATAACAGGTGAACTTGTGTAGAATTAGCACCCGAACAAATCTTCCTCTTGTATATTGTAATGCTAATTTTTGCTAAATAGGCAGGAAGGCGGACCTAGTTGTCATAAAGGTCAACCAATACAACCACAACCTGTATCACACCATATTGTTTTCCTACCTTGAGCAGAAAAGACATTCCATGCATGCAACTTACAATGTACAAGCCTTGAATGTAATCAACCTGAGAATGTAATTAACATGAGAATGTAGATTCCATGTTTATTTCATACCAGAGATGTTTTAATGAACCTCAATAGAACATTCCAAAGCAACAGGTGTTGTGCAATATACTTGTATCTCTTGGTTTTAATAGTTCAATGCATCCTTGAGTCACCTTTACAAGTTTTTTTGTCTATTTGAACATATCACAAACATTTAGACTATGTGTTAAAGGCAAGGGCGTAAATCCTTACATAATACCTATTGTTCAGGGGGGATGAATGAATAGATCACCCCCCCCCCTGAACAATAGGTATTACGTAAGGATTTACGCCCATAGTTAAAGGTATATGTATAATAACAGTCGCAAATATACTGTATCTATCTCAAATGTATAATACAGTTGATGACTTTTGTGATTACTTTCTTTTATCTTTTAAAACAAAAATGGAGACTGCAATGTAAAGGTAGTTGAATATAACTGACACGTATACATAGTATCTCCTAACCTAGTTCATAGCATACCGGTAGTTGGTCCACCTTTTCAATTTCTGTGTTCATATTTAAGTCTTTGAGTCTTTGATAATGGTTTTTATATTGTAACTGACACTGCCTTTCTCTTCCTTTTAACCCCAATTTTGTGCATATTATACCTGTAACGTAGATGGCATTTTGAAATTATATTTTTAGAATACTAACCGTGATTATCATTTCGGACAAGGTTTTCCAAGTTTGTATTCAGTCTAGTAATTCCTAGAATAAAAGGAAGTAGGATCCCTGCCTATTATGTGACATCTACATATAACATATTATTTTTAATCTTGTTTTTTAAAGAAATTGCAGTTTTTGTCACTCCATCCTGTACATAAGTCACAAAATGAATTTTGTTGATATATGAAAATCTATGCTTTGATATGTATACTTTGATAATACTTAAACTATGAAACCAAAAAATAGCTATTTTCAGACTTTCTGCCTTATTTCAATATGTGCATAGTTAATGTGTTGTAAAAACTCGGCTGCTGCAATAGCCAAAAGTGTACATTGCATGTATAGTTCATTTAGGAAAGTTTTAATGTAAGTGCTTTGTGCAATTTACTATTTCCACCTCTGAAATATGCAGGTTACCATTGTCCAAAATTCAAGAAGGTGGACATTATTGTTGGTGTAAAATCTTGTTTGAATCAATACAAATTAATAAAAAGAGCAACCTACCAGTATTTGGCATTGTGGATTGTTTAATAAGATTAAAGCCCCACTGTACTACTTTTAGCTACTTGCTCCCTCTATATAGAAGACAATGCCTAATCGGTGACCATTGGTCCCCCATGATCCTCTTTTCCTGATGTTAATTGAGAAATGAATTGATGAGATAGCCACCTGTAAGTGACCAAACTGGGTGGTCTAATCCCCCCTGGCCAAACTAGTACAGACAGCCTTTAAAGAACCCTTTTGGAGCCAGAAGGATGTTGACTCCTGTACTTTAATACAAAGTTAATGCCCTTCTGGCTCCAAACCGACAATTTTCTCTGACAGAGAAATGTATATTTGGCTGGCCGATTGGTAGGCTCCATGCATGGAACTTAAACTATTTTATCATCAAATTGTCTTAAAGGTAAAGACCAGTAATAGAAACGCCCCAATTTCAAAAAATGAAATGGAAGCTCTTATTACCAATCATGTGAAAGAAAATGTTTTGACTAATACATGATGATAACAATTTTGCCGGGAAACCGCCTACTAATTGATATATTTGGTAAATTGTTTGTCTACATGGTCTGTGAGAGATAAACGCACGTGTCGCGCGCGTGTGCGTATAGTCCCATATACATCTTTCTGTGTACAGTGCTTGTAACTTTACGAAGACTGGGCCGTATTTCTTATCATTTTGATGATTCCAAAACCGTGCAGTACAATACAGTACACCAATACTTATATGCTAGATGATCAACCTTTTCTGATCAATTCCACAACGTTTCTTTCACAATGCAATCGCAAGACCATAACTGGTCTTTACCTTTAAAGGGGCCGTTTGTTAAGAAGACAGAATTAAAATAAATTGTCATATTTAGATGTTTATGTTTAATCCCAATATGATTCTGTAATGCAGTTGAATGCTACTTTTCAAACACCCAACAGTAGATGGCCCGACATATGCTCTGGCGACAACTACTCCAGGCTTCATTTCGTCAAAAGGTATATTGGGTAGCAATTAGGTATCGGGTTAGCTTTAGGATAAGGGTTATATGGTTTGGTATTTTTGTGGGTCTCGGGTTAGAAGTTTGAGAATTGTAGTAGTGTTTGGATATTGACCACCGAGCAAATCTCGCTGGAGCACGTGTCAGACATACACCTGAATGGTAAAATGAAACTTTGTTGATATTTTAGTCTGTGCCTTTTGAACTGGTTTTTATGGAAAGCTGTGTTTTCTTATGCATGATTTTTACCCCCACATTTTCAATTCACATGCAGTCCCACATAGCTCATGATATATAAATCATATGCCTTTTTATGTTGGATTTCTGTGGGTTAAGATTGTGTTACACACAAACTAAATCTAAAATGGCCTTTCAAGTGAAACTGAAACATTTTCTCTGTTGAGAGTCAGAAAGGTGTCATCTATACTTTTCATTTCCTTTTTTGTTGTTGCATAGAATAGATGTCTCTGAAAAGACAGAAAAGCACCATTTAAAGACTTTGTAAGCAATATGGAGATATTTTGCACTAACATTTCAGTATGTGGTTTAACTTCTAAACTTATTTGATAAGTAAAGAGCACAAGATATTTGGCCTGTCTGGATTTAGTGCATTGTAGGATGTATACATAGTAGAAGAAAAGATAGAAATGTGGTATTACTATTAGAAGCAGGCTTTTTGACCTTCTTTCCAAAAGATGAAACAGTTAATTGCCAATAGACTGCATGATTGAGAACACTCATGCAGTGTAAGTAGTAGTGGTAGTAGTAGTAGTAGTAGTAGTAGTAGTAGTACATGTAGTAGTAGTAAACTCGTAATAGAAGTATTCGTAGCGGTTATAGTATTTTTAGTGGTTGTAGTATTTATAGCAGTTGTTATAGTGTCAATATTTGTAGTCAGCCTACATAATTGTAGTAGCAGAAGTATTTTAAAGCTAGCGGCCAACAGAAACGGAACCTTGGTTTTGAAAGAGACCTAAAAGCAATGTAATATTTATCTCAAGTAAATACATATTCATTGTGTGTAATATCCATATTTTGCATCAAAGAACAAATTGGTCTGCAAAAAAGAAATATTCATGTATATTTTTTGTACCATTAACAAAAAAACCTGCAAATCATGTAATTGTTATGGTCAGTATCACATTTAATTTCGACTCATTGGACAGTGTCCACTCCCAACTGATTAAATTTCTGAACGTATAATACTGTTGAGAGGGATCTGATGTATATGAGGTAGTGATTTAATGTCTATGTGGCTCCAAACCGACAATAATAGACCTGTATTTGGACAGAAATTGTGGGTATATGTAATATCATTCCAGTTAGAACACAAAGCATTAAGTTGGAGTAGAAATAATTTGAAATATACCCTGTATTGTATAGGCAATATTATATCCAAATCTACACGAAGACAGTAATGAATAGGTGATTATTTATTTTCTGGTAAACTGTGTAATATATATATCAAATATAGTTACTCAAATATATTTCTATGTTGTCAAATTTTTGTCATGTTGTCAAATGTATTGCTTTTATTAAAAAACGTCTATTGTCATGCTCGCCAATCCGATCCGTTTGCACTTGAATTTATTTTAGAAATGTTGATACAACTTGAGAGATATTAAGAAAAAAACTGCCCCCAAGGGAGTGCAACGTGTGCAATTCTTGCTTAATCAAGTACATCTTTAAACTTTCATATCCATTCTTATATTATCCTCAAACAATTACTTATCTCTTTCTCTCATTTTTCTTTCATCAAATGCAACTTCATGTTGCAAACAAAACTTCTCCTTTAAAGCCTCTTTAAAGCGTTGGGAGCCCCAAAAATTTGATGGCGAAATTTCACCTAAATTGTATCATAATATGAAAGAGGATGTCATTCACATTTCTGCAAGAATTTTCAAAACAGAAATGTGTTTCAAGTCGAATATTGATGAAAGAATACAAAATTTAGGTTTTCTGAGTACATGGAAACCTAAATTATGTATTCTGTTATCAATACTTGTCTTCAAACACACTTTTGGGGAGGGGATATTTGCAGAAGTGTGTCTTTAATGACATCCTCTTTCATATTATGATACAATTTAAGTGAAATTTTGCAATAAAAGTTTTTGTCGAATTTTGGTCTCCCAACACTTATTTAATATTGCCTTCTGAACCATCTGTGTTCCTCGATATATAAGTCCACTGAATGCTTTCAAATGGGCTATTCTGGAATATATTCATATTTGTATGAATATTGCATTTGTTGCATCTGATAGGATTGTCCAATGATGGTTGAATAGACCGCTTTACTAACATCTTCAAATTATATGCATACTTTTTAAACAAAGGTTGTTCTTGACAACCAGAAAGCTTGCCAGAGCCTTTCCCGCCATAGCAATGCGTAATGTATGCAGAATGGATTCAAAGTATTGTAGTTCACTCATTAATAACATGTTAATGGAATAACTCATCACTATATGTTCCCAGGAAAGAAACATCCATAAATTTGAATATGTTAGTAAACCGGTCTAGACTCTATTGTCAGTTGGGATTTAAGAAAGGGTCTCTAGTTGAAATACAGACCTGCTATGCATACTTCTTGAACAAAAGTTGTTCTTGAGATGCAAAACCTTAGCAAGGCATTGTCAGACATAGCCACAACCAATATGCAAATTAATTCTACCATTGATATACATTCATGCATAGCAGGTGCTTTTAATATTTAGTAAGTATGGGTTCTGAACAAAATCATGCATGAATTGAAACGCATGAGAAAATTGTTCTGCTGCTTATGAAGATGTCTGGCATAGCAACAACTGTGACTTTGGGAAATCAATAGTTCATTTACAGGTGAGTGAAATATTTGGTGATATATCAGACATCCTGGCACAAAAGTCTACCCTCATTGTTGGGCATTTTCCGTGATGCGGGGCGGCTCAAGGGCGTGGGTAGGAAGAAGTGCCTATACAAGTACATAGCATGGTAATATACTGTTTTCAAAATCTTTGATAAGTAGGACTTAGTCGAATCTGGGGGGGGGGGGGGCTATTATTCCCAAATGCCGCCCCTTGTGTGAGAATTATTATTATTATTATTATTATTTATAATATATCCTTAGTATTCGAGAGCTCCAGTAAATTTCTGAAAGGTGCAGTCTTGCAATGATGAGGTACATATACGTGTCTACTAAAATATAGGGGACTGTAGCCCCACCCCTTCCCTTTTCCATTTCTCATTCTCTCTCTCTCTCTCTCTCTCTCTCTCTATTGCTCTCTCTATTGCTCTTTGGGCGTCGACATGGTGGACGAGGCCAAATTCAAATTGTAACTATTTTTACCGGGCCATAAAGTACGGAGCCCCGGAAGTGACATGGAGAAAAAAAAAATTTCTCGTTTTCCTGAGATAAATTCTCGTTTTCCTGAGATAATTTTTCGTTTTCCTGAGATAAATTCTCGTTTTCCTGAGATAATTTTTCGTTTTCCTGAGATAATTCCCGTTTTCCTGAGATAAATTCTCGTTTTCCTGAGATAATATTTCGTTTTCCTGAGATAATATTTCGTTTTCCTGAGATAATTCCCGTTTTCCTGAGAAAAATTCTCGTTTTCCTGAGATAAATTCTCGTTTTCCTGAGATAATTTTTCGTTTTCCTGAGATAATTTTTCGTTTTCCTGAGATAAATTCTCGTTTTCCTGAGATAATTTTTCGTTTTCCTGAGATAATTCCCGTTTTCCTGAGATAAATTCTCGTTTTCCTGAGATAATATTTCGTTTTCCTGAGATAATATTTCGTTTTCCTGAGATAATTCCCGTTTTCCTGAGATAAATTCTCGTTTTCCTGAGATAATTTTTCGTTTTCCTGAGATAAATTCTCGTTTTCCTGAGATAAATTCTCGTTTTCCTGAGATAATATTTCGTTTTCCTGAGATAATTCCCGTTTTCCTGAGATAAATTCTCGTTTTCCTGAGATAAATTCTCGTTTTCCTGAGATAATTTTTCGTTTTCCTGAGATAATTTTTCGTTTTCCTGAGATAAATTCTCGTTTTCCTGAGATAAATTCTCGTTTTCCTGAGATAATTTTTCGTTTTCCTGAGATAATTTTTCGTTTTCCTGAGATAAATTCTCGTTTTCCTGAGATAATATTTCGTTTTCCTGAGATAATTCCCGTTTTCCTGAGATAAATTCTCGTTTTCCTGAGATAAATTTTCGTTTTCCTGAGATAAATTCTCGTTTTCCTGAGATAATTTTTCGTTTTCCTGAGATAATTCCCGTTTTCCTGAGATAAATTCTCGTTTTCCTGAGATAATATTTCGTTTTCCTGAGATAATATTTCGTTTTCCTGAGATAATTCCCGTTTTCCTGAGAAAAATTCTCGTTTTCCTGAGATAAATTCTCGTTTTCCTGAGATAATTTTTCGTTTTCCTGAGATAATTTTTCGTTTTCCTGAGATAAATTCTCGTTTTCCTGAGATAATTTTTCGTTTTCCTGAGATAATTCCCGTTTTCCTGAGATAAATTCTCGTTTTCCTGAGATAATATTTCGTTTTCCTGAGATAATATTTCGTTTTCCTGAGATAATTCCCGTTTTCCTGAGATAAATTCTCGTTTTCCTGAGATAATTTTTCGTTTTCCTGAGATAAATTCTCGTTTTCCTGAGATAAATTCTCGTTTTCCTGAGATAATATTTCGTTTTCCTGAGATAATTCCCGTTTTCCTGAGATAAATTCTCGTTTTCCTGAGATAAATTCTCGTTTTCCTGAGATAATTTTTCGTTTTCCTGAGATAATTTTTCGTTTTCCTGAGATAAATTCTCGTTTTCCTGAGATAAATTCTCGTTTTCCTGAGATAATTTTTCGTTTTCCTGAGATAATTTTTTCGTTTTCCTGAGATAAATTCTCGTTTTCCTGAGATAATATTTCGTTTTCCTGAGATAATTCCCGTTTTCCTGAGATAAATTCTCGTTTTCCTGAGATAATTTTTCGTTTTCCTGAGATAAATTCTCGTTTTCCTGAGATAATTTTTCGTTTTCCTGAGATATTAGGGCCAGTGGAAATACGAAGATTGATGGAAAGTGAGAGCAAAGAAATTGGAGAGAGAGAGAGAAAATTAAAAGGAGAGGAGAAGAATTAAAGAACAGAGAGAAAAAAGGAAGTGATGGTGAATGAAAAAAGTTGATAATTCGGGAGAATAGAAAGAATTTTATATAGATAGGAAGACATACGAGGGAGAGTGTATAACAGAGGTACTTACGCAAAGAAGTACACAAAGGACAAGAGAAAAGATACCGATAAAACGAAAATCGAAAAGAAAGAAAGAAGAGGGGGAAGATGCCATTTATTCTGGTATCACGCTCATCTAATAAAATGAAAACAAATTAGAATGAGAAGCATGGAGTTGGGGGCAGTGGGAGGGTATGTGCCTTGAATTCTGACTTGAAGTTAGATTGATTTTTTTTGCTGTCAATTCAACATCTCGCTGCCCATAATTAGGTTTCAGTTGTATATAGTGCAAGTGAGCGAGAAAAGTTGGAACTTTTTTAGTGAAAGTATGGGGAAAATACCTATTATTTGGATAGCAAATCTGATTAAAATGTGGTGGTTATATGGTACAAGCGAGCAAAACGAGCGAGGAAAAGACAACGCTTCTTAGTGAAAACGTAGACAAATGTATAAAGAAGGCTACATGTATACTGGAATTTACAAATCTATTTTAACCTGAGAATATATCGACATCTCATTGCCCAATCGACCAGTTTCATAATGAAGTCAAATTTAGTGCACACATCTTTTTAAGTGCGTAGTGACAAACTATTCAATCAATAATTGTTCAAATAACTGCATTTCAATAGTGAGAATGTAAATTGCATACATTAGTTGTTGCTATGTTGGTCAAGTTCTAAACAAATTATAAAAGATCAAGAAAATCGGGAAATCTATGAGGTTATATGCGACCACCTATACAATAGAATACAAAAGAATATAGGAATTTCAATTTTCGCGGAGTTTTGATGAAGGAATCGAGCTGTCAAACACAGAGATTATTTGCAATTATTACGATCAAGAGTGCATCAAAATAAAATATTCTGTTTAGTTTAAATGTCATATTTTTCATATTTTATTTTGCATTCTATTGTATAAGTGGCGCATGTGACGTCACAGATTTCCCGATTTTCTTGATCGATTTTAATTTGTTTAAAACTTGAACATTTCATAGCTTTCTTATTTCATATCCGATTTTCCTCAAACTTTTATTAATCACTTTGTCTTATTTGTCTCCTTTTATTAAAATATAGATATTCTTAGGGTGGCCTTCCCCTTTAAGGCCCTTTTGGAATTGATAATTATCTTCATAAATATATCGAATTTCGACAATTGAATGTTGAGACCTACAAGGTGATGTGAATAACTGAATACCCCCCTAAAACTGGATTTAGGCCCTAGGCTGACGGCCGTCGGCCTCGTGGGCTGTCCCCTATTGTAATCGGGCAGTCTGTTAATAAAGTGTTCTTGAATCAAGATAGATTTATCATCCAAATTGGTATTGTACCTAAATTTGTACGAGTAAGACTAGTGTCTTTTATTTGTT